CGCACCCAGTCGTAGGTGGGTCATGTCTATTTACTTGCATGATGTTGCATGATGTTGCAATATGATATGCCAAATGGGGCATTTTACAATGGCATACAATGACTATATTATACCCATTTACAAGCTTCCCTGCACCTTCAAGTACTCAGAAAAGTCTCCCTCTGACTCCGTTGCTGCGAGCACGAAGGTTTCATCAGGTTGGCGATAGGAATCGCCCATGACCAGGAAGAAAAATACGCGGAACGCGCGGAAAAAATCACCACGAAACAGAGACAAAGCCCGGCTTGGAAGTTGTTGTGACTCAAGACCAAAAATTGAAGTGGATATAACTTTACAATACTTTATATAAGTGGAGGGTGGAAGTGCTGATAAGCAATTGTTGATAATTGTTGGGTATTTCAGGTAATTGGATAATTTCCTTCTGAACATGGTGAAAGCCATGGAAGTTCCACTTCCTCCTGTTTCAACTGAGTAACTTGGGCACTCCGCGCAGAGGCGCGGGGGCACTCTTTTGGAGGGCTGTCCCCAAGCATTCCACGCTGTGGTGAGTTATGCACCAGCCAGCTGACCAAAAATCGACGACACCAACTGACCAAGTGCTGGTTACCCTCAATACTTTCCGGAGATTCTTTGGGAAAAATACCAACAACACATGGAATTTGAATGTGTCCATTTGCCGCAAACTTGCTCGATTTCATCGCAAACACTGCATTAAGAAATTGCATTTGGTATCCTGAAAGTGAAATGACTCATTTGACCAGCTTGGATAAACCACAATTCACCCAGGGTTAATCCATGAGTTGGACATATTCCTTGTGACCGTGACCTTCGACTGGTGCACCTTTCGCCATTCACCTCGTTGGAATGATCGCCATTCACTTCCTGACCTCAGAGATGCATAAAACGATCAACTAAGCACCACAAACGGATGTTACTATCTATAGGTTTGTAACTAATGCAGAACATCTGCATCTGTATATACATATATATATATATACATATACATATATACATATATATATACATATATATATATATATATACATATATATATATATAGAGAGAGAGAGAGGGAGAGAAAAAAAAAACTTGTATATCCGACCTATTCGGACGTTGTATCATCATCCAACCGATTGTGGCTTGACTTGGGGATCATCAACAAAACCGAGGCTCCAGGCAGCATCACTGAACGAGGCGGGGCACGACGCCGCGCCAACTGTCCCCGTCCACCAGTTCGGCATCGCAGCCCACGCAGCGTTCGTGGCTTTTGGATGGCTCGGAGGGGGTCCCCGGATGCGTATTGGATGTACTCTCTGGTAATCAAATGTGGTTGGGAAATCCACTATAAATATCTATCTATCTATCTATCTATCTATCTATCTATCTATAATCTCTATAAATGGAGGTCTGAATGGGAAAATCATCCAGAATGGTTTGAAATACAAAATCCAGCGGGGGATGGTGAGATACTTGGATGTGCAACCAGTTCACTGCTTCGGGTGATGCCGAGTTTTGGTGCTGTCATAATTGCCGACTCGGAAACGATTTCCTGTTGTTATATATATATATATATAGAGAGAGAGAGAGAGACTAACTTCCAAATGAGGGAGCCTCTTACCTACAATCCAGAAAACCCAATCAAATCCAAGGTAAAACCTCTGATTCTAGGTAGTCAAATCATCCCATACAATATATATATATATATATATATTATTATATATAATTATATATATATATTAGTATATAATTAAGTTGTGTATATATGTATATATACAGTATATATAATTACTGTATATAACATAAAAACATAAGAAACATCTCATTAATCTTGGATTTGGGCTCATCATTCTTGTTGGGTCAGCTCCCACCGACCATCCAGATTGTGGCAACCGCAGCTTTAAAAAGAATGTGGCGCAACCGCAACCGCAACCGCCAGGTGCCAGATTCAGGTAATCACCATGACGCTTATGAACAGCGAACAGCTGCCTTTTGCCATGGCTAATTTTGGTTTATAATTATGCAACAAACAAACACATGTTTGGCTGGGGAGCAAAGATTCTCTTCGTGCTGCTCTGTTCAACTTCCAAATGCTCAAATTCTAAAGGTGGGGACATCGCGCATCTGTCGAACCTGGGTGGTTTTTCATCTTTTCCAGCTTTGAAACACCACCGGCATACGGATGTTGTTCACCGGTGGGGACCTGTTGTTCGGCCGCCACATGCTGTGCTGCAGTGCTGCGCCGTCCCCTTCCAGACAGGGCCTGGGTTGAGGCGGAGAAGATCCGAAACCTCTCGTAACATCTGGTAAAACATTGGCTGAATCCTGCGAGAAGGGGAAAATGTGTGCAAATGGGTATGGGTGAATACCTATAGATACATTTTTAGTGGGATGAACATCCATTTACCAGCTATTTTGGGGTTCACTAGGTACCAGGGTTTTGACCCATCCCCAAATATGTGTCTTTCTGCTGTTGTGAATAGCGCCCTCTGTTCTTTTCTTGTCCAGTTAACAGAAGCAGGTCACTGCATCAATGATTTGTTTTATTCAGCAGGAGATATGGCTGTGTCTGAAAAAATTAGCTACCGCAAAAACCCATAGTTGATCATCATGTTCCTGTAAAACTCACAATGTCTAGGATATAGCCCATTTTCAGACACACCCATCAGCTAGTCATCGGCAACTTGCTCATTACAGGTGGTGCATGTATTCCAAAAAACATGTGGGATGAATGAAGCTGCAAGACGAATTCAATTTGAATACACTTTAATGTGCAAAATGACGGTAATCCCCCGGATTGAGGGGGGTCCAGAGTTCAGAGAAGACTATATGACTATATATAATTATATATTATATATTATATAATATGTATAATATATAGTATATACATATTTATAATATATATATATATGTATACATAATATAATTATATTTTTTCCAAGCTGCGACCAGAAGCGAGTCTCGCTGCGGCAGGGCGTAATGAATTCAGATGAAAAACAGATGTCACGTGACGCAATCCGGACCATACTCTGCGCCAAAGTCATGGCTAATCATGCTACTGCAGAGGTGCAAAAAGTCCTGAGGAACATGCTGTACATCCTGTGCAATGTCCTTCGGGATTGCTGTCAGCGTGGCATCGGAAAAGGCTCGTGCAATGGCAGCGCACATGGCTGGCGGATATTCTTTAAGTTCCGCCGTTCTGTACACACCTGTGCTGTCTGTTCCAATGCTGCGTCCCTTTGGTGGGTCAGGGCAGACTGCCCAGCGGACCAGCCATTGTGGCAATGTGGGGAGATTCAAAACCAGCAGTCCGGTTGGTTTCGGACTGGGCGCACCTAGCAGGCCTTGTGCCATGTTCAAATGTCTCATGCCTGGTAAACGGGTCAGAAGCTGAAGAAGTGGGAGCTTCCATATTGAAGCAAGCTCGGGCTCTTCAGGTTCAGCGGGATGCTCGAGGATCGCAGCGCCGCCCGTAGTGGCAAGAATGGTCATTGCGATGACACTGAAACCCAGCAATTGGTGGCCGTCCATCAGCTGCAGCATTTCTTTGATGGAAACAGAATCAAATCCCCAAAGATGGTCAGCGTCCCTAAGGATTCGGGGTCCTATTGTGGTCTTTCCCTGGATTTGTTTCCCCCTGGCCTTGGACCAAGTGCAGCATGGTGGCCCACTCAAAAAACCTGCTACATATCCTTGTCTCATGCCAGCGTACCATTGTTCTCGTACTTCGGCGCGGCCAATGTTGCCGTAGTGCGAGTCAATGACAATGTCAAGCGATATGACGTGTAGGATCGCTGCAGGATGTTGTGTGGCACACTCCTCAAGGAACCACTGCACATCACCAGGTCGCCTCCTCCCCGAATATGCGTGTAGAATGATCTTCTCCGCAAATGGGCGGTGTGGAGATTCCTGGTGAGGGCGCCAAGGGACCGCTGTGTGGTCCTGTGCAAGGCCTTCGCTCCAAACTTCGTAGGTATCTAGCTGCTCAACGCGATGTCCGGCTTCGGGCACTCCCACCGTATTGGTCATGAAGGGCCAATTACTCGGGTCACGGAGGCTGTCTAGAATCCGATGGAGCACAGACTTCTGGATCTGCGCCAAGTCGCAGTTCTCATCGTTGAAGTCGGCCAAGAGTTGGTCCACTGTTCTGGTCAAAGAGGTCCAGGATGTTTCCAGTTCTCTGACTGTGGCAAAGAGTTGTGTGCTGAGATGGTCTCTTCCATTGCATCCTTGTTCAAAGCTAATCAAGGCGATGCTCTCGTAGATCACCAAGTCATATGTGCTTGCTGCAACTGAAGGGACTGGTCGCGCTTCTGGCCCTGCCGCATGTTGAAAGGGCAGGAGCCCATCATGTTGCTGCTTCAGGACGTCATTGAAGTGCGAGCCAATGCCAGGTGTGATTGGTCGTCGCATTTTCATACCTCTCAGTCGCTCTTGACATCTACGTCCTTGTCGAAGATGTGCGTGTAGACGATCCACAGTATGATATTCACGTAGACACGCAGGACAGGATGTGGTGTCACTGAAGCACCTGAAATCAGCAACTTTGCCATGGCATCGGAACATATGTGCTGCTTCACCGGCTTTTGTTCTGCATTTTTTACGGCAGGCAAGGCATCCAAAAAATCCCTCACACGGTTGTTCCTCCAGTCGTGGTGGGGCACTTGAAAGTTCGCCAGCAGACTGTAGGTGATCGAAGACCTGGAAGTGAATTGTGCGCAGCTGCCAGTTGTCGCTGTTCTTCATAATGTCCAGCGTCGTGGCTCTGTGTACAAGGGTCTTCCAGTACTTCTTGTGAAATCTCAAAAGATAAAACCACTCTTCAGGGTGCTCTGCAGGATTGCGCAATGCACTCGTATTGCAGAGTTGCTTCCACATCCATTGCAAATCATCAGCGAGCATAGCGCACCAAATCTGGTCCTGTCGCAAAAGACCCCAAGGTACTGCATCTTCGCAATTGATCAGCGTGAGCAGATAGCGCAATCTGGCTCGCCTGAAGAGGGTCTTCGGCGATGGTAGTTGGCTGATGGCCAGCACTTCATAGTCATCCATGTGATGATCTGCCGGGATTTTGAGAAGTCGCTTGTAGAGTCTAATGATGGCTCCATGGATGAAGTTGACCAGCTGTTGATCTTTGAATGTCCAAGACTCCATCCCATAGCAAAGTTTGCTCAAAACCAGCGTGGTGAAGAGTTCTCTCCTGCGCACCAAGTGGATCTGAGGATTTTGGAAAAGTTGTCGCCGATGTTGATTGAAGGCCTCATTGGCGATGCTGACTCTTCGGCGCGCCTCAACCTTGTTCTCCCCTGAGTGATGGGCCTTACCACACAGGTGAACGTAGGATCCGACCACGGCAACCGACGCCACCCCATGCTCATGGACAATTTGCATTTGTTGTCCTTGCTGCTCGCTGAAGTGGGCCCGACGGCTGCGTCTCGATCCTCTTCCTCGTAGTGCAAGAAGAATCTCCGTTTTACCTCTGGAGAGGTTCGGAGTGACTCCGTGCTCCATGCAGGTCTCCAAGAGGATGCCGGCTGTGAGGGCAGCCTTGCGCTCAAGCTCGTCAGCATCTGGTCCAGAAATGCAGATGGCGAGGTCGTCCATCCACGTTGGTCCTAAAAAGGGTTGTTCTGGTACTGGATCTGGTAGCGGTTGGAGGAGACAAGGGCCCCTCATCTGTGTCGGTACCGTATCCAATAAGTCTTCCTTCACCAGTTTGTCCTCTACGGCACTCAAAATTCTGGAAAATAAATATCCAAAAATGACATCGGCAAATGGGTCCCCTGGGCGCGAACCAGCTTGGGTTCGGACCTTGTCTGTTTGCCCTTCGATGTGAAAGTGAGTGTCCGTGTGTATGGCCTGCAGCGCCAGGCGCAGATGTGGGGGCAAGCTTGCTTGTTCTGTTGCTCCTGGTTGTTCGAGGAGCAGCCCAAGTTCTGTCATAGCCGAAGGAGGCAGGCAGAGTCGTTGCATCATGGCACCAATGGCTTCATCAGTCATCGTGTCCCCTAGAGCGAGTGGACGCAGAACCCGGTAGAATGCTTCTTGTAAATCAAGAAACAAGACTGCTGCGGATCTGCCTTGGGCTGCTTGAATACGGAGGTGCGCTCGGACCATGTGTGTCCCAAGCTGGACAGGAACCTTGCGGCGTCCTCCGATTTGTTGCTGCTGCAGGAAGCGCTCGTAGTATTCTGCTTGATGTGATCGCAAGCTTCGGTGCAATGTCTTCGCAACGTGCGATGAGATCATCAATGATCGGTATGATGTTGGGTCTCTGGAAGATCCTTTGTGTTTGAATGCCGTCACGAGCTTGCCTCCTTTGTGCAGGAGTGCTTCCTGCCCGTGTGCGCAGAGCTTGATGATTTGTGTATATGTGATCCTGGCCATCGCTGCTGGGCATGCGTGACATAGCTCTGAGGGAATACCATCATCTCCTGTGGCCTTGTTGGCCTTCACATTCCGGAAAGCTTGCTCAAGGTCCATCAAGCTTGGTAGGTCTTGTACTCGAAGTTGAATTGCTTCATTCCGAAATTGGGAGAGGCTGTCAATCCATCTGCGGCGAAGTGCAGGATCTTCGAGACGCTCTCCACATTCCATGGTTTGGAAGAATTGAATCCATCGATCTCGAACCTCTTGAGTCGTTCGGCAGGGCGTGCCGTCAGGCCGATTGATCAATGGTAGCGGAGCACTCTTCTTCTTCTTGTAGTTGGTGGATCCAATGATTTGTTTGATCTCATGTAGAACAGCAGAGGCGGGAGCATCATGCGGCATCTCTCGAAGGTGCTGGTCAAGTGCTCGGCCTTTTGCTTGTTGTAGTTCTTGCCGCATGCGTCTGTCCAATCGGTGGAGTTGGGCAACAATGCGGAGCTTGCCGCAGAGCAATGTGGCCTGGTACTGCGACATGAACTGATCAGACATCTTTGACTTGTCTTTCCATCGCAGGAAGACGGTGTAGAGCAGCTCAAAGCGTAGATGCTGTTGTGTTTCCACCAGCTTCTTTTTGGTGCGAAGCCGCTGTGAGCGAAGATTCCAAACTTCTCCAGAAAGACAACACTTCTTCGGAGTGGCACTCTTCCGGCTGCATCTACGTCGAAGACTGCTATGCATGAAAGTATTCATGTGTTGAACCTGTGTTTCAATGTCTGTCGACCAAGGCAGTGGGATGTACTCCATGAGTGCAGCGTGCATGGTCTGATGTGTAATTGCTGATCTTTGAACTGCAGGTCCTTTGTTGCCTGGTCCATGTGAGCGTGTACTAGACGTGCATGCAGTCTCCCATTGCATTTGTATCGCAACTGCGACATGATCGCCATAGTTGCCCAGGTCAAACTCCGGGACCGTTTGTGAGTGAACGCATTCTTCCATCATATCTGTGCGGATCAGCACGTAGTCGAGCCTATACTGCTCCTCATCAATGGGATTGATCCATGTGTGGTGTGGACCAGCATGGCGTTCTCCGGTGGAAGGTACTGCCAGATCTGCTGTGTGCAAGAACTCTGTGAAGAGTTTTGTATTGACAGAGATGCGGTCATCATGTTGGAATACATGGCGATCATCTTTTGGGCCTGTCGCGGCATTGGCGTCGATCAAAATGAAAATCTTGTCTGACTGGACGTGCTGAAAAAGCGAGGCTGAGAGGTGCATCCACCAATCTTCTCGTTCTTCCTGTGGACGTCCACTTTGAGGGCCGTGTGCCACTAGAAACCAAAATCGGTGGCCATGGTGGTCATGTAGTACCAGTAGCATTCTTGGGTTTGCCTCAACCACAACAAAATCTGCTTTCTGGAAAAATATTGGTTGCCGTCCAGCATATGCATACGGTTGGTCAAGGTTGATCCAAAGCTCAACTCCAAGTTGTCCCTGTTGATCACCACCTGCAATGCGCAGTATTTGTTCAGCTGCACTGAGTCCAGCTTTTGATCTCGCCTCTTGGATCCCGACGACATTGAGCTGGAGATATTTCATCTGTTGCCTCAGAAAGGCAATTTTGCCAGCATGTCCGTGGGGTTTGGTGTAGAGAGAGCGGACATTGGCACTACATAGGCTGAGTCGGACTTGTTGGAGCCGGGCTTGTCTGAATGAATCAGTTTGGCATGTTGCTGATTCTGCTCCTTCCAGTGCCGGGAGTTCCGGTGCACCAATGTCGAACCCTTGGGTTGTGAATGGAGGAAGGTCAGCAGCATGATGTAGTAGCATCCATAGATGGGGAATCACTTTTGCCCATCGTCGTGAGTCGTAGGCTTGTCGAGGTAGATGCAGGCTGCGAGTGGCCTCAAGCTTCGCAAAGTGATCAACCAGCTCATTGCCAGCGTCTCCGGCATGTCCCATGACATGTTGAATTTTCAGCTGATCCTCTGGTAGAGCTGCTTGAAGGGCTTGAAATAGTCCTCGTAGCATTCGCAGTGGTGGACTGATTTTGGTGGTTCCAATGTCTCCACTGGCTTGTCCTCTGGTTAGCTGCGAGTCAGTCAAGAACACTGTGGGCTTTCTATGATTCTGAGCAAGCCTCCACAACGCAGCCCAGCACATTGCTTCACACTCTGCCGCGTCTGCACCTAGATGTGTCGTGCCAAGATGGTGTGGGGCAGCTTCATCATATAGCACTTGTTGACACTGAAGACCAATGAACATGAGCTTGTCAGAGCTGTAGTTTTCACCAAAGACTGCGAAGCACCATGAATCACTGATGTCATGTTCTTCAACCCAAAGCGGGGGTTTGCGCTTGAATCTGCTTTGAGATGATCCGTCTGCGTAGATGATCAGCCGGTCAATGTGCGTATGTGTGACGCAGTTGTCAATGAGCTTCTGGCAGATCTCAGGAATCTCAAAGCCACTCAAATCTCGATGTAGTGGATGATTATCTGGATTGAAAAAGGCTTGGAGCTCCTCAATTGGCATGTCAAGCGATAGATTGGCCGCAGGTGTGCGATCTTCGATGTGCTGGCTGTCAAAGATCTGCGTGTGATTGCACTGTTGGGATTGTTTCTCAGGCCACGCTGTACGTTCCCTCTTCTTGCCTTCCTGCTGTGGCGGTAGCGCAGTGACATTCTTGAAGAAGACAATTGTGACCAATGGTTGTCGCTGTATGGTTTCCATGACAACTGCCTTGGCAAAGCCGTGTTTGTACAACAGCCGCATATGTTGGTGCAATGTCATCTTCTCGTCTGAGCGCAGCATGATTTGGTCTGTTTGTTGTTTTGGATCATCTGGGAGATAAATCCAAAGATGCTCCTGCTGCTCCGGGTCCAGAATGACTGCAAGTTGGTGGGATTGTACAAGAACGAAAGGGCCGGTCAGCTGCCACTCTTCCAGTGCATGAGCGACCTCCTGTTCTGTAGCACTGCCGTTGACTACAATGAAAGGTGGTTGTAAAATAAGAGGGTGTTCATACCACAATGTAATTGCCTCTTGTGTGACCTCTTGCGGCACAAGATCGTCAAGACAAAGTGTGAGTGGTTGAGAGTCAAGAGGCCCACTTGGTGCCTGTGGCGATTCATGATCGGAGACATGCGGCCGCTGTTCGTGAGCCACCGTAACAGCTGTTAGGCGCTCGCATGTTCCGTTCAGTCTTCCATCGGAAGGCAGGTGCGTGCGGGAACTGCGAAACCCAGTTTGTAGGAGTACATTTCCATCGGCTGGTACTGCCTGTATGGGTCTATACCCAATCCTTAAGAGGATGCCATATCCATCACGTATCGGAAATGGAGACCCAAGTGGGATCGCTGTATTTCCATACCATGCAATGCAGAGGTACGGTGTTCCGCTCGCCAGGCAAAGTTGTCCCATACCAATCAGCATGAGTATCTGATCTAGCATGAAATTTTCGTGCGTTGTCACTGCTATCTGCGTGAAGACTGTTTGACGAGCGTCAGTGTCATCAATGCCAGTGAGGACCATCGTCGACATCGTGTCTTGTGGGTTTTGTACTAAGAGAACATGGGTAGCAATTTCAGGATGAACTTGGGGAGGCTGTGGGTCCACGACCTGGATCATGATGGGCGCCCCAGGTAATGAACGGTCTTGCCAGACTCTCCTCAGTTGATTTTCCCAGCTCGAAAAATCTTCATAAAGGCGCACTGGACGTGGCTGGAGACAAATTCGATAGCCTGGGTAATATTGATCCACGAACCAAGTCATCACTGTTGTGGATGCGGATTCGCCCTCCCACGCAAAGGCTGTTCGCTGCCAGTGTTGGTGTAGATCTTCAATGGATTCAGGGACAGAGTTCATGTTGGGCATTTGCGGAACAAAGGTCGGAGCATCAGGGTTAAAGTTGAAACCCTCACAACTACCACCTGTACTCGAGGCCTCTGATCCATCCTGTGGAGCTTGTATGTGTCTTTGCCATCGATTGGCGGAACGTTGCATGAGTTCCATGGCGTCATCTGCTTCACTGTTCTCGGCAGGGTAGTGAATGTCAACAACAAGACTGCCGGCCCTCGGGATCTCTTCAATGATGTCATAGACTCCGAAGGGTATAGGGCCGTGTCGCACGCCGCAGTGTGAACGTTGACATTCTTGAAAGACATCACTCGCTCTCATGGCGTAGTTACGACTCAGCATGTCTGGCAGGGAATGAGCAGCATGGCGGATGTTCTGTAGATGACGTCCATGTCGCACTACTGAGATCATGCCAATGGTGTGCTCTCTTCTCTGCGACTGTTCCAGGATCAAGTGGGCCAGCACGCATTCCAAGTTGGTGCACGGAGGTTGCGGGTTGACCAGGTGTATGACAACTTCAAGGTCTGGGTCAAGATCCCCCTCCCACGGCTCAATGATGTCGTCAATCCATGTGGCTGAGTCAGCTTGGATCCTCACTGCTCTCGACGCCGTGCATGTTCTCATAGTTTGATGATGGATCATCCATGTTTCCAGATAAGCAATGGCTCCTTCTTCCTCGCACTCAATGATTGCATGATTCCTGAAAAGACTGCCGAACATTTTCAAGTCATCAGGCTGGAAACGCACTGATCTCTGCGGGCGATGAGCATCTTGCGCATTTTTGCTGGGATTGTGTAGAGAGGCAGGCTGTCTTTGATGTTCAGGTGCAATCTTGACTTGAACAGACTGTAGTTGCTGCTGGAGTTTTTTCCATGTCAGTGGTAGTTGTTTGAGGCTGCGTTGAAATAGATCTACGTCATCTTCTTCAATGTTTGCATCCGAGGGATTCCAGCTTGCATTACTGGATCTGTTGTGACCCTCGGTTGGATCAGAATCGCAGCTCAGCGATGGAATCTTCTCTCCAATGTGCACTTGAATGTAGTCGCCATCATCAAGATGCATTGGGTCCCATTGCTCAGCCTCAATGACGGCGTGATTGTGCCAGAGGTGGCAATGCTCTTCTTGTTCTTGAAATTGTTCGTCCAGTCCAAGCAATCGGAAAACTGATCTTCTGTTGATGGTACGTGGCAACCATTTCGCTTGCCGACGCATCGCAAACGGTTGGAAGCTTTGTGTGTTGTAGATGTCAATGTCGATCAGGACAATCCGCATAAATTCTGCCGGCCTGGGTTCGTTTCTCATTTGAAGTATGAGGCACTGAAGGTTGAGACGGCTCAGGTCTGTAGGTCGATGCATCACATGCCAAAGTCGTGCAATTTGACTTTCGACAAGGTTTCCATCTCTGGCCACAATCGCGTGATGTTCATTCGTGTCACTCCATGGCAGAGAAGTGGGAAATGCTCTACCGTCAAGGGTGAAAACTACTGTTCTTCTCAAATCCTCCTGAACAAAAGATGACTGTGATGAAGACAGTGTCGACGACGAAGTGGCTGACTGTGACGCTCTTCTCCAGTTCGCTGCATTCCGTGCCATAAACGATACATCATCTTCAGGATCACCATCTCCTGTCTCATTTCGACGATGTGGCGGGTGTGCAGCTTCTGGTTGTGCATCTTCTTCAGCAGGGTCCCACATGTTCCCTGGTCTCTGTCGTCTTTGTGCTTGTATTCTGCGAATCAAGTTTTGTTCAATTTCATCTTCGGAGAGAAGTGAAGGCACGCGTATGTGCAGGCCCAGGCCATGGAAGATCGCGAACACCTGGCCTTCTGGTTGCCGTTGGCGTCCAATGTATACTTCACACTGACCTGCTCCCTGCTGGTGTCTTTGCATGCATAGCTCTTCAATTCCAGCAAGTTGACATACCCTTTGTGGTAATAGATGAGGTTCAGTGGAGTGTGCACTCACTGAGAAACGTGTATTAGGGTCCATGATATGTGCTGTGGAAATCAGGCATGCAGCTCGATCATGTCGGAAATGTTGGTGAACGATGGCTGTTGCGACTGTTCCAGGGAACACATTTGTTGGTGGGTCAGGTCTGATAATGACAACGTCAAGTGCTGCTTCATGATCGACAAGATCTTCCCAAATGAACCTCACATCTCTTTCCCATTCAGCAACATCACGATCAAATCTCAGAATCCTTGGTTCTGCCTGAAATGGAATATCGCGGCGGCTGATGAAATACGATGTGACATAGATGACCGTGTCCTCTTCAGCAGCATCAGTCTGGCCCTTGTTGAGCAGAATAGCTTCAATTCCATTGGCCCATGTCGGTCGCAATGGTAATCTCTGAACGTGTGTGCGTCCATCAGAGGAAGAATGAGCAACAAAGCGTTGATCACGATGGGCATTGTCAGAGGATGAGGTGTCCGGGCAACTCCACGGAGTGGTTCCTGTTGCTCCCACTTCACTTGGAACATTCAATTTGTACATCTTCATGCTGTCCTCAGGGCCAATCCACAACTCCAAATCGTCTGCAAATCCCACATGCAGTGAACTTGGTCTGTTGGGCTTGGGCGAAGAATGTACTGTCGGTGGCAAGGCAAGGTCTCTACACTGGGAACTAGTAGAGCTTGTCTCCCTCAGACGCGTATGTGGAGGCAATTGAAGCTCATTGCAGAGTGACAGCGCTGTCCGTCTTGCTTGCCATTCAGATACAAAGGCTTCATTGCAGACCGCTCGATTGTTCCACTTCATCACGATGGCTGGGGTGGAATTGTCCCAATGCCTACATAGCCCTAGGTTGTCATACGAAAATGTCATGCACAACCGGGCTAGACAAAAGGCGGCTTTTCTCCAGCTGGAGCTGCCTCTTCTCCTGTCCCCATGGCGTGATCGTTCGCAGCGGTTGAGGAGGTTCTTGGTCTCTTTGCTGATTTCTCCTCTGTCTCGATTGCCTCTGCGCTGGCCTGGAGTTGCTGAAGCGAAACTGTGAGGTTGTTCAGACCTTCTTGGATCTGGCCCGATGCTTTCTCCACAGTCGCCTGGTCTCCCGGCAGCTCGTCGTCCTCGTCCACAATCTCGATAGTGCTGATCTTCCCTGCTTCTGCTTGAGACTGTTCTGCCTGTTCCTTGGCTGTCGTAAAGACTGCATGTGCTTGCTGGATGCGCTGCTGCAGTTCTTGTTCTTGTTGTTGGAAGAGCGTAGTGTAGCCTTGCCATTGTTGAACTGCATCGGCCAGGAAGTGTTTCCATGACGTGATCAGATTGCAACGTGCTTGCAATGCTTCTTCCACATCCTTCCGGGCAAGTCCCAGGTGTCTCACTGCAGAATGCAGGTCTTTGGTTGCTTGCGCCCCTTCGGACTTGGACATTTTCATCACCTTTTGTCGCATGTCCGGCGGCAATTCCATTTGTCTTGCTTTTGCCATCTCTATGAACTCCTTCTGTGCCGATTCCATGTTGATCTGCGGCGGGGCAGAAGGATGGAGCATTGGTGCAAGAGGAGCAATAGGAGGCTGCGGTGCTTGTTGGTATTGCATCGATGCCGTCGCATGTGTCATCGCTGGCTGCATGTGCGGCATTTGCTGGGAGACATTCATCATGGTCTGATTCGGCATGTTGTAGCCCGTCCACGGCATTGCTGGTGGGGGCAGCGGCGGCATTGGAACTTTGCCTTGTCCTTTGCCAAAATAGGCATTGGGTGCTTGGGCTTGTTGACCTTTGCCTTCTCCATAATGATGCTCGTGTGCACTCTTCGATCGATGTCGGCCCCGTGGAGTGTGTGTCCTGCTTTTTGACCTTGTTCGGTTCCAGCTGGAGGAATCTTGATGGCTGCTCCATGTGGTAGGCTCCTGTTGCCATTGATTGTAGGGGTTCTGTCTTCCCCCTGGGTTGTGCACATAAGTGCGATCGATGGCACTTTGCCAGGGCAGCTGGCAGACTGGACAAAACTCTGCCGTGTGTTTCCTCAGCTGTTCGCAGCCGATACATCTCCATGGTGCTTTGTTCGCCATTGTTTCTTTGATCTTGGCAAGGAATTGATAGTCTCGAGAATGATGATTCTTTAAAATCTCGAACACCCTTTGCAATTTGAACTTGGAAAGGTTGATCACTCCTCGACGGTGCAGGAACCACTGTCTTCGAGCGGTTGCTCGCAGGCGTCTCAAAGTTCTCCTTCTCGTTGCTAGAGTCGTGGCTGCCGATGACTTCGCCAGAAATAACAAAGAGGTTGTTCAAAAAGCCGATCAAGACAATGAAAATGATGTTCACCAAGCCCATGAAAGTGCCGTGCCCGATGGTCAGGACAAATTCAAGGAAATAGCGAAAGGACGGTGTATTGATTCCACACAAGATTCCAGGGCGTTGCCAGTTCAGAAAAAAGTGAATGGAATAGTCAAAATTGTTGAGCTGTTATTGGGATGCCAGGACCGATGGATTCGAAGTCCCCCACGCAAAGCCAAAGAAACAGTCAAAGTTGATGAGCGAAGGTGGTCAGGATCTGCACAGTATCCTGAGAGCACAATGGTGCAAGGCAGCCAGCTCGTAGTGCTCGAAGCAACGGCTGCCCGCGGACGTCTATCGCTCACCCGTCCGCTCAGGTCAAATGCTGGGTGCAAGCTAGGGGGGAAGTACTTCCTAGCAAGACACCTCAGAGCCGAGACCTTTATAATTATATATACATATCACTTGTGATCATTTGATGTTTTTGGCTAATAGGGTGCATCGGAGATGAGTTTTCGTTGGTTTCACCATGGATATGGCTCAGATTTTGACCCAGGGGACCTCAGATTGCTCGTGGTAAGCATCTATTTAATCTATTTCTGCATCTCAGTTTTGACCATGCCCATATATCAATTATGTATCAATTATATATCAATTATATATCAATTATATTCAATGTTATTTGGATAGTGTATAAATATGTGATTTCATACATTGCAAGCCAAAATTTCAGGATGGGGGGAATCTGGGGAATCATGACTTATGACTTCCCATGACTTCCCGTTGTTCAATGGGGGTGACCCCTTTACTCAACCGGACTAGCGGACTTCGGGAAATGATCCCATGAAATCCACGGATGAACCGGGTTTTCGGGCTCGGCTGAAATGAACCTCAGCGCTGTGCCCCATGCAGTTGCGGCGAAGAGAAGGTGGTTGGCCAAGAAAAATCCGTTGGAAGTCATCAAATCATGAACTGTTTCATCAATGTTCTCATCCAATCTCATCAACTTTCTCATCAACTGTCTCATTAAATCTTATCAAATCTCATCAAATCCACGTAAATGGTATGGAGTTCATAGGAAGGCGACCCCCCAGTTACAAGTTGCTTGAGAAAACCCCTCGGTATATACCCACGCAGCCTAGTTACACACCCACTTGCCCTTCTAGGCTGAGGTTTCCTGACCTGTAGCTACATCGGAAATCTAACTCAGACCCATGGAATCCGCTCAAATTCAATATATTGTTAGTATTTGTTAGTATATGCATATATGTAGATGTAATGTCCCAATAAAAACATGCGGAACGAGCAAAAGCAGCCAAGAAACCACACATGTCTCAAGACTACGGACACACCAAATCACCAAAACTTATCAACATTGTCAAATTCTGCGGAAACTGGGTTCATTGAGTTTGTGGTTAACCCCCTTTTTGGGTTCTCCGAGTCCTCTGGGTCACGAGGTTCAACAAATCAGGCCGTGGCCAGGAAACCGGACAGCAGCTGAGTTTTCGCCAGCCGAGGCACAGATTCAAAGTCCTAACTCTGCTTCCAAACTGGCATCATCAAAGCACCGCATGACCTCAACTGTCTGCGTCAAGTCACTGGGTGACCAAACAGTGAATGATTTACCCTGTAGGCCCTGTGAAGTTTTTCCACATGGCAAAAATACCGCATTTGGGGATGATTGTCCCATTAAGACCCTCCATTTACAATGGATTTTCCATGTCCACATTTGATTACCGGAGAGTATAGCAATTTGACATCCATAGAAAACATCAGAATTCATCCGCAAATTTGGCATGTTCCATGACCATGTCATTACTGTCCCTCAACTCACTCTTAAACTCATGTACCCCGCAAGAAAAAGTATAAAATACATATATATATATATTATATTATATTATATAATAATATATATATATTATCATATTATATATTATATATATTATATTATATTATATTATATTATATTATATTATATTATATATATTATATATTATATATTATATTATATTATATTATATATTATATTATATTATATTATATTATATTATATTATATTATATATATTATAAATATATACATATCTATATATATATATATTATATTATATATATATTCTTATATATTATAAACTTAGCACGATACCACGTGAAATTGTCCAAAAACTGGCTATACTATACCATACCCATCAAAACTCGATGCACCCTTCGGAATTTTTATGGTGACAAGCCCAAGTCCAAGGTGGCTCATGGATTCCTCAGTACCCCTGGTCCCATCTGCTGGAAATCCCCAATGTTCAAAGGTACCCCAAGTCATTTTGTGCTAAGCTGTTGATTTATCAAACATGTGATATAACTACCCTCGCTGTCCCCTATCGAGTAGATAAATAGATCCTATACTTTTCACCAGGGTGTTCTTGCGAAGATTTGTCATCTTATTTTGATTTATTTTGGCTGTATATGTATCATTATGTATCCCGTATCCCCGTTTCGATGATGAACGTGGATGAAAGAAAGCATATAATGTTTGATGTAAATACACCGTTACACCGTACAGTACTGATGGTATTCTTTTTTCTTCCCCCCTATTGAATCTATTGCTATGTCCTTATTCGGGGGTAAGGATTGGGTTAGAATCTCGGCCTGGAGCATGGCTGCAGCTGCCGCAGCCATGGCCTCCTCCTCCCCGTGGCAGAAATGCAGGGGACTTCCCCAAAACGCATGGTATGTTCGAGCGAATGCTCGGAAATGACTGGAAAATCACGGTATTTTAGAAGTGTCTGTGAATCATGGCTGATTGGTTCGATGGATTCATGTTGCAGTCAAATTCTACAGGGAAGCCATGCTCTTTGCCAAGGTACAGAATAACATGGAGATGTCCTGTGAACAGCTGCTTCCAATGCTGAAAGCAAACCCACAGACCGTGGTCTCTCGGCGCCACCGAGTATGGATTCATATGCCAACTCCAACCCCCGGAACGGTGGTGCCCCAGTTCGTTAGCTAAGTTGGTTTATACAAATTTACATATATATATATATAATTATATATAATATGTATATGATTGTATATGTAGTCTAGCTAGGTGTTATAGTGCAAATCTAGTTAGGTGGCTTTATAAACAAAATATGTAATTGCTTGTAATTGCTATTTGCTATGGGGCACCACCTTGTACGACCCTTGTGATCAACTAGCGACACTTCCGATCCATGTTTGCAGCGATCTGTTAGGGCTTCTTTCTGCCGGCCGCGGCCACACTTTGGAAGCGCTTCGTAATGTCAACCCCGGATTAATGAACCACTTACTGACTTACTGATACCCCCCCCAAAAAAAAAACAGCTAAAAAAAAAGTCGCATATATAAAATCACAGTAATTCCAAGTCTATTTAGTATTCTACCCCTCCATATGAGTTCGGTAACTCACTTTTCCCGCGGCCCGTCCTCTGTGACGTCCCGGCCCTCCTCCAACTCCTCTTCGGTCCATTCCCGTTGGTGGACGGCATGTGCCCGCTCCTGCGGCTGAACGATCGTACATGAGTACCCTTTGGTAAATCCACTCTAAATGGAGGTGTTTTTGGGAAAATCATGTATAGATTCTATTATAGATGCTGAATTTTCCAGCCTGCCATGTTTGATTACCAGATGGTATGTACACAAATTAGGGATACCATGACCCTTAGATGTTTTCCGCCTACTATATACTATGGAACATTTAAAAATAAACTTTGGGGGTATCCCCAATACTTTGTGGAGACCCACGGTATGGGCAAAAACCAAAGGTGTGACCCAATAAATGTGTCCAAATGATCTGGCTACGAAAGTTCAACTATGCCTACATGGATGTGTGCTTTTGATTTACGATTCACGGCCATACTTTTAAGTTCGTCCCACCTAGCAACTGGTTGTCATAGCCATGTTTGGCTCTCCCGTTTGACAACAGCAGGATTCTGGGGGCCGCAACATCACCTGAGTTTTTATCATGTTCTGTTGGTTGGTGATTACTCTAGTATCTCGACGACTGTTCATTACGATTCCTGGGATGCTCATCCAACCTAGATCATCAAATATCAGTAAATATCATATGGAGGTGTCCTAAAACAGGGTACCCCCCAAAAAAAATCATCCAAGACCATGACTTTGTATTGAAATAACCATGGTGATTTGGGGATCCCCCATGACTTAAGATACCTCCATATCTTCTGATATTCCATTGTCGACATGACAGAAATCTCATCCAGTCGACTTCCTCGAGGATGGTCCGCGTGGCGTTGTTTTCGTGGCTGTTCCGCAGGAAGGGCCTCGGCAGGGGGCTGTTTGTTGGCTGGGAAGAGGATGGTATTGGAATGTAGCGTCGGTTTGTTTGACGTTGTGGACAATAACCAATTTTTCATGGGTAAATCATCGAACTAAATGATCCAAATGGGCCCAATTGTCCATAGCTATGTTGAATTACCAGAGGGTACGACTTATTGCATATACCCTCTGGTAATTTAACATAGCTATTGAAAATGGCCATTTATAGTGAGTTTTCCCATTGACAATGGTGTTTTTCCATAGTTATGTTAGTTTACCAGGGGGTAACTTAGAATCCATCCTTTTTGGGGGGTTGCTTTTTGGTGAGAGCCAAAAAGATATCATCGATCATCCCAGTACTGCCAGGGGATCATCGCCAGGATGGGGATCATAAAATCCATGGTAAAATGGTGATCAGTCCATGGCCCCATTCTTATTTTTATCTCTTATATATATATGAATAGATTTGAATCAAACAGAGATCATCCCAACAATGGAGGATACCACCAAGAATGGAAGCATCCAAAGGATTTCAGGCCGCCCAGGTGTGTTGGCTTCCTCTGGATGGATGCGGTAAAGCTCGGGGAATCAAAGCTCTGGTAACAGAACCCCCGGATTTATTGGAAAAATATTCTATGGATGGGGGATGTTCCCGGGGTAGATCTAAACCAAAACAGCTAGACATATTTTACCAATATATCCCGTAAAGTCCCAGATATGAATGGACAGAACGTGGGTCGGATTATATGCTGTTTTAAATCCTCAACCAACCAGTTTACCCTTCGACCGGTTCTGACCACACCCCTGCCCCCAGCAAAAGTCGTATTCTCGCCTTCGGGGGTTCTCGGACCGCCTGCGTGGGACCCTTGGAACGTGTTTGTTCCTGGCCATGTTGAAACTCCAGCACTTTAGCACATTTACAATATTTGATTCAATGATACCTATAGATATGTTATATATACATACATACTTACAGATATAATAAAGTTACATACTTATAATTACATATACTGTATATAATTGTGATATTGTGTATATATATATATATGAAGAGGAAAGGAAGAGGAAATGAAGAGAACCGGAAAAGGAATTGAAGAGGAAGAGGAAAGGAAAAGGAAAGGAGGAAAGGAAAGGGGAAGAGGGTCTATCTGTGGTCAATTTTTGAACAAATGGATATCGCTATGGTATCCCAAGGGGTATCGGGAATCTCGCCTCTTGCATGGACGCAACTTTGTGCAAATCAGCTTCAGGTGAGGACGTTATATACGATTATGGGTATCGCTTTCTGGGGGGGTCGATTACTACACAGTGTTTGGTGCACTTTCCAGACCGCAAGGGAGCATTCCCTTAGTAAAGTCAAATGCGATCATTTTGACCATACCTCATATGTAATGTAGATATATACATACCATTACATACCATTATGGGGTGATTGTGCTTCGGTGGAGCCCCGGAGTGGCCCACCAAATGGATGTGTCTGACTTTGTTGGGGAAAACCACGAAATCCATTGCTTATTCATTGTTTTTTTAGTAAAATAACCGTGTTGGGGCTTAAATACCCCATTTTTGAGTCACACTCAAATCATATCAAATCACAATATGCTTGGCTATATCCCATGAATGCCCATTCATTTTCTACACATTTGCTGGGGAAATCACCATTGAATCACCATGAAATGCGGAGAAAACCGTGGCTCCCACCGAACCGAACATGGCTCTGCCTCCAGCTGATACTGAAGTGTTCCTGTCAACGTCTGACCAGACATGGCAGTGGAAAATCCCAGATTGATAGATGATGGTGATAGATGATGGTATTTGAGATGTATGATATATGTATGATACTATCATCTATCAGTGGAAAATCAAAAAAATATTTAAGATCATATAATACAGTAGATAGATGGATGATACATCTGATTGTTTGAAAAAAAAACTGTTGTTTTCTGTTCTGTTCTGTTTCCACCGCTGGGAAAAACTGTTTTCCGGAAAGTATCGAGAAGGTCAAAGATTTCCGGGCCAATTGCATGACCTCAACGGCTAACACTTTGGACAATTGCAAATCATCAAAATGTCGCTTCACCGATGGCTGGTTCAAACATGTTGGAACACGCATATCATCGCAATGCATTTGGAGAAGAAAGGTGCGGATCCCCACCAACCCATTCCTAGTTGGTTTGTGCTCGTTTGGATACTCCGAACCGTTAAAGTCGACCAATTTAACAGAATTGTGTCAAATCTCATTGGGACGCCGTTGGATCAGGAAGTCAAATAAGTTGACCAAAAGCAAGGTCAACCCCAATGGGACGCCGATGTACGACAAACTCTGTTTTGGCAAGTTTTGCTGTGTGAAAGATGAGGAAACACCTTGTGGACGCAACTCCCAAAACATCTTCAAAGTGGTATTAAATACAACAAAAAACACTCATGTCATATTGGGACGCCAGTGATTCACCACATGTAGATTGCAAGTGATCACAAGAAAAGCTGCTTTTACCCGTTGGATTCTGTAGGGACACGGTTACCCTCTGGTAAACTAACGTAACTATGGAAAATCACCATTTTTAATGGGTAAATCCACTATAAATGGCCATTTTCAATAGCTATGTTAGTTTACCAGAGGGTAGCTGTTTCGAACGACGTCCGAACGACGTCCGAACGACGTATCGAACGACGTCACAGGGTATCAAAACCCAGACCTTTGGATTCATTTGCTTTCATGTTCCTTTCATTCTCCTTTCATTTCCTCTCATTTCCTGTCATTGTCCTTTCATGCGATCATGAAAACATGGTATAGACACAACCTAAATACGAAGTCACACAAAGTCGCTGGCAATGCAAAACCCACGAAAAAGTCAAAAACTGAAAAAAAACTAACTTGCTAGACACAAGCTGGACGCAACATCGGTCAACTTTAGAAGTTGCGTGCGCGCAGCTGGGACGCTCATTTCATTGAAATCGTTCAACTTTAACAACTCAGAGTACCCATTACTGGTACCTAACAGTCTGGAATTACGGTAGGTTGGCAATGCATAGCTTCTAGCATTGTAGCTTGTTCCCCAGGCCTGGGCGGGGGCGCTGTTGTAGCCAAAGGAGTTATCCCACATCTTGAAGCGAATCACCTGGCCGTGGCCCGGACAGGAGACAAACATCATTCTTTCGAAAAAAAATGGCACATGTGAAGGGTTCCTTCAGAAGGTTGTTACAGTTGTTACCTACAATGATGTTGTTGTTGTTGTTGATGATAATTATGATCATGGTGACAATGATGATGAAGGATTTATGACACAATGAATCTGATGGCAGCTGTCCTCTTGTCAGTGGATGCTCAAGGTGGATGCCCATGCTTCGTCCCGCTGCCATTGTTTGGGTATCTCCATGAAATATTACCGGCTATCCCACACTATATCCCATGTATGTATGTATATATATATATATGTGTGTGTGTGTATATGTATATACATATACATACATGTATATATACATATATATATATACATATATATATATATATTAGATCCATTTAGATCCCACTAAACCAAAATTTCAATCATGATAAATATGATATGTAATTAATTCACAAACCTCATTCTTTCCCAGCCTCCAGATACACTTTTTAAATCCCAAATGCCCATCGAACCGAGGTGTCTCAATCTCGCCTTCAAATGGGGGCAGCTTTGGGCCAGCCCTTCAAATCCTCCGGCGTGGAGCTGTGCGGCAAAGCGTACCTTGGTGAGGGGAAACCTTGGACAAGGTGGTGCCCTTTATGGGTGAGTCAAGAACCTTTTTTAGAGAATGTGGTAGCACCGTCATGCAATGACCTTGAAGAGGATCTTACAACATCATTAAACAAGAACCTCTAAGACTCTAAGAGCATCTTACTAGAGCTTTCATGCAAGAACCTTTAGCAGGATATCTTCAAGATCTTCATACCAGGACCTCTTAGAGGACTCCATAAAGGCTTCTCACAAGGTCTAGACGAGTTTCATGCAAGACCTCAAATGAGCACCCTTCCGCAGCGGGAACACTCCGGCACAAGATGCAGAGGGGGTTGCACAAGATATCAAAATAATTAAGCACTGTACTACAACCAGACCCATCCGACCCGCGCAAAATGAGGAGAGGGTTGCGCGCGCGATATCAAAATGAGCATTGCGATGAAACGATCCAACACGCACAACAAGCACCGCGCCACAACGAGAACGACGTCCGAAGCAACGTTGGACGTCACATGATTTTAGTTGTCAGCATCTTTTGTGGAAATTATGACGCTTGCCACCAACAAAATGAAGCCGAGGCGTCCTAATAAGTACTGTACTAGTAAATGTCATTTGAAAACATCGTCAAAGTTCACCAAATGTTGCCCCAAATATTGCACCTCGCATGAAAAAGACCTCCAGCACTTCTCACACCCACGCCTGCCAACGTCTGAGCAAGGTGCACAATATACTGCGCCTGCCAGGCAGATAAAAAAAATGCCTGAAGCCTTGCACCCGTCCACACAAAACATACAAGGCTCCAAAAACAGACACAGAACGCACCTGCGCAGTAGAGATCTCCGCGAACACGTTTCGTGCGAGACTTCATTTCAAAATGGAGCGAGGAACTCTTGCGCTGTCACCAAAAAACGCAAAACCGAGGGCACCACCTTGTGGGACCGATACATGTGACCCGATTCCACCTGCTAAACGTATGCGTTCTGCTCCTCAAAAGCAAATCTCTTGGACTCAATAAAGCAACACCATCCTCCTAAGGTTCTAAACCAGGTGTCCAAACCCAGAGTACAGTGTCATACAGTGTCCATTTATCAAAAAACAAAGGAACAACAGCAGGTTTCCCGGCGGCATCTCGGTAGATGTGCTTCGTTCTCTCAGCCTCACCGTTGGTTTCTGGTGCTCCCCGAAGCTGAAAATGAGGAGAACCATCAAAACTGCTGGATTTTAATATGGTTAAATGGTTAAACATGGTTAAACATGGTTAAACATGGTTAAACATGGTTAAACATGGTTTACCCTTCAGGAAATGGGGATGTAGATGTATAGACAGCTATCATATGAAATGGGCCCAATGCTTAAGGTTCCAAAATAAGCAAATGTCCCGTTTTTCCGACCCATGGGAGGTGGCCAGGTACTACATGTTTCCCACAAACCTAATGTTGGCGAATCATTCTGGTGAATTCCTCCCGAAAACGATCTAGAAGTACAGAGCACCACCAATTTTTGACGTGAAACAGTGAAACCTCCAAAAAGGGCCACTTCCTGTAGTAAAAGTAGTAAAATGATGTTTGGAAACCCATGTTTCAGGTTTCATGTTAAATTCTGGGGATGTGATTCTCATGGTTCGCACCATCATCTCAGGTGTCCAGACCAACATCTCCGCTTCCTCACTGGGATCTTCCACATCAATCAAGACCTGGAAACAAAGGCAAAACGCACGGGAAAAAAACATGAAAAATGCGGGAAAGAACAAACAGCAAACACAAACATTGTGTTTAAGCGACAAAAAGAAGGTCCATAATCATCATAGCCAACAAATTCATGAGAAAGATGAAACCCGCCAAAAATTGTGTTGTTCGTTACGTTTTCCAGGATGCTCTTTCTACACAGTGGTTGAGCGGTTCAGTGTCTTTTGTTTGGAGTTCCTACAGATACAAGTACCAGCCATAGCTGAAGAAATGGAGACCCCTGATCAACGAATGGGGCCACTGTGGGCTGCTTATCAGACTAGGAAAAGACTCACAAGAGCTACGGGGCCACAGATCTTGGTCGTAAACAAGTTCTTAAACCATTCCATTGCAGGGTACCCAATTGTGACCCTATACCCAAATATTCCCCAAAATCAAAATCAAGTCGACATGGATGGGTTTGGGTCGAAAAGAAAAAGGGGAACCGCAAATGTCAGCACCCAAACGAGGTGGAAATTGTGAAGAACTCGAATCATGGATGCAGATGCAGTTTCTACCAGTTCCAGCATCATCAACACCATCCCAACAATTCGGTGGTTCTTAAAATGCAGTGCCTCATCCAAAATCGGGCATGTTTGATAGGGACCAATGGGATAAGGAAACCAATAGTATTAAAAATAAGCAAATTTTGAGAAGCACACAAGTATGTAGAGCAAACAAATCATGGTAACCTGGTAGTTGCTCCATTTGCAAAAATCCGAGTATTCCAGCAGTGTCATGTCAATCCCAGAGACGAAACCTCCGCTGCATTGAGGGCGATGTCTTGGTCGTACACAAAGGTGAGCTCCTGTAGGGATCCATGGATCGCCAAAACGGGCGATCGGTGAGCTCCATCCCATAGAGGAAATCCATGGTGTTAAAAGGGGAAATACTATACTGCTTGGTGGTTGACCTACCCCTCTGAAAAATATGAGTTCGTCAGTTGGGATGATGACATTCCCAATATATGGAAAAATGAAAAATGTTCCAAACCACCAATCAGTATAACATATATTATATATTATATATTATATATTATATATTATATATTATACATTATATAATATTTTATATATATTCCTACGAAAATGGGTTGATGACCATCCCCCAAGAACTTGGCAATCTGCCCAAACTTTGAGCAAGGCACATGTGGCACATATGTCACATAACCCTGAAAATGATTTGGAGGAGTCCGGCCCGCCAAAAGAACAAGAACTTCGCGAATGAACCAAAACTCCGCAGCGAACTCTTCTTGTGGAAAATTACCAACAATACCTATAGATCATTTTGAATGACTCTATATTAAACAATCCCATTCAACAACCATTCATCAAACATTACCCTCTGGTAAACTAACACAACTATGGAAAATCACCATTTTTAATGGGAAAACTCACTATAAAAGGCCATTTTCAATAGCTATGTTAAATTACCAGAGGGTACCCTCCAGCAATCAAATGTGGCTAGCGATTCTCCTCGAGCAAAGGGCAAAGTTGTCCAAAGTGGCGCCATGTCTGGGGCCATGGAATCCCCTGGTGAATCCCAAAGGGAACAGGATTCTTTCTGGATGCTTATCCCCCATAGAATGGTTGGGGAAATCTACAGGAAACCATGGCTTGACCATCAAATACTGGGGGTTCCTGTGATATGAAACTTAAACCAATCCAATGACGCAAATACAGTTCATCAATGTTCATCATGTATAAAAGGTATTGACAGATCCCCGGATGGGTTTTTTGAGATGTTCTTGGTCTGCAACATGAGTCACCCTCAGCATTCCCTGTCCAAACTCGACAACATGAAGAATGAATTCAATATGCCTTGCGCTGTTGGGACGGGGACCTTTGGTAAAGTCCATCTTGGAGATCCCCACTTGACATGCTATCCACATCCGGGCAACACTCGGCAGAACCGACGGATCATGAGGAGCATATGTTGCAACCCCCCATTTGGTGTTGTTCAGAAAGGAGGTATACCGGTGTACCAAAATTGTCATTTCGATGAGAGAAGTTGAAAATTGATCAGTGATGAGGGATGACAAACCATGGGTTTGTGGCGTACCCAATTTTTGGGCAAACCCATTTTGGTTGGTGATTTATATTTGAGCAGTGTCAAAAACCCACTGGAAAATCATGGAAAATCCGTCATAATCCCCAGTATAAGGTAAAGCCTCATCAACCATCATGATCTATCACTTATAACTGATCCATCATAGTTTTTTAATGACGAAAACCTGTGTGTATATATATATATATTAAACCACGTTGGATTATGTTTAAAAAAAAAAAAAACTCCACGAAATGACGCATCACCGCTTTTTTTGACACCAGGCACCTTAAGCCGACCCCTGCTCCACCCCCGCAAGGCGCACCGGCAACAAGGGCACCCGCTGCGACAAGCGTGTGACCTTGCTGCAGAAGTGATGTTTGCCCCTGCGAAACTGGATGGTTCCCATCATCCCGGGTAAAACTGGGACATGCGTAGTGGTTATATGGAAATTAAAACCAAAAAAAACAAAAACACATGTTGAATCTAAGTGGGTAGCTGCAATCCACCAAGTAAACCATGGTTTCTGTTGTATGTTTAATCTCAGGGGAAAGGGATTTATGATGATTTATGATCATTGATGGTGATCAATGATTAATGGATTTAGCCTTTGGTGTCCTCAAACATGGCTAGCTGGGAAGTCCGAGAACTAGCCATGGAGGCTTCTTCTAGCTGGGAATATTATCGAACTAAGTCGACCATGGCTTCAATAGCTGTTACCCTCTAGCAAACTAAGAGTTTGCTATGGAAAATGGCCCATGTGACGCTCCTCTGCAAACAATTCGTCAGTACTAAACGACCCATCCAGTTGGTTCACCCTCTTATGTTGAGCACTCCCCTCTGGCAATTGAACGTAGCAATGGAAATCACCCTTTGAAATATAGGTAGTAAATCATCGAATTAAAGGGTCCATTGTCCACAGCGCAAACTGTTGAATTACCAGAGGATACATATGTGCCATCGTCGAAAGATGGATCATAGAAAATTGGGGGATGATCATACCACCATTCATGGGAAAACAATGGAACATATATAACGCAAAAAATAATATCCTGCCTGACAACTTAGCTGGTTACAGATCCTGGTTTTTTTTGCTTTCAAGAATTAATCGTTGGTTCCAAGGATCTTAATTTTGAATCCAGTCTCTGTTAACTTTCCTAGCTGAGCAGTGCCACAAACTTTTGGTCATCCGCTTTCACTGGTTGGTTTGCTCATAGCTTTTCGTGCCCATGGGCTTCACAAACCTCCCGATATTCGGATCTTTCAAAAACTTGGTTGACTCCCAGCCGAATCGATCAACCAACACAGTTTCATATTTAACCAAACCTCCTTGAAATTCATGGTTTTGATTTCCATATATGTTGATTCACGATTGTTTCTGGGACGACGAGCCGGCTGTGGCCGCTAGATACTCCAGATCGGATGAAGTGATGTAAAGTGATGCAAGTGCGGTGCAATTCATACGTTTTCCCTGGTTAAATATCAACTTTTGCTGGTTGTAGTTAAAGCATATTAAAGCCCCATGTTTGCTGGTGAATTCCTCAATCGTCCTATTAAAATCCTGATGTTTCCAGGTCATATAGATCCAGTTTTTCGCTGCTTCATTCTCAATTTTCCTACCGTAATTTGTTGCTGAATCTAGGGATGGATCAAATCCTGTAAAAAACCATATTTCAGGGGATAAACATCCATAAAGGACAGCTATTTTAAGTGCTATTTTCTGATGTCATCCATCCGTGTTTTGCTTATGAAAGTTGTCACATTCCTTGCAGTTTTGCTCGGGGCCTTGGGGAGGAGTTCAAGCTCCGTGACGGGATCTTCTGCCTGTGATCTTTCAAGGACAATGGAGAAAAATACGGGGTGGGTACCCTTTAGTAATCAAACATGGCAATGGTAAAAAATCTGATGACTGGTTTCCATATGAATGGAGATTTCTAGCTGGGAAAATCATCTATAAATGAGATGAAATGGAAGGTTTTCCACTGCTATGCTTGATTACCGGAGGCTATTTACCCATTTTTTTCGGCAAAACTGTGATACTGAAAAAGCTCTAACAATCCCGGGGGTTTGGGGGTTCCAAGCTCACCCTATATGGCTATGGTTCAAGAAATTGGTAATCCGATTGTCCCATCTCCCTAGTGATCTTACCAGCAGTTAGGGGGTGGAAACCTAGATTCTGTCATGAAAAGAGGGCACTAATCATTGATGTTTCCACAGACAGCAAGAAACAATATGTGGTTCATGGAAATCAGAGGGGTGCATTGATATATGTTGTTATTGATTTATGGTCCAACATGCAGATTACCAAGAAAGGGGGTGATATGATTACATCACCATCAATAGATGTAGGTCATGACGCCTCGTGTGGTCTTAGTCAGTGCAGGCAATGGTGTGGATCTTGGATTTTTTTCATGGCAGCCTCAACTGAACACTTCAAAACGTTTCAGAGGGCGTGTGGGTTAGACAGGTGGCATGTAATCGGTTCGGTTCTTCCCAAACCCCCAGCCACAAGGGGCCATATGTCTATCCATTCTCAAGATGAAAACCTGGACAATCTTGGTTGAGCGCTGCTGAGGAATCCCATTGTCTCCACTGCCAAATGAAATTCCTGGACCCATCAAGGCCCCAAGCGCCTCAATGACGTCTGTCCAGAGGTTTAACTCGAGTTCTTCCAGTTGAGAGCCTTAATTTTCTTTCGGGAGAAACCCAGCTGGCGGGCCGCTAATGATCAAACTGGGGATCTGAGGGAGCACCTGCATTTCTCATTTTCATGGGCCCAAAACGGTGCCCAACAACGAACAAGATTCCGCATAGATTCCGTAATTCTGGTGGATTTCCTATGGAACGATACGTTAGAAAACACATCACTCAGCGTCTCAGTTGACCCAGGTTTTGGTTCATCCGGTCAATCAGAATTTTCCCAAAAAATTGTCCAATCAAAACCGTGCCATTTCTGCACGTTTCCCACCCTCCTGCTGGGGTAAAATCACCATGGCTCCACTCATCTGGGTATTTTTTTACGAAAAATCAATCATTTCAAAGGGATATGTTGGGATAAACTAAGATATGAAAAACTTCACCTTGATTCTGTAGATATTTTTTATGTTCTTCATAAACCACCGTGTTTTCACTTCTTTGTTTTGTTTAGCCGTGGCAATTCCCAGCTGTTTCTGGGCCTCCGGGCGATTTCTGTTGATGAGGGTCAGGATGGCCTCACCGCACACCACTGTCACAACAGTTTGAATCACAGGAAAATATCATGGGAAATCATTAAAGAAACCACAACCATAGTGATTTAATAGTGATTTAATCTGATTTAATGGGATATGAATGGGATATAACCTCTGGTCATTTGTTGCATGGCTATTGAAAATGGCCATTTATAGTGGATTTTCCCATACAAAATGGTGATTTTCCATAGTTACGTAAGTTTACCAGAGGGTAAAGAAACCACAACCATATGGCCATATGGGACATCAGCAACCATTTTAAGAAAAATTTTCTGGGAAAATTGTGTGTCTGCAATTGCGGCAAAAACACCCCAAAGAATATATTGGCATTTGAAGATATTTCAATATGGAAAAGGTGATCGACCATGGGATTAAATGGATCCCCATGCGTACTCTATTTTCAGACAAAGCCAAAAACTCCCGCGGTCAATTTGGTAGATCTGAATTTTGAATTTTCCATGACAGATTGACCCTTAAAATGACGGAATCAAACTACCAACATTCCCCTTGAAAGGGCCTACAATTCTATATCTGTAGCTCTGGGCAAATCATACATCATATTGTTTCCAAACCCAAAAAAATCAGCCGCTTTTTTCGGGGTGGTCTTTAACATATATGGTCCCGTCCTCCGTCTCTCCCCCCCCCCCCTCCCCCCCCCCATGGGTTGGGTCCCCAGGTACCACCCCCCCTTTCCTTCTATTTGCAAGCTATTGGCAGCATTTCTGAGGTCCAGCTTCGTATTTGCTAGGTCTTTGCAGCATTTCTGACTACCAGCCTCGCATTTACTAGGTACATGCTACCTTTTAGGCGACCTACGTAGCACACATACTCCTTCAAAGTACCTACGTGCTACCTATAGTCATATATACATGTGCTATGTATCTACTGTATCTACTTCCTATTTACTACCTGTGTACTCTGACAACACTACCTGTGTTTAACATATACCGTACCTACCATACATGTCAATGATGCCATGCATACCATACCTATCATATCTATCATATCTATCATACATACCATACATACCATACATACCATACATACCATACATACCATGCACATGAAATGTAATTACCACACCTACCATACATACAATAGCAAACATACATGCCATACATACCATACCTACCTTACATAGGAAATATTCCATACCCATCATAGTAACAATACATACCATACAGACCATACATACTGTCATATCAAACATACCATACCCAACAGACTTACATACCATACCTACCATCCATACAATACCAACCACTCATGCCATACATACCATACCTACCATACATACCAAACATACCATACTTTCCAAACATGCCATACCAGACCGACCATACACACCATACATACCCAACATACCATACCACACCCCCACCACACCACAGGGGGGGGAGGGGGACAGTACCACACCCCCACCACGCCACAGGGGGGGAGGGGGACAGTGCTGGGTCCCCAGGTAGCACCCCCCTTCCCTTCTATTTGCAAGCTATTGGCAGCATTTCTGAGGTCCAGCTTCGTATTTGCTAGGTCTTTGCATCATTTCTGACTACCAGCCGCGCATTTACTAGGTACATGCTACCTTTTAGGCGACCTGCGTAGCACACATACTCCTTCAAAGTATCTACGTGCTACCTATAGTCATATATACATGTGCTATGCATCTACTGTATCTACTTCCTACTTACTACCTGTGTACTCTGACAACACTACCTGTGTTTAACATATACCGTACCTACCATACATGTCAATGATGCCATGCATACCATACCTATCATATCTATCATACATACCATACATACCATGCATACCATACATACCGTACATACCATACATATGAAATGTAATTACCACACCTACCATACATACAATAGCAAACATACATGCCATACATACCGTACCTACCTACATAAGAAATATCCCATACCCATAATAGTAATCATACATACCATACAGACCATACATACTGTCATATCAAACATACCATACCCAACAGACTTACATACCATACCTACCATCCATACAATACCAACCACTCATGCCATATATACCATACCTACCATACATACCAAACATACCATACTTTCCAAACATGCCATACCAGACCGACCATACACACCATACATACACAACATACCATACCACACCCCCACCACACCACAGGGGGGGGAGGGGGAAGATCTCATATGGGGCCAGTATCTGGGACCCATCCCATGTGGGGGGGGGAGGGGGGGGTGGCAGGGCCTGGTGCATATATACAAACATTAATATAAAGTAATATGTTTAGCATCATTAATCAATGATAAGCTTAAACAAACCATGAAGATCCATGGTTTGTTGGTTTGTTTATCCAGATTTGGGAGGTAAAAAACAGCTCCAAATGGCGTATCCAAATTTGGGATGTCCCGAACCTCCACCATGGAATTAAGCCCAAAATGGGGTAGCTGTTTGGACTCACAAAATGGGGTATTTGTTGTGCTCGAAGTTAGTAAAAAACATCCGTGTTGGATAGGTAGTCAAAAATGTTTTGACTCACACCCAAAAAAACACCTAGCTTTGACAGTTCTTGTACAATCATTGGAGGGTAAAGTCAGGAACTCAAATTGCAAGCTAATTCTAAGCAGGAACCGACCATCATCAATGTTGGGCTACCGCAAATTACCCCCCCAAGATTTAGCATGTTGGTTCGGTTACATTTGGTAGAGGATAGAATGATTAACATTAGGACAAACCATGCCAAGTCCATATGACCAGCAATAAATGTGGAAACGAGCCACCCAATAGTCTGGTTCATATTTTCAAGCATTCAGCAAACATATCTCAATGCATTTTTTTCTGGCTGGATAAGGAAGAAAAACAAGTAGTGCTGGTTGCCCAAAAACCATTTATATAGAGTGACCTCGCCGCGTGAGGTTGCTACACCTTTTCCAGAATGATCCCCTTCTTGATCCTTTTATTGACCTATATATATAACTGGAATATCCCCATTTTCAATTCAATCATGGTTGATGGTTCCATTAGTTCTGTCCCCGTTTAATCATATCTCTGTTCGAAGGTGTCGACGCCGGATGAGGCTAAACCCTGGCTGAGTAAGGGGGTATCCCCCAAAATAGTGATGTCATCTGCTATTTAAATGGTACCCCTCGTTGAAATTGCCGTAAAAAAGAATCCGGGGTTGGCATTGTTAGTCATTGGGGATCATCCCTTAAATTTGCTTGAAATATGTTGAAATAATTATTTTAAAAACATATATATATATATAATTGGTATAATGTGGGGACTGTTCTTTTACCACTCACTTATGGTATTTTATGGCGATCTTGGGGATGGTTTATGCCATTGAGTTTACCACATGATGTTGGGCATTGTTGGGCTACCCAAACAGTGCCTATTCTTGGACCCCAAGACTTTGACTACGCCGACGGAATTTACCACTACGCCTTTTGGGACTGCTTCTGCTGGCAGCAGCCCACCATCTTCAGAGACCTTCGCGACGCCGGAAATTGATCGAAATGGGGGGCCGCTACAAAGAAACTCAGCACCCGAAAGTCATCACGCTTCGCAATCTATGAATGTTTTTTATATCTGGAAACGGCAAATTCTGGGTTCCCATTCTTTGTTTTCAGCAGAATTTGCTCTAGTGATTTTTTCACATCGGGCAATGAACAATGCTCGAGTGACATCGCCCATTGCAAGATCCTCAACACGACCTTCGGTGCGATGATCATCGGATGTCTCTCCCGTGAGGCAACCCTCATGACCTATCTGTTGTACCATCGGTACCGTAATCACTTTCTTGTCACCAGCCTTCAGCAGAGTCACAACTTCGAACAAACCAATCTGAGTCTGAGCAACTTCACAGACTTCCCAATTCGGACTAATAATTCTGCTAATATACAATTAACAATGATTCTTCCAATATCACCAGAATAATGATTCCTCCTCCTTACTCATTAGTCAATGACTAGTGTAAATTGACCATTAATTAAGGGGAATCATCCATCTGGGCAAATGTATCGAACCCAGCGACGGAAACTCCCCATATCCATATGTGCCCATTGGTGTCCTATATTCTCCAATCCAACATATGAGAATTTGGCTAGTTGAATTGCCCGTAGCCAGGAATCCATTAACTTATATAGATAATTTGGGTCCAAAAATGGGCTATCCCTGAAATCCAGCCATCTGTTCAAAACCTTAGGTTTTCTGGTTCAGCAATCGCCACAAAAATGTTGGTGCCAAATTTACCAAATTCAATTTGAATCTGGAGTTCCATGGCATGAACCTCCACTTTTGGGTCTATCCCCAGTTCCAGTTTATGGCATCGGGTGCTTAGCCATTCAACAACTCACAACGAGCCATCCAAGTGCGGTGCCTGAGTTTGGGCATCCACAGGGACGGCAGGATCAGTTTGATGGCGCAGTCCTAGATCAACCGATATTGGAAGGAACTAACTGCTTTATCTAAGGTTTATTGGAAACAATCTCTAAGTTATCTAAGTACAAGGATTGAAACTATTAAGGTTTATTGGAAATAAGGATTCCTTTGAAGGATTAAAAACGTACTTAAGTAGATAAGTTCTATAAAAGAAGTTTGATGATGTGGGAAATCCTCTATATACTTATCTTACTGATCGACTTATATAATAAATAAACCTCAATTCTATGCTTGGTGGGATTTTCCTGGATTTTCTGGTTTTGAGATACGGGGGGAGGAACCATCGTTAAACTGAGTAAATGAAGCAGTGAAAAAAAAAAAAACAATGTCCCCTCCTTGTGGCAATAATTTTCCTAAAATAGATGCCCCAGGAATAATGATGATAGCCGAAGTTGGAATTGGGCGAGTTCTACATTTTTCTGGGACGAGGTGATGTAACGGATGATCACCACTCAATATCCTGGTGGGTGTGTCAATGAAGATACCCTATGGTCATGTTTATGTCTAAACGGATTAACCATCAAAATTGAGGGTACTCTATGTTCAATCAACCCCACATAAAGATGGAGATCAAGGCGTTCAATGGATCGATCTTGAGCCAAGGGCCAACAGTTCAGCTATCAGTGGATCACTGGGATGCTTCAATAGGCCGGAGCTGGGTGCAGAAAAAACACCATTTAAAAAAAGTGGTAAATGGTCATGAATCATCGAAACTAAATGGGCTATGTTCCATAGCAGCTATCTGAAATAACCAGAGGGTAGTTTGAAAATGGTTGGAAGTAGTTCAGGAGGCCAAAAATAAAGTGGAACGGAAGACTCGGATAACCCCCAGTTGCGAACCATTTGGTTTCTATCCTCCTTGAAATTGTTGTTTTGCAGGCCATTTTGAGACAAACCCAAATACACCCTATGTTTGGTTAGTTAAATTCTCTTTTGTTGGATAATCATATTGATAACCACTTAATCTACATGATAGTGGTTTTTAATCCATAGTAAACTAAATCATGACATATGAATGTCTAGTTGTACCATACCATTCATAATATCCAAGGTCATATTAATGGTATACCATGGTATACTCAATATTCATCCAAAGTGAATATACCTAACACTGATATACCCAATATTGATCCATAGTACTTCAGCATTTCTTCGACACCCCAATCTCTCGCAGGCCAGGTCCTCAAAGCCAAAGACCTGTGCCACTGATAATCCAGGTTACTAAGTCCCCATTCAGTACTTTACCCCATGAAAAAAAAACTGGGGAAGCTGGCCCCACATTCTACCAAGCATTTTTGATCCGTGGGATGATCCTCCAAGATTTCCGAGTAACCGATGGATATTTGTTCAATGATTTCCTTCTTAACATCTTGGAGTTGCCGGTAGTGGGTCTTAGATGTTTTAAGTAGGGTAAGTAGGGGCAAAGTCCAGTTGTATTAACCATAAGCCCACAACCACACGGAAAACCTGCGGGGGACCTGCAACCTGAGTAGTCTCTAATACCCATTAAGGAGTTGCTCTGCTATTTTTGCCTGGTCGACAAACTGAATTTGGAATATTTGCATGTCTCTTACTCCATGGCCAGGAGCGTTGGCATTTGGTTATTACACCAAATCCAACCATAGTTTTGTATTTTTTTCTCATCCCGACCGATTAGTCGGTTCCAAACGAAAAATGTGACCAGCCTTATTGAGTTCTTCGTTTAGTTTACGTTCGTCTTCATCCAGGCTGCTGGTGGTTTGCTGCTTACCAGGTTTGGTAAGCCGTTGGTTTCGCGGTAAATCCTTAAAGCGACATGGGTTTTTGAGCATCTTAGGCGCACATGCTTTAGATAAAGTGTATAAACCCCACACTTAGCACAGAACATTCCGGAACCATCTGGTATTGGCTGCAGCAAGTGCCCTTTACCTTCAGCAGGAAGCTCTTCTTTTGCTTGTTCTGAATCTTCAGTAGACATGGAACTAGGAATCGGCACTTCAGTGTTGGCAACATCCGTCCGTTCATTCCATGCCTGGATGTAGTGCTGCCAAACAGTAACTAGACCGGATTGAATTTGATGCAAACTAGTTTTATCATGTTTTATCAATTTCGAGATTATTCGGCATCAAGGTGGTATATCGAAAAGATATCAGGAGTATACTTATTGGACCAGGTAATGCCTGCACAGCAGTGCGAAATCTTTAGAAAAGAGGGCGTTCCCAGATTCTCCGGTGGTGTGTTGGTAATGTTGGTATTCCACCGCAGCATTTGATGTCTCCTTTGAGCTTTGTGTCGATGATTCGATTCCTGCAACTGATCAGCTTCCTTTGCCCATGGGTTTAACAGAGATGTGGAAAGCCGCCACTTCTCCCGGATCTCATGTGGATGTTGCGGTAAAAAAAAAAGTTGTCCTTGCAGTAGTTGATGAATGGCTTCTCGAAAAACAGGATGTTCTTGGATTTGGTGATCTCTGGCTGCGGGTCCATCATGATTTTTCTATGTACTATTTACAAAATCAGCAACTTATGGTCTAATGAACGTTTCATGAATCTCAGGGCGCTGAAATGTAAACAGAATTCAGGATCAAAGGAAGGTGGCGCTAAGATGGTAAAAATCGCTAGAGATGATGCACAGTAGTCATCAGCATTGAGAAGACACCTCACGGTGTTGGCACGTAATGTCCTTAACTCGGGTTTGGGGAGCGCAAAGTACTAGGGCGGTGATATCTCCGCGCTCTCTAAGGTCTTGGTCCAGTACTGTTAAAGAGGAATGTGAGTACTGTTTTTTATCATCTTCCCATCTGGCACCACTAGGAAGGTAAATTCCGTATAGAAAAATACGGGAGGATCCATCTCCGGTCCAGGTTTGAAGTCCTCATAATCGGTTATCTTGCTGAATTTTTTGACGGGATCTTCGGACCATTTTTGAAAAGATCAACAGCCAGATGTTTTGATTAAGATTGGGATTCCAATGTAGTGTTGATCTTCTTTGCCGATGCTGTGCACGAGGTAGCGACTATCTTCTTAGCCCTGTGGAGCCCACTAGCTCATTAGATCTATTAAATGCAAGATCATACGCGCACACACACAGACACACAGACCATGCACTGTAGATGGCGAAATCCACTTTGGGAGACATAAAATACACACAGCCAGCTTTAAATAACACAGTTCACGAGGCAAAACTCACCGAAATTGAGCAATTCACACTAGATCATATGCACGCACACACATACACAGACCATGCACTGTAGATGGCGCAAGTCACTTTGGGAGACCCAAAACACACGCAGCCAGCTGTAAATGACACAGTTCACCAGGAAAAACTGACCGAAATTGGGCAATTCAGCCTAGATCATATGCGCACTTGCACACAGACCCACCGTGCACTGTAGAGGGCGTCATCCACTTTTTTCCCCTTTCCCCTTTCCCCTTTCTCCTTTCCCTTTCCCTTTCCCTTTCCCCTTTCCCCATTCTCCTTTCTCCTTTCCCTTTCCCTATGGAATGCAATGGTAACCTATAGATTCATAGATGGAGCAATCCAAAGTCATGGTTTTCCCCAAAAAATGGACCCCAGATCCATTGCAATCTTAATACTAAATTATATAGGTTAAATTTGAGGAAAACAACAGGTTGTTGTCAACCACATGTGTTGGAAACCTATAGATGGCGCAAAACACCCCATCCCCCAAGTGGTCTATACCTGGCGCAATTCAAGAATTCGTGCCATCTACTTTCACTTTGGAGTACCTGGAAACAAATTTCCTTGCTATTACCCATGTCTATTGCATGTTTGACTGAAAATAGTGTACCCCCAGTTGCAATGGACTACTGTTATTATACCGTTATGTCCATTGAAATTGTAATTTTGAGGGCATCTACCAGGTTCAGACAAGCCCAAATATCAGATGATTGGTGAAATAGTCCGTTATATCCCTACCTTTAGTTGGTTGAACGTATCATAAACCCCATCTATAATGTGGTTTGGAAACTCTCTTCGTATCTCCAATTCACTCCCAATCAGGGAAAATGGATGTCCATAACTCTCTTCAGCGCTCCCCCATTCATCACTGGGTAGCCATGAAATTCCGTTAAACCGCAGTAATCCCGTGAGTTGCTATTTTTAGTTGGTTTAAACCTATATAATCCCATTCAACCCCAACCCCATCCATGTTAAAACCTAGGCATTCAGCCCGATAAAAATCATCATGTTCATCCTGCATCAATCCCACCTTCAAGGACCTCAAGCTGTAGAGGCTTTTGCCCAAGCGCTGGGCAAAACTCCCCAGCCTGCAGCCAGGGGGTTCCGCAGTAGACTATATATATGTATATAGAATGTAATGTGGTTAAAGCAATAGGACCCACCATCCTCAATTTTACAATAAATGGATGGGATTGAAACCATCAAAATATGGGTGGCTTATTGTTGCTTTACCAACAGTATATGCATATTATGCAGACCACAGGGTTCCTGTACACATTCTCTTCATCCAATTCTTGAAAGGAATCATGAAACTAAATCTAGCGATGGACCATGGATTAAAACATTTGGAATCCCGTGGTTTTACACCAAGTTTGTCCCCCAGTCAAATGGAAAATAACATAATTAGGTTGTGACCCATCCCTGACCCAAAACATACAACATCATCTGCGTCAAAAATGGATACACCACAGGGTGGACAAAGTGACCCTCCATTTTTCGCAACATGCCAGCGGTACAGCGCCGTATCATACGTCTCCCAGCTCTCGCCGTAGCCGGGATCGATCAAAGTGAGTGACTGCAACTGGGTGAAGAAACACCGAACCTCAGCTGCCAAGCGACCCAATTTGCCAATTCCACCAGGGTCACCAGGTTTTTTGGAAATCAACTGACACACTCAATGTGGATAGGTACACTCCCAAACTTCAACATCCAGGCCCCAAAATATCTGCTAAACCAAAAGCAACTAGCTGAGCATCAAATACTTCCCCCTCATACCTACGTACGTCTATATATATATATATTATATATATATATTATATACTCAACAAATACGGTACTTGGAGGATCATCCCACAAATCGCAACCAACTAACCCTGGTGATCGTAAGTTGTTGGTTACCCCATTCAGTGGGTTATCCTTTTTTTTACCGTGTTGTTTTTTCCGCCCGTTTACACTCCTGAATTCGAACGTGGAACTGCAGGCTATTCCTGAGGGGCACCTAACATGGCACCTGCCTGGCATCCTGCTCATGAATTTTAACATGGGTGAGCCAACATGGAACACATGTTTTTATTTTTTTTTGTAAAATCTTAGTTTTCGGGAGAGTACCAACCACGAACGCGAGTCGTGGCATGATTCTCAAAGTTATCCAAAATTTGGTAATTCCATGTAAATCCGAGTTTATGGCCATTTTAATGAGGAAAATCATGGTAATCCGTTGAAATTGGGGGTGCCCATGGGTGCCCTATTTTCAGACATACCCTACCATCCAGTACTGCCATGGCACCATCGAGACCCGTAACGCGGCGTCGTACGCCTGTCCCAAGGTTCACCCCGGGGTCCTGTGGATGGTGAATGGTTGGTTGAAAGTCATGGATATCCCAAGATTATCCCAAGATATCATGGGAATATAAATATATATGTGTGTGTATGTGTATGTGTATATATATATATATTATAAAAATATATAATTATATGTACATATATATGTATATGCATGATGTGATCGGTATATATGTTAGGGACATGATTTATATCTAACTAACATGATGGAGATATAAGTAATTGGAATAACTAATACATATACACATATTATATTGACTATAGGACTGTTTACATATATATATATATAGAGGATATAATAGGATAGAATGGAATAATTACCTCGCCAACGATCTGATATTTGGGTGTGTCTGGAAATGAGATGTACCCCCAAGATACATCCATTTCAATCATTCAAATGGGAAAGTCGATGATAATCCATGATAATCCATTGGAATTCCGGGTGCCTCATTTTCAGACAAACCCATATCCCAAATGTTTGTTTGCTGTCGTCAGCCGAATCATAATAGAACACGACTGGATGGTGGTTTCAACGCAATGAAAAAGGGGCACAGTAGGGATAATCATTGAGACATCACCAATGAAATTCTGGACCGTAACCAGCACCATTTGACTGGTCTGTGCGTTTAACCTATTCGAGAAGAATGAGCCATTCAGAGGTCGTCTTTGCAAAGAGAGATGGACATTTAATTCAGTAAACAACATAAAGAAATGAGGAAGTGTTATACAAAGGAGTCAAAAGACCATGCATTTATCATTTATCTGTAGTTTCTTCCAAGTGCAAAAACCTTTGCTGGGAACTTTCTCTAAAATCTCCAGGATTTGGCATTGTCAATATCAATGCCTTCATGTTTCGGGCTCAGTGGGCTCAAACGTTTTGGATAGTTTAGTTTCCCAATTCTTCAGAGTGATCAATTGTTTGCGGTTTCAAACAGAAGCACCCCTAAAAACTATCATTGAACCATAAAATGGCTATCTCCAAATCCAGAAAATCTATGGTTCCAGGCAATTCCAGACCTTATCTGGTGGTTGCACCGTTGCATCTTCAGGAGACTGGCCCCAGTTTGATGCCCCACATGACTCTGCCTTCGCAGCGCGTTCCGTTAGCTCAGGAAGACACAGGGGGAAGTCCCTCAGAGAGCTCCCGCAAAGTGCGAGATCAATGATGGGAGATGTACTGACTGTACATCCGACATATCGGACAACTCTTCATCTCTTCCAGGTAGGTTTTGAAACTGTTGGATCTTGGGGTATCCCTCAGTTTGAGACGTATCTAAAGCATCCGATAGCGTTGTCCCTATTTGGGTCCATCTCAAAATAGGGTATCCCCGAATTTGCGAATCATTCATTTAGATCTCAAGATTGTAGTATACATCGTTTTTAGACAAAGAAAAGTTGGCAGGTGAGTACCCCCAAAATCGAAAATTAATGTCCCAGTAGAACAGCGATAAACTGAATCATTTCTTAATCTTGTTGGGGGTTGTAATAGCAACCCCCAAAAACAGAGAAAAGTAAAATCCAATCCAAAAAATAGCAACATGAAATGTATTAATGTGGAGTCCTATAACTGATCTTCCTTCCCTTTTTCGTGGCATACTTCAGCCACCGAAGGTCGTCACCATGGTCTAAGCTCATCCAAGGTGCGTGTTCCCATCCAGCAGCATGCGAGCGACTTTGCCTGGATCCAAAAAAGGGGAACACAAAAAGATGGCCTGTTCGAGCTGTTTAGGCGATGTTCCCACTAAAATTTGAACAACATTATTTTTCACATATTTTCAGATACACAATTTGAGAAGATCTAAAATGTAATCATCACAGGCTGGTTTCCCCAAATTAAAGGTCCTTTGGGTTCCAGCGAGCATCGCTACATGCGCACCTCGCGCTGCTTCCTTTACGTTCTGTGCCTCCACGTTACAACGGACCTCGGCGTTTGGAGCGAAGAAACCTCGGTTTTTGTCCCTTTTTGAGACTTGTTTTGGTAACTTGTTGGTATCCAGGACTTCCATTCACAAGTGGAGAACTCTTGGGATGGTCCATATGTTATTTCCCACTTTCCAGAAACATGACTCGAAACTTGTTCTGTCCAGAAATGCAAAACAAAATACTTTCCAATACTTTACTTCGTGGCTCCTCCCACTAATCCTAAGTAGGTTCGTTCACCCTGGTTATAAGTGGATGCACCCTACTTATCCCACTAGCAAAAGCAGGGATATAACCTACTTAGGATTCATGGGATGAGCCGCCAAGTATAGAAATGTACAATGAATGGAAGATGTATGTAATAAATTGATGTATATATTAATATGCCAAATCATCCAATGGATGTATATCCAGAAGATTTTCAATATATATATATATAGTTATTATCCTTACTTGTTATCATTATTGTTGCTATTATTATCATCATTATTACATATTATTACAATAATAACAATAATAATAATAAAATAAACAAATATGGGTATTTTATGATCATTCTAATTCCTTAGGATGTCTCAAAGCCGCGGTGGGGACCCCGCCACGTGAAACAGGGCGCACTGAGCCGTCCAGGCCACCTGCAGAGGTGCCCCACTGCGTTAGCTCAGTTGGTTCATCAATACATATAAATATATATATATAATACATATGTATATTTTAGCTGAATCCCAAAAGCCTCCAGGGCTTCTGTCTATAGGAGCTGACGAGGGGGTACGTATACATATCCTAAGTGGCCGCGCATGCAAAACATATGTAAAACTCATATGAAACATAGATTTTTACGTTGGTGGAACGTATGTGATGCGTATGTGAAGCGTATGTGCAGCGCAAGTGAAAACATATGTGAGCCGTATGTGAAATATATGTGAAACATATGCGAAATACATGTGACATATTAACGTATTTTGGGACTGCATTGCGTTGTGTTTATGTTTTACTTATGTATACGTTTGCGAATTTGTGTGTTTTTTTTTATGTCGAAGGAAAAATAAGACCTTATTTTGTGCAAATCACGCAAAATAAGGCCTTATTTTGGAACGCATGTAAAGAAAACATAAACAAAACGCAAGCGAGAACGCCAACACATTTTGTAACGTTTGTGTTTGTACATGTGTATATGGTTTATGTTTTATTTATGTCGGGAGAAAAATAAGACCTTATTTTGGGCAAATAAGGCCTTATTTTATCGCTTACGTAAAAGAAACGCAAACAGAAACATAAAGAAAACAGCTAGTAGCCGCAATTTCTGGATATGTCGGGAATATGCGTTTTGTTTGCGTATTTGAAGCCGTTTATGTATGCGTATGCGCAGGCCAGTCCAAGACGAGCTCTATTGTGAAAGCCTTTGAAACCCTGCTGCTAATGTATATTATATATATATTAGATATTTATTAGATTATATTAGTGTGATAATAAATCCCAAGCAACATCCCACCTAACATATGAGCTTTCAATAGGGATATGACGCGGACCTTGGGGGATACTCTGCCAGATCGACCTTGAGAATCGCCACTGGCAGGCTCTATCGTAGTTGAATCAGTGGACATGTTGAAGGGAAAATTACGGCTGACACCCCCAAGATATCATGGGATATTATATGGAAACTATATGGAAACTATATGGAAAAACCCATGGGAACAACCGGCTTGGATGTTCCCAAAGCCCATCTGCGGCTGGTCCCACTGGTCTCAGAGGACTGGCGCCCTTTTTCGACCGTTGCCATCTCCAACTCGTTGAGCCGCTTGCGTCGGGATCATCGTCGTTTTCGACTCGTTTTAGGGATGAGGAAAGAAGGTTAAGAAGGCACCTTCGAAACCACGAAACCACGAAGCCAGGTCCCAGGTGGGATTCTTGATCGCCATGTATACAATATGTATACCATTGGGTGATATGCCCGGGTCAACAGTGCCAAGTCATCCCCAGAGGCTCTGACGATCCTTCAAGTCCACCTTTGCCAGTTCTGACCCGGTTGGGAGAAGTGCTGGGGTGTGACTAGTCCTCGAAGACCACATCTGAACGGAGCACGTACCTGGGATTCGAGCTGGGACGATTTTTGCAGTGGGTCAAGGGAACAGATTTTGGGAAACCAAGGTTATACCATCCAATTGTGGAGGTTTCGGGTTTCCTGTCAATGTTGCAAACCAAAGTCATAATTACTGTAATCTTCCAAGCTAGGTTTTTTAATAATTTTTGTTTTATGCTTTGGGAAAGTGCCTAAAACCCGAGAACAAAGGAAGATTCCTTATATGGAAGGTGATGTTTTTTCAGTCTCGGACCAAGGGTGAATATGGTGAATCAAGTTCATCTAATCCTCATCTACATCCCCGAGGACTATCTGATCTGAGGCTGTAAATTCTGCACCCGAGATCCCCACCATTCCACCGATTTCAAAAGTTTTCTGAGATCCCTTTCTCATCAGTCATGCATTTCCAAGTGGTTTCAAGCAAAATCTACAGGAAAACCTAAAACGCCCTGAAGAAAGGAGGCTACAACAAGAATTCATTCCGGAAGATTTTCCTTGAAATCAACCCATTCGTTTTGCTCCCAGCTGCTTGACACCACTTCGCACAGGTAAGGATTCATGGAGCAAACACTCACGTCCATGTCGATGCACCAAAGCCATTCCAGTGTTGGGCACTACCCGAAGGACCTCCTTCGTCCCGTTTCCGGCGTAGAAGACAGTCTCGCCTGCCGAGATGTTGCGCTTTGGCTGCCAGGGATGGTTTAACCAAAAATAGGGATATATCATGGGGATATCATGGGAATAAATGCAAACTGAAAAAAGGATATAGCATGGGGAGTATCCCATGCCAGCAATCCCAGCCAACTGCGCCCCAGGTATGTCCTCCTTCCAGTCCATCTCCATATCCAGTGAGGTAGACCAGCAGCGTATACTCCGTGCGCCCCAGTGTTGTCTGGTTGCTGCCGTCAATGTGCTTCCCAAAGACGTCGCCGCCTGAGCTGCCATTCTGGCCGAAGCCAAAGGTGGAGTTTTAGATACAGAAAGTGACCGCCAAAATCAGAGTTTGTGGATCTCCATAACTTTGGTCAAACTGTTTCTGTGTGGATCAAAATTAATTGATCGAGTGTCAGGGTGTTGTGGGGTGATCTAGTGTGACCAGCTCAACAACTTCACTTTGGTTCTAATCTGAGAGTCATGGTCCTGATCTAAAATGTGAAAGGCTGATAATGCTGCAAACCCGTTCCAAACAAGTTTTACCCGTCAACTTAGCTTTCAGTCTGTTTGGAAGGGTGCAAAAACAACGTCTTCGCTTCAACACAAACAGATCAAACAGGTCCGGGTTGGTGGTGCGGCAATAGTCCTGCAAGTGAATTATCCGAATCATTTACAGGGCGACCATCTTAACAGTCGCAGCACGGAATGTGAGATGAAGAATCACGTGTGATCTAACTGTTGATGTTTTGCATCAACAAAAACATTCAAAGCACCCAGCTGAAATGTACAATGACCAGGCACCAGTGTATTTGTAGATGCGGATATTCTCATTGAGCCCCACGGGCGCCCGACCTCCAACTCTCAGCGCTTGCAGACAGCTCTGCAGGTTTTGCCACAGCCCAGAGGCATAGCCGGCATCGTCGAAACTCAGGCGATAGTGGTGCCGTTCCGCCTCACCTAAGCCCAGTTGAGCTGGGTAAAAGGGCGACCATTTGCCTGGCTTTTGGGGCTTGCAAAAGACAGTAAGATTTCTGGCCCTACCACTCTCACCCAAAACAGCAACTAAAACACATCTCAATGTTAAAAATCAAATGATTTTTTACAAGAATCCAAACACAAAAAGACCTGAAAAGTTTAAGATTTCGAGGCCCAAAAATGGTCGTCCGAGGCGCCATAGGCCGGTCCGCGGCTGGTCTGCAGCTCGAAGCCCTGGGTTTCAGCTTTGGCGACCAAGGTCTCAGCCTCCTCTCTGCTGAAGGCTCCTGAAATTTTGCAATTATTAGGGAAATAAAATGAAATATAAGGGAAATTTAGCAATTATGACCATTTAGTGGAAATATGCGAGAAATATAATGGACATGTAATGGAATCATGGAAATACAACGGAAATATGACATTGCTTTGGAAAGTTGCTATTTATAGTTGATTTAACTATTACAAAGACTGATTTTCCATAGCTATGTCAGGTTACTGTACAGCGTAAATAAACCATTCAATGGAAATATAGTGGACTAACCACCGACATGGGATATAGTGGAATCTACCCGCTGGTAGCTTAACAGGTAAATCATCGAAGTCAATGGGCCATTTTCCATAGCAAGCTGTACGTTAGCCTACTGGAGGGTAGCATCCAGAAGCGAATGACTAGCTATTGGGAAAATGATGGGATACAATAGAGGGATATATTATGATATATTGGGATGATGATAAGCATGAGAAGTTACTGGGATATAATGGAAATTACCATCTGGTAATTGAACAGTTTGCTATGGAAAATCTCAAACGTTTAAGAATAGGCAAATCCTCGAACTGATGCACTCCTTCAATACTTCCTATAGACTCCTTATAAACCAAACCAACCACTTATACAAACACTGCTCCTGTAGGACTGTTGTAGTTCGGAACCGTTCTGGGAGTCATCTGGGCCATGGTGGGAGTGTGGTGATCCCTGCTCATAGATATGTATGTGTATATATATATATATCCATACTTTACACTGCATTTCATTTCATTTCAGTCCATTCTAGTCCATTCCATTCTAATCCATTCCATTCCAAACATAAATACACTATCTCCTTGTCTAGGTTTGAAAGTCGACCTGCTATGAGTCAAAACCCTGGGACCGGGATGGTACCCTAAAATAGCTGGTTAGTGGATGTTTATTCCCCAAAATATGGTCATAATACTGTGTATGGAAGAAATCCTGCACCAGTTACTAGATGGTTTATCCATCGTTTACGCGATTACATCCTATTATTTACAGTGTTTTATAGTTACCAACAGTTACTAACTGGTGCAGGATTTCTTCCATCCACAGTAGGTTTTGACCCATCCCCATGTTGGTTTCATCATGCTTTCACCATCGGCGCCCCATGGCACCGCTCCTCGCACCGTGAATATCTGGTGCACCGCGGTAGGTTCCAAGGACAGTCTCTCCTTGATGCCTGGCGCCTCGCTGGGTTATCTATGGAACATCTCCAGAATAAAATGAATTATATATATATATACATGTAAATGATGTGTATATATATATATATACACGTAGCACAAATTGTATGTATAACTATATATATATATATGAGACATGATAGTCAACATATATAATCATATATATAATATGTGAAATATATAATGTTTAATATACTGTATATATTAATATATATATAAATATTGATATATGATGAAGCCAAGAATGTTCAATGGATTGATTTATGGGAAACTGTACGAGAAACCCTGATTCTTAGCCCCAAATTGGGGGGGCTTCCTGCAGATTTTCCCTTCAATCAATTCTGGAGTATATCATAAAGCAAACATACTGAAGACAGAGTATAACATACATCAACATACTTCATATACACAAATAAGATTTAGATGGAAAATTGTCAGGAATCAGAGGTCAAGAAGAAACACTTTTCCTGATAAATATCTTTACAATGGAACATAAACACACCTATTTCCCGCCAGCATCAAAAATAGCACCGCCGGTTGATGTCTCGTGATTCACTTCCTTTTGGCACCCCGGTAAGCAACTTACATGTTGATACAATGGTGGTTGTCCCGAAAACAAGTGGGAACTGCCAAAATATCTGGGTGTTCCAAACTAAGAAGTGACTCAAGCAAGGAAGGACACAGCGTTCCCAAACATTCATAGTTGACATACTTGCGTCTCTATGAATTCCATGCAATGCACAGGTTCTAACACTTCTGGTATGACCATTATAAGGGGACCACTGGGCCATTGGATATGTGGATCACCATCCTTTCAAGTTCGGGCATCTGCAACGAGCGTGGTGGGTCAATCGCTTAACAGTGCTCCCAAGTTCCCCATGAATTCATCACGTTCTTGGGCTGATCTTTTGGCCATTCAAAACAGCCTTATCCCATCCCATTCGCACATATTCCTATTGTGGGTCTATGGCGAATATGTGCGATTAGTTGCTCATATTACTTGGTGATTATTATAACATTATAACATATTCAAAACAGCCTAATATGTTATAATATGTTATAATAATCACCAACTAATGGCCATGTTTCGAACGCTACCAAGACACCTCCGTCCCTACACATCGTCCCGGCATCGCATCCTTCCCGCCCCAGCGCATGCGGCGAAGGCGTCGTGTCTTGGTGTGTGCGCGCAGCCAGCGGGATCCGAGCCACAGACGCATGGATGGAGGCAGAATGGGCTGCGGCCAAGGCAGAGATTTGTCATGTTGGATCTAAAACCATCCATTTTGGGGTTTAAGTGGGGTTTAATAGCCGGATATTCCATAGTATTCCACAGGATTCCATAGTTTGGTGGTTTTGCACTCCCATTTTTGGCTCAGACCCATATTTGACCCCAGGATTTGAAGCTGATCAGCTCAGATCTTCTAGATCCGACATGTCAGCCCCAGAGCAAGCAAAGGTTAACTGTGGAACAATCACCCCCTGAACATCCAAACAATGAAGACCCCGCCTCTGGGGCGGAGCGGAGGGCGTGCAGCAGGCCTTCTAAAATGATGGAGACGGGCACCAAGTCCTCCGAAGTCTTGGCCATCATCCGTTCTTGAAAAAGATAGAAACAACAATAACTGACGACGACAACAACAACAACAACATCATCATCATCATCAGCAGCAGCAGCAACATCATCCCATTGACCATGATGAGTACCGAACGACACTCTCCTTCTTGGCGGCTTGGGGCCACCGCAGCCACCTGCCACAGGTGGCCGAGTGAAATCAGTGACGTGGCCATGGTGAGATATAAAATGTACTGTACACAGCATAGAATAGAATGCTGCTTTACAACCAGATGATCTAATAATAATACATGAACTATAGTGACATATAGATATATATATATATATATATACATGTACACATATGGTTGAGTGTAAATCATAGTGATTGCAGCAGCGAAAATAGGGATATAGATCAGAATGAAGATTTGGGGTGCTATGATCAACAATATGATCTGGGATGACCAGGGTTTGCCCAGAAATATGGGGAACCAAACATCCTCGCGATAGGTTTGAATGGAAAATTCGTAAAACGAAACTTGGGATTACCGGAGGGTAAGTGATGTTTGAATGTGTAATTTTGCCAAGTTTGTTCCATGGGAAGGTTATCTATGGCCTATGGGGGCAGTTGTATGGAATTTGTGCTCTTCATGGGGATTCCCCATGGATCATGATAATCCCCTATGTATTCCCAATATACACAGTGTAGGTTTTTAATAACAAAAAATACAACCAACTGCCATGATTTATCAATTCTACTATACCTCAATAATTTTCATGGTCAATGCTCTGAAATTGTGATGTTTCAAAGTAGCGAATCCACCACTGAGCCTACCGAGCTTCTTCACGGCATGCACCCGAGCTCGAATGGGAACTCTCTCGCCTTGAAACGATGAGTGCTTCACCCGAAGGGTTCATAGGGCGGGCACCCCAAATAGGCCAACAATACCTCTGTGGATGTCACCAGCCCCCATACGCAAACCATGATCTGAGAAATGAAGAGAGCAAATCAAGTTAGGTATGTGAGGGGTCGAAATAACCAGTAAATGGATGTTCCTCCCCGTAAAAATTAAATTTGTAGGCATTATAGGTATTGATCCATATGAATCATATAGACATGTTCAATTCTTGACCTCTCCATTCATTTGTTAATCATATTTTGGGGACATGCTGTTGACACACACTTTTTAGCAACATGAGCACAACATCATCGGGGGCATGTTCCACCAAGCTGCCGCGAGGGGATCCAGAAAATCAACGGATTGGTTTTGTTGGGAAAATCGCAACAGGAAACGCAGAAAACCATGGGTTTTCACCATCAACTATAAGTCTATAAGTGGGTTTCACCATCAGAAAACCATGGGTTTTCACCGCAGAAAACCATGGTTTCTTTATGTTTTCGTTCGTTTCTAGAAGTGAAACATCCCCTTACCGCTACCAGCCTAGACGTAGCAAGGCAGAGGCCGAAATGCAGTCCTGCCAGGCCATGGCAAAACTTCTCCCAGCAACAACGTCTTTAGGAAAATCAGGTAAACAATAGGGAAACAATAGCGAAATAATCGCCGAAATAGCGACATAAGAAGGAAATAATGGGGAAATAATAGGAAAACAATGAGGAAATAATCAGGAAATAATAGGGAAATAATGTGGAAATAATAGGGAAATAATGTGGAAATAATAGGGAAATAATGTAGCAATAATAGGGAAATACTAGGGAAATAATCAGGAAGTAATGCGTATACGGAAATAATACGGAAAATAAAGGAAATAATAGAGAAATAATAGTATAGGGAAATAATAGCGAAATAATAGCGAAACAAATAAAGAAATAAGGGGAAATAATGGGAAAGAATAGGGAAATAATATAGGGAAATAAGCCGGAAATCATAGGGAAATAGTAGCGAGATAATAGTGGCAAATATGTCAGGTCCCAAAATTTCGGATTTCAGTGAATTTGTTTGTGTCTCCCTCTCAATAGGCAAACTGCCAAGAGAGAATGGATGGACCCTCAATCCTCAAGCTGAGATTGAAGGGGCAATCCAATCATCCATGTACTGGCTCACAATGGCTCTCAACCAGTCACTCCAACTATTTCGGTGGATATAATGTAATGTACATATGTATATATTTTTTCACCTGCGATTTTCTTTAATTTACACAACTGCGTATATATATATCTAAGTTCAAGATAGGTGCTTGATATCCAGCTATAAGATAGGTACGCTACGCTTGGTGCGCTTGGTGCGCTTGGTACGCTTGGTACGCTTTGGGTAGGTACGCTTGGTACGCTTAGTAAGGTACGTTTGGTACGCTTACCAACCGTACCGACCGTACCGACCGTACCAGTGAACCGTACATAACCGTACCACCGTACCGTACCAGATTAAGGGGGGGGGTCAAGGTGGGGGCGTTTTGGATGTACCAATACCCCCCCCTTGACCCCCCCCTTAATCTGGTACGGTACGGTGGTACGGTTATGTACGGTTCACTGGTACGGTCGGTACGGTTGGTAAGCGTACCAACCGTACCTTACTAAGCGTACCAACCGTACCAACCGTACCGTACCACATGTACCAACCGTACCGTACCAAGAAAACCAAACCTACCAGCCGTACGTACCAGACATGTTTGGATCTTACTTAAGGCCTCTACCACCTATCTTGAACCTAGCTAATATATATATATATAGTTATTTAACGATAATCAATGGTTGGTTCAAAGTCAAAGTCCCGAACTTTGGCGTTCTATCTCCCATTACTTTCCGATTCCGCGGCTCAACTGACGGCCCCAGCCTCACGAATTAGATGTCTGCATGCAACTGACGGCTTGTCCAATTGGATCTGCGGCAAGGCAGGGTGCCAGTCCGTTGCCGGGCCCGATTTGTTAGAGGATGGGAAACGGGTATCCCCAGATGCAAGTAGGAAAGCAAGTTTTTGATAGCACAAAAGGACAAATATGTAATATACATGTATATATATATGATATATATATATATGTATGTATAGATGCATATTGATATATGTGATTTGGTAAAACTGGATAGAAAGAAAGAATGACAGATAGATGGACAAACAGACAGGCAGGCAGACAGACAGACAGATACATAGATAGATACATGGACAGATAGATCGATGGATTGATTGATTGATTGATTGATTCATTGATTGATTGATTGATTCGTGGGTAGACAGATAGATCATAGATAGATATCTAGACAGCTAGATATTTGATATCTAGACAGCTAGATAGATGGATAGATACATGTTCAGATAGATAAAAAGATAGAGAGGCAGATTGATCGATAGATCGATAGATAAATCGATGTATACATGTATATATGTAGATAGACAGATTGGCTCGAGCGATAGGTAGATAGATTGGTTGGTAGGTAGATAGATATATCGATCGATGGATAGATCGATAGATCGGTAGATCCATCGATCGATAGATCGATAGATAGATTGATCGACAGACAGATCAATAGATTAGAAAAACGTAGAGAAGTAGATTGGTAGAGTTGTAGAATTGCAGATAATGATAAGTGGGGTGCGAACTCACTTGAACCGACCGAAGAAGCTCACTTGCGCCGACCAAGCAGTTTTTGCAAGTCATACCCTTCTTGGTGGTTGAATCACCATTATTAGCATTTTCGGCGGGAAAATCCAATGTTTTGCTGGTTTCATCATCATTATGGCTATTTTTGTTGGACAAAGTTCTCCCCGCGCCTGCAACAGCTCGCGCTGGGCCTGTTGAGCCCTTGCAGCGTCGTCCACTGCGATGGCCTTCCAATCGGACGATGACGATGACGATGACGATGACGATGACGATGACGATGACGATGACGATGACGATGAGGATGATGATGATGATGATGATGATGATGATGATGATGATGCTGATGCTGATGCTGATGCTGATGATGATGCTGATGGTGATGATGATGATGATGATGATATGGTGATGATGATGATGATGATGATGATGATGATGATGATGATGATGATATGGTGATGGTGATGATGGTGATGATGATGATGATGGTGATGATGGTGATGATGGTGATGATGGTGATGATGGTGATGATGGTGATGATGGTGATGATGGTGATGATGGTGATGATGGTGATGATGGCGATGATGGCGATGATGGTGATGATGATGATGATGCTGATGATGCTGATGGTGGTGGTGGTGGGTGGTGGGGGTGGTGGGGTGGCGGTGGCGGTGGTGGCGTGGTGGTGTACCAACACAAATGCGTTAAAAAAAAAAAAAAACGACGACGACAACAGCAACAGCAACAGCAGCAACAGCATGGGGAGAACAATTGTATTTGGTTTAAAAAAAAAAAACTAGCGATCTATTAATCTATATAATCAACAAAACATGATAATTCAATCAAGGAACAAAAAAAGGTAATGGTATGAATCCAGTAAAGAGCTTGATGAACACCTTTTGGTGTCAATGCATGGGTTTCAGAAAAATGTCCCTGGTTGTGTCTACCATAAAAGATTGTCGGGAAAGAATAAACAGATGAATCAGTCTGTTGCTAGTCCATCGCATACCTGATTCCGTTCCAAATATCATACGGCTTCAACCATCAGATTCAGCTAAGCGATAAAAAAGGAGAAAAGGGAGTACAAGCAGCTACCAATAAGATGAAACCGTGTCACGGGTCACCGTCAGTGATCAGCATTTGAGCTGTCTCGCCACCGGAACATCTTGTGAAGCCACCAATAGACTAGTCATGTGTGATCATACCCTCTGTTCCATCGTTTACAGCTTGCGACATGGAAAATCACCAGTTTCTCAGATCATCGAACTGAATGGGCCATCGCAAGCTGTTGGATTGCCAGAGGTTTGGTCATTCCAATTTTGGATTATCCCAATGACATGGTTCCTTGAAGACTGGTACCAACCCCGTCCAAGTCGTGTTTTTGTTTCCCAGGTATGTTTCTCCATCGAAACCCTAAATTCATTGTAATCCCTAGCAATGTTAGTGATTGTTCCCCCCTGATGTGTGGGAAACAATCCAGTAATGATCACTCATGTTTTTTCATCAAGGTTCGCAGGTTTATTAGTTTCCATCATTTAGTGATTCTTTCTCCCTTACACGCAGGAAAGGGCCCTGCACCCTGATGTTCCTTGGTTGATGAAAAAGCCCTTTGTTGGTCGATCTCTTCCTGAAATCGACCCCAGGGGACCTGGTTATAAACCAACAGAAACTGGTCACAAAACACCTATAAATCCATGTTGTTGTTGGCAAAGTACAAGTGTCCCTGAGTTTTTGATGATCCTATAAGATCTATCATGAGTTTTATAAATCCCAATGATCCTGTCCTTTGGGGGCAGGGGCTTTTTTTCCCAATTTTCAATATGGGGTGGTTAATCTCAAACCTTATTCTTTGTGGTCCAAACTGTGTTGTTTGTTGCTAAAGTCCCACTCATCAGGATTTTACCACCCAGAAAATGCCAGTGGAAAATTATGTCCCAAAATCCTAAGATACGTTATCATTATTAAACCAATCTAATGTTCCAACGTGTTTGTGCTTAAATTCCCATGAACATCCAGTCACTGCGCTAAAAATCCAGTGGTTGATCAGTGATTTCCCTACACCTGAAGTTTCCCTATGGAACATATGGTTATATAATTATATTACCATATATTACCATAATATATTACCATAATATATTATCCATATATTACCATAATTGCCAGTTGTCCCTATTGAACATCAGTCGTTGCCAGTTTTGTTTGTCAGGCCTCACTGATCTCATGACTCAGTCGACGAATTGCCTCACGACGCGGGGACGCAACGGGCACAATAAAATGTGGGGATATACCCTCTAAAAATCAGGAATAACCATTATATAATCTTCATTGATCGCCATCAATTAGTAACAATTACCCTCCAGTAGTCAAAGATAGAGTTCAGTTGACGCGAATAATTAGTTGAATTAACTGTGGCTTATGGATGTTTATGGTAGATACAACGAACATGTGTATGCATGGGGGATACTAAACCAACGATGACGAACTTGGGGGCCCCACCTTATGGAGTATCATCCCATTTAGTACCCTTCCCCTGTAACGGTGACTTAGTAACCAGGGTTATTAACCAGTTGCATCCAGTTACTAGGTGGGATGATCCTCCAAGTACTTCTATCAATAAACTGGCTTGTCATGGGAATTCATGGAATCTATCACCAACAAAAAAGGCTTTTCCAAAAATGGGTGAGTTACTCCAATTGTGCGGCCATAAAACAAGATTGGGAGGCAACAATTGTTGTACAGGTCTCAGCTGGTCCGTGTTTTTTCCTTTCTTGTCAGTGGTTGATCTATACACCTAAAGAATCAACTGAGCCATGAAAAATCTCCCTATCCCATCCCCATAAAATACTGCTTGGTCAATAGGTATCCTCATGATGGCTTCTCCTCTCCCCTATCAAGTAGGATATCCATGAGGACTGTGTCTTACAAGGCCTTCCACTGAGTCACAAGTCATGAGTCCATCATGCCCGGTTGTATCAGCCAACGGTGAATTGGTGGTATATCCTCTGTTGATTGTTTCACCATTTCAAATCCATGTTAGTCATTGAAAATTTGAAGAAATGTCATACCTAGTAATACCTCGTATATAATACCTGTTATAGACCTAAATTTAATTTCACCCTATCGTTAAGCGCTTTCACCATCTACCCGAACTCCCCACATCTTTCCATGACCTCCTCGGCAGATTCCTCGTTGAGCAGTGATTTGGACCTGGCATGGTGTTGCTGTGTCAACTGTTATGTCAAGTGTTGGCTCATCCCATGCCCCATGTCCCATGGAGCGGCTTCCAGCCATTTCACAAGAGTTCATGAAAACTGTTTGGGAGCCCGTCTTCGTTGACATGCCCAGGTCAGGATTTGTTTGGCGACTGTCAAGCATGTTTGCGAGGTTGAATGAACTTTTATGGTTGAACCTACTAAAACCTGATTGAATGTTTTCGTCAAACTGGATGATCAACAATCTGATGCTCCCCTTTACTGACTGGTTAAAACCCGCTACCCTCCAGTAACTTAACATACTTATGGAAATCACAATGTTTGATAGGCAAATAAATCCTCTAATTGAATATGGGCAATGTTTTCCAGTTCGCAAATACCAACTTACCTCTCAGCGAAATTCCAAACAGAATCACAGAATTTTCAACATTCATCTGGTGATTTTTTTCAATAATTCGCTAACCTGAAAGGTTCGGCTATATTGGGATAGTTCCCCAAACATAAACCATTCCAGATGAGTCCCGATTTCAGAAACCTCCGGGATGGTTTTTTAAAACGGCCTGGCATTGGGAGCACAGCGACAGGCTGTCCAGCCACTGGGGCCATTGGGACCACCTGCCCGAATTCTGTGGACGGATTTATGGTGTGCAGATCGTTAGATGGGGTTATTAACCAACTCATAACTAGGGTGCCCCTTGTGGGGAAATTGACGATTATGATGATTATGGTGATTGATTCCTTCCCCCTGATACTAAATAGAAGATGATAGAAGGGATTGTGATTGCGAAGATTGTAGTTAATCTAAGGATGAGGATCTAAATTCAGAAGCAACACACACTTAACACCAACTTTTTGAGTTCCATCTTACATTTTAAGAGACCAGGGAAAAAATTGTCACACACCGCTGTCTAAAAAGCAAATCCTGAGTGTGAGATGCGGCTCGACAACTTTTGCCAGTTATCCAGCTATGCATCAGAATCGCACTCCTGAATATTCCGGATCTATCTAGCTGAGGAGAAACTATATACTGTGTATATACTGTGTATGTGTTATGTGTACTGTGACAACCATTCACCCACCCAGCCCATGACACCTCGACGTCGAGTTTCCCGAAATTCACCACCTCTCTGCCTTCGCGAATTGGTAAAGACATGTTCATGACGATCATCATAAGCCCGGGGCCAAGGTGTATCGAATGCCACAATCCCACCTAGATTGAGACCGTGACAGAACAATTTTGAGGGTCACCAAATTTTGACCCATACCCACCCTGAGTTCTGCACATATTTTGCTCAATTGTCATTTCGGATATACAGAGTATGATTTGACCTGTCCCCAGCACGTCATGATTTGACCTGTCCCCAGCACAGCCTAGTATTCATCGGGAAAACATTTTGGGTGTGCCTCATTCGGTGGTTGGTCCAGAAAGACTTCAGGAAGGGCCCGAAAAAAAGATCGATACATTTCTGTCGATTTATAACTAGGCTAACGGATGGATCTGTGGCAGATATATCTACAGTTCGATGGGATTATAACTTCCTGTTGAAACGACCGTCAGCAACTTCCGTACTTGGATGTGCGTCCCCATTTGTGAGTGGTTTATAGCACCTTCATCTAGCTAGGGATATCCGATTCATCTAACTGAGGTTGTTCATCTGGCTATATATCCACTCATAACTGGAACTGCGCCCCCTAATAGGACTAGACCATGCCAGTTTCCTTGCAACATCATGCCAGATCCCGCGTTCACCTTCGCCAAAGTCCCCAGTACCTCAGTTTCATCAAGCACTGGAGTGGCCACCTGTTGCTTTGTGAATACAACAAAGCCTGTGTTTAAGAAACTACAAGGTGAAAATAAGCTAAGCTGGTGGAGTTCACTCGGTGAACTGTTGGGGTTTCTGGTGTTGAAACAACTAGGGGGAACACTTTGGCGCAGATCATGAAGTCTGTATGAATCCCACGAGATAAGAGAAAATTGCATGAATTTTTATGTGGTTTTGTTGGGCTACCTTTGTAGGATATTCACTGGATCACCATTGCAAAAAGGTAGGGTCAAATTCAACTGATTCAATTGATTCAAATTGAACCAATTTGGTGTTCGAGAACCAATAGCATTGGAACGGAACCCACCAACACCATATTCAGCGAAATTGCAATGGCTATGGAAAATTAGTGAAACAACGCACCCCATGCTGGTTTAAAAAAAAAAAACTTTCAATCAAATTCCGGCAGTCGTTGATATTACCCCATGGTCAATCGGGGTGCGTGGGTAAGATGGGCTGATGTTGGTTTCCTTGACCAACACCAGCAATAGAAACCAACGAACCATGGTGGAAAAAATGATGAAAACATCGTTGTTCCTCTGTACAGCCGTGGGCAAGGAGTCGTGGCGGCAATAACAAACGACAGGAGCACACCCTCCGGCTTCAAAAACATGGCTAACTAGAAAATCCCCGGCTTACAACCACTTACAAATGTTGTTCTTGTAAGAACCTCCAATGATAGGAGTTGTCCCATTACCATGTTTGATTAGCAGAAGGCAACCCACGGTTGCGCCCAACGCTTTTTCAGCAGCCAAGCCACAGTGCTGGCGCTGCCACAATGGCCGACCGCAGCCTGGCAGGGTGCGAGGCCCCCGGGGCCTACTTTTTACTGCTTGGTTGACATTGGTTCTCACATTGGATAAGTCAATGATCCCGGTAAAACAAACTAGCAAAACAGAACTCTCTTAATATAGATACTCTTCGGTAATATTAAACATAGCACTGGAATTTTATCACCCATGTATAATTCGATGTTTTCCCTTCTCCCGTTGGGAACTCAACTTCCAAGGGATTTCCCAGCCACGTTGGTGAGGCCAACGGGAGACCTCCCCATACTTCGATGCTAAGAAAGCGAACTGAATATACCTCGGAACCTAAGAATGTCCTAGCCATGTTTGAGCACATTGAGTATATACGTCACATAAATTCTGGGTTGCATGTCCCATGATATCCCCATGATATCTATCATTCTCAGTTTTTTTCGATATATTATAATCCAATTTGTTGCCATATATTTCCATAGATGCTTGTTAACGTCACATATTCTCCACATTCCCCATGATTTGTTGCCGGTCGAAGCCAAGATTTCACCGTTTCAGCCACCTCTGATCGCCGTCCAGACGCCGTCCAGCTGCCTCGAAGCGAGGAAAAGGAGCTGGAGATGGCTGGAGAAAGGCTTTCCAGCCAACAAGTGCAAGTTATGTATATATATATATATTTATATATATATATATGTATCTATATATGATAAATGTATATGTATATGTATATATGATAAATGTATACGTATATGTATATATGCTGTATATATATATATACATATACTGTACTTGTTAAGTCTTCGATTCCGGACTTTCTAAATTTCTCTGCGTTGTTTGAGACGTGTGTGAAAACTTGGAGTATCATAATCATCCCTGAGCAGTCCATTAATCACCTGGATCTCCAGCTATTTGGGAAGCCTCGAAAAGCGATAGCATTCATACAATGAGTATGGCTTTATCTCAATTTTTGGAGAATACCCCAAAATGGCAATTTAAATGGCAAAAACAACATCATGAACTACCATAACCCATATATATATATATACAGTATATAAGACCTGGAACTGCCAAATTTTGAGACAGCCCCATCTGTCTCAAAAAGAAAAAATCTGTCGGTTCAGCGAACTTCTGACTCGTCGACCCGCCTTTAACAGAATTAAGATGGAAGGCAGAAGTTGCCATGTCCATCAGCGTAAAATCATCGTCCAAACCTATTTCAAGGGTGTTTTCACAGGGTCGTATTCAAGTGTTAACGATGTGTTTTATGTTTTTCTTCGCAGGTGAAAATCCCACATTTGTTGGTGGCATCTTCATTTTTGTAGCTGAAAGGCTGAAACCATGGTTAACCCATGATGGTAGCTCCAACTCCAGCATTTCTCCATGCCATGGCACCATGGCATGCCAGTCCTCCCGGGCTGGCATGGCTGTCTTGGCTGTGACCTGGAAAATGAGTGGCAAATCAATCCCTGGAGGATCATCCCATTCAGTAAGTGGCTTCCATTTCTTTATTTCAATGGATTGGCTGAAGGGAAAATCTACAGGAAACCATTGTTTTTACCATCAAATATAGGGCTTTCCTGTAAATTTGCCCATCATCCAATTCTATGATTAGTGTTATAACATGTTATAACCGATTTATGGGAGACCCCACGAATCGGATCCCTGCAATCCCTCTAAAAGGGAATCTCCGACTTGGCGACTTGGATCCGTGGGGAATATGAGTCAACAGTAATCCTAATCAAAGAATCAAACGATTATATCATATTAACAACATTAAAATCTTATGAAAACATATTCAAAGAAGATATCAATCCCGTATTCGGGGTATGATTTTGGTTTAGCCATACCTTCTCAGGAAGGACTTAGATCCATAGGGTGTATAAATCAACAACCGCAAGATGATTATAACAACAGGGGAATCACTTTGATAATATGAACATATTGTCATGGTAAACCTCATCAACAGCATCAATGACAATTCAGTCGTAGCTGACTAATCACAAATCAGAATGACAATCACAAAAGTAATGATGATGATAATGGTAATAAGAAGAGAATCATACGAATGCTGACACAAAATCATCACACTGACTGATGATCATCCTAGTGCGCTAGAATCATAATCAGCATATGTCTCGAAATGGGGTATGCCACCCAAATGGCCATTTTCATAGGAAAACATGTGATTCACCAATGGTAAAATATAGGGCCTAATATAGGGGTACCCCATTTTCATACAACCCCAAATCCATGATTCAGTGAAAGGTTAATCTTCCCATCAGCGCCTCCCATACCGGCCGCACAGGGATCTCCTGCCAATGGGATGGGACAACGGGGATATGGGGATAGGATCAGGATATACTGACGCAATGGGAAAAAAAGAACTTGTTTTTTTGGGGGGGTCTATGCATTTGGCAGGGCCATGTATGATTGAATATCCCAATACGGGATTATGTCTATTACGTATACAATCATCGCAAAGTTGTTTTATAACACATGTACATGTACGTAGATAAGTATATATATATATACACACACAAATTAATATGTACTTGCGGAAATTCTACACACAATTGGGTTTATTCTATGATTCTTGTAATCACTGGATATCCCAACGTTGGGATTTCTCCAGGTACAGCCGGAGCTGTGGCAAATAACCTGCAAAAAAAGGGGGATACCACAGCCTCATGCACTGGCAATCCATATGCTGGTTGGCTGTCTTCAAGGATTTGATTTGTATCTGCTACAGCCCGGAAATGACAAAATAAATCTATATAATAGATAATAGTTTTGCTGCGACCTGCAAACAATGTGCCAAAAGGACTGTTCGTTAACTGTTGATGTCTTCCAAAATCATATGTCGCGGAGCAAGTTTGTGTTTTTCCCCTTTGGTCTCTGGCTAATCGTTTCAAGTTTCAACCCATCCAAAAAACATTGCGTCATTTTAATTACAATCATCACTTCATTTATAGTTATGGAAAAATACTATATCTGAAACCCACCAAGCGAGTTGTATTGGTTGCATATTTCATGCTGCATCACCTCGCACCCCGGCGCCATGCAACACCCCCTCCTGCGCCTGCAGAGCCATGGGTTCAACCCCCAATGGAAAAAAATGAATCGATTGCTTGAGCCCGAAAGTTTGGCATGGTAGGTGATGTCAATCCATTTTTGAGATAAGTTATTGTTTTTTCGTGGAGATTGATCCTTTTGGTCACTTCGGACCCAAAATGTTCTGAAGCTGTGTCACCCCGAAAATCGCAAAGTTCAGGGAGTATGGTTGTAGAAATACTTATTCCATGTGTGTGTGTGTGCCAAGGTAGGGTTATTTCCAAATCATCCAACTTAGACGAGTTCAGTTTTGAGAAACCATGGGTATCCCGGGGATACCCATTTTGAAAATCCCCACGTCAGGGCCCAGGTTTTAGGACGTCAAGAAGCTATATCAGTAGTATATCCCTTAGCATGACCGTTCAAATGACAAGAATACACAAAAATGATGTCTTAAGAATTGGGGGGGCGGCACCCTGATTTCAGACCTATGTCAAAAAGACACCTTAATAAGTGTCTCCTATCTCAAAAACATCCACTTGGAGCGTCACGCCACATATCACTGGCAAGTAAAAAGCAAATAATAACATGTGAGGACCCAGTTGTGAATGACATCCATCCCTTGACTTACCATGGAACCTCAAAAGTGACGTCGTGGATAAATGATTTTACTGCTGCAAATTGCCCGAATATTGGGTTTCCTGTGAGATTTCGTGGGTTTCACAGAACTGGCGGCTTCCATTTTTCTCAACGCCTCAGCTCTGTCCTCACCAGGCACCTGGCATCGGTTTCTGGAGGTTCAACCAAATCGGTGGGATGTTATCGGTTGTAATGGGAGAATCCCCTCCAAAAGTGACAAGCCCCAATGATTTCTTTGGGGAAAATGGATAGGGCAAATCTTTGATGATGATGATGATGCTGCTGCTGCTGCTGCTGCTGGTGCTGCTGGTGGTGGTGGTGGTGATGCTGATGATGATTATTATTATTATTGTCATTGTTAATAATTAATAATATGTTGATATCTTCTTGGAACCCTAAAAGAAACCCAAAATGACTGTATGGTCAATTCTTCATAATTGCCCGCCTTGCACTTCAGGACATCGACCAGGACATTGGACATTGACGTCCTCCACGTCCTCTACGTCCTTGACGTCCTTGACGTCCCGTCCTCTATGTCCTTTACGTCCTCTACGTCCTTGACGTCTCCTTGACGTCTCCTCCTCCACTCTCCGTCCTCCACGTCCTCTACGTCCTCTACGTCCTCTACGTCCTCTACGTCCTTGACGTCCCGTCCTCTATGTCCTTGACGTCCGCTACGTCCTTGACGTCCTCTACGTCCTTGACGTCTCCTCCTCCATGCTCCGTCTTCGACATCCCGTCCTCTACGTCCTTGACGTCTCCTCCTCCCATGCTCCGTCTTCGACATCCCGTCCTCTACGTCCTCTACGTCCTCCACGTCCTCCACGTCCTCTACGTCCTCTACGTCCTCTACGTCCTCCACGTCCTCTACGTCCTCTACGTCCTTCCCGTCCCGTCCTCTATGTCCTTGACGTCCGCTACGTCCTTGACGTCCTCTACGTCCTTGCCTTCGCGTCCTCCACGTCCTCTACGTCCTCAAGGCCCACCACGTCCTCTACGGACTCTTTGTCCTCTGCGTCCTTCACGTCCCGTCCGTGCTGTGTGTACTCTAAGTCCTTGCTATCTGCTCCTCTACGTTATGTCTGTCCCGTCCTGTCTCTTCTACGTCCTGTGGGTGCTTCGCGTCCTTGACGTCCCGTCCTCTACGTCCTCCATGTCCCCTGCGTTCTCTGTATATGTCATCCAGCTCCTCCACATCTTTGCGGCTACATCCTTTACTTCACATGACTCTGGCCATCCGTTCCGCCGCTCTGCTTTGTTTATCAAAGGGACAGCAGCGCCACTGCAGGGGTGCTGCTCGGCAATGCCCGTGCCGCAACACAAATGCAGGAGACTTATGGTCAGTAGTGGTCCTGCCATGGCATACATGACATCCTCTTCCTCCTTTACCATGATGTTCCCAAGAAATTTATTCCCATTGACCTCAAGCCATACCAGGCAATATCGTTACATGGGCCCCTGCCAACCTGTCACAGTATTTACAAAATTTCACATTTCCATTGAATCTACCCTTCAGATCGTTTTCCAGCAGAGAAACGTCTCGACCATTTTCTCGGCACTGCCTTTTAGATCTTGCCGAACCATGTCGGACAACATGGTCGTTGAGCAGGCGTGGGCCTTGGTGGAAAACCACTTTGACCTCCAAGAACTTTTCGGAGAGGTCGGAAGGCTCTTCTTGGAAGAGCAAGCTGCCAAGAAGTGTTTGCACACGATGGCGATTTCTATGTCTGTTTTAGCTGGCCTAGCCCCATTAGCGAATGGAGCGCAGGTGAGAATATGGACAGAACCAACGCCATTGGTCCTAGCCACAGTTCTCATCAACCCTCCGCAGAGCCGAAAAAGTCAAACCACCAGCTTGCTCCGGGAACTTGGCACGGTGATCGACCAGACTTGTCATGAGCGGGAGCGGGCACGCGTGCTTCAGCGTCATCCTGCAGCAGAAGAGGATATTCAGACCGAGACCCTTCCGTCGAATGTCTTAGAAGGCTTCACGCCAGAGGCGAGCGGGCATCTCACGCAATCCTTAATTGATACAGATACATAACTATACATATATGAACCCGCAGATTTCCAAATAATGTTACCGAAACAACAATAAACAATCCACAATTTCACCATAAATAGATGGTATAAACCATTCCCAAATGAATGGTTTATTTTCCTTTATCCCACATTACTCCCAAACCTCATGTGTTGTACACTTTCGGAAATACAGATCCTTCTAACACGCTACATGCATTCTTCCCACATAGCATTACATCATTGGTGCATGGTCTTGGGCACACATTCCTCGCGGACATCTTCCCTGGACAGCAGCATCTGCCTCCCTGACAGGCTTTTTTCGAAGCAGTCAGTGGTGATTACTCTGTGAAGAAAAAGAGTGGCCGAGTTTGGGGACCTGGTGGATACGGCCGCTTGGCAAACGTGGATGAGGTTTACCCCAGTTTCCTTGCATTCGGCCTACTGACTGGGAATGATGCCAACAAGTCCTCGCATGGAAAATCTCCTGCTGGTATCAATTCAGCCACAAGCCTTTTGAATCGGTTTTTCCAAACCGGAGGAAGTAGCAGATTGACACGCACGGGTGGAGCCTACGGAAGCGCTGCTGCGTGCAGTGTGTCTTTCGCATTGGTCGGAAATGCTCATCCAACTACTGCTTTAGCAATGCTTGCCGGCACAAGTGGCTGCCACGTTGCAGCTGCGCATGAGCGCATTCTTTTCTACAGTTGCCCCAGAATCCAACCACATTCACCTGTGCCTGATGCTGTCCGCGTCAGCGGGCCGCGCTACATCTGGACCGACATGCCAGAGGAGCTTGCGGAATTGGCAGGCTTGACAGAATTGCTCCGGGATCCAGAACGGGCGGTGGCAGCAGTGCGACCGGACTATGACCGCCCGATGCTGCAAGGCGGGGAAGCATACACATTTTCTCTGCGATCTGACCATGCCCATCTCACAGAATGCTTGGCATTGAGTGATATATATATATATATATTTATATATATATATATATATTTTTTTATATAAATAGCTATCTATCGATCTACCTACCTACCTACCTATCTATCTATCTATCTATCTGTCTATCTATCTATCTATCTATCTATCTATCTATCTCTCTCTCTCGATATATATATATATTAAAAGTGTGTATATATATATATAGTATTTAAACTTGACATAAAAACGAGATCTTTATTTTACATTTTACTGCATCTATGCTAAAAAAATATTATTTCTATGTATATATATACACAATATTTCTACCTTAAATAAATCTTTACTTGTAGATATAGATAGATATATATATATAATATAATTTTCAAGTATGTACTATTTGCAAATCCTTACAGGTGCGTGCAAGATGAAGTGTGAGATGAAAAGCCCGACATAACAATCCGGCCGACCGTGCGAACGACTGGGATACCTTCTTTAAGCTTTATAGACTGCTGTGTGACTTGCTCTTGCTGCACCCAACATCAATCTGAGAGATGACCGGCACGAAGCTGCGGAGGGAGAACCCCACGTGGACCTGGTGGAGTGTAGGGAGCCCATCGGGCAAACCTTGCTCGCGACCTGCGGACTCAGCACGGCCAACATGATCCACGCATGGATGTATAATAAGCAAGAGGCAGCAATTCTCAGAAGACATACGCGTGATGTCTTTGCCACGATAAGACCACTCTACTTGAGGTTTTTGCGCAACCATGACATTACCCATAATTAATATTATATGAACTTTGATGCAGACACACACACACACACGCGCACATGTGCTGAAGCATTTTAGCCATCCAAGCGGGGATGTGGAGACAACTTCACCAAAAACGCACAGGTCACCAAACACGTTTCGGCTCCGCACTCAGGCTGAACATGGAACGATGTTGTGAATAACACAGGAGCAAAAATCATCTTTTCAAAAGCTGCTTCAAAGACTTTTGCCAAATTTCAAGATGATATGTGTGATGTGTTTTTTTCCTATGTATGTATAAGAGACAGCTAGTGTAGTCAGTGTAGTCAACTGGCGCAAAACGAATGTTGCAACCTTCCCCTCGTGAAGTGAGGAAGATTTTGCAAAATGCCGACCCTGCAGCCCAGATTCCAGAACAACTCCTTGGAAGTCTCGCAGACGCAATTGCTGCCCCCGGCCGAATAGAAATCACGCATACCACTGCATGTTTATCTTGCGGCAAGGCTATGGCCAAATACACCGCAGTACCGTGCCATGTGCTCACATGTAGTGGCTTGGCAGAGGCTACACATGCTGCCATGGTGTGCAGTCGCCGCAAGTGTCCCATGCGAAACAAATATGTTTGGTCTAACTTTGTAGCTCATGAAAAAGGCCGTCATACTTGGAGTGCTGCCACGGCCCGGCAAGATGTAGCTATGTTGACGACCAGGTTTGGGGTCACTTGGGAATGGCACGCTCAATTTACCAGACGCATAGTACATCAGCATGCTTCTTTCCTTGGCGAGTGCCGGGCACACAACTTTGCCAATCATGGGGTTCAACATGGTCACGAAAAGATTGCCAATGCGTGGATGAAGCTGCAGCTATTGAAGAGATGGCCAGATATTAGTGATCAGCCATTCCCTCTCAGTGACCCTTTCGCAGCGATTTTGCACCAACATTTGGCAAAGTACAATGCCCTCGTCTCTGACCTCTTGCTCAGATCTGCTGGAACACCCCTTGTTGCAATCATTGACGGTAACCAAAAGATGACAAGACGAACCTGCTGCGAGCAGATGGCAGACCTCCGCTCCATCGCTGGCGGTGATCTTTTGTATGTTCAAGAATGTGACGCTTACATGTTCAATAGTTAACTTTTCCAAACTTTTTCCAACTTGCTACAGGAAACTTATAATGCTCTTTCTAGCATCGCGGTCATCCTGTGAATACATAGCCTCAAAAAGAGGCCACCTTCCTGTACATAAAGTCTCAGCATGCTTGAGAATCACCGTTCAGAGGGTAGGCTGCCACGTTCATGAGCCCCGGCAAGAAGGTCAAAAGAGTCAAGCCGAGCTGGAGATTGACCTAGCCTTTCACGAACTCAGCAACTAACGAGGCCAAAAGAGCCATACGAAGCATGGCATTGACCCACCGCCAACCCACCAAAGCCAAAAGAGACAAGCAAGAGTGCCTGTCATTGGCCCGCCAGCTCTGTGATGAACAACAAATGCACCAAATTCGTGGCAAAAGCTGCCAAAAAGTAAACCCAGCCGTAGCCATCACCGGGATCCAGAGATTGCCATGAGTAAAATGGCAACCAGCCATCTGCGCCCCACGCCATCAGAAGCCAGCTGCCACAAAACTGTCTGGGGTGGTGCGCCCGCATGGGGAATACAGATATATAGCACATACACTGGAAGTGGAAGGGCCCATGTTGAAATTTCTTCGGCCCTGGACTTTGAACATCTAAGGACAAGACACCAGGGCGTAAGCGCTCTTTTTGTCACACCCATGACAGGCCTGCCTCTGTCGACTGCGGGGTCCGCATCTTCAAGAAGCATTGCGTAGCCAAAGATCCACAGGATTTGTTGCGGTCCAAACCTGCTGGTATGGTCGACTTGGCATGGCCGCTTCACGATTGGATTCGTGCCCAGATTCATATCCAGTCCAAGCCTAGCCAGACCAAGGAAACAACCGAAGATCTTGACATAGCAGAAGCCTGTGATTTTGTCACCTGTAACACTGCGAAGATGTCCAAGAGAGCCCGTCGTCGATCAGGCGGCTGGCTGGTGGCATGCAACGAGACGGGGGGCGTTATCGGCTTTCAGGAATTCTTTGGCGGTGAGAGCCTGACGCAGAGAGCTGCCTTTGTCAGCACATTGGTGCACAAATATGATTCTATTACCACGATATGTCATGACGATAGCTGCCACTTGAGAAGGTTCATGGACCGCTGGTTCTCATCCATTCCTCGTCTGTGTTTTCCACAAACCCACTACGTCCTTGACCGCTTCCATGCACGCACACATACAGACAAATGGTGTCAGACAAATTGCAGTCCCAATACCGAAACAAACCGGCCTAGATTAGACAAAGTGAATTCCAGTGCTTGCGAAATACTGTTTGCCTGGTTTTCCGGCTTCAAGGCTTCTTTTAGGCATATGGGTCGACTGACAGGTCATTTTTTTGTTTCTGAAATTTTGCTGCAGAGAAACGACTGGCATTGCAATCAGACCAGCCGTGCAGAGACCGATTGAAAACAGCAGCATCGCGCCTCCTGGCGCTATGTGCGCGCACGCAGATTCACGGTGCAGCCATGCCATGTTACCTGTTATTCCTCTTTGTTTTTGCCCTGCAGGCTTGGAAGTCGCCGCAGATCCTGACGATGAACATACGATTGAGTACGCCTTCAACCTGCCAGATGGCGTCCCCAGTCGCTTTCGCTATGAGTACCATGAGGGCCAGCCTCTTCTCCGATTCCGCGTGCCCAACCGCACGGTTGAAGCCAACGATGACTTTGCTTTGACAGCTTGCGCTCTCCGGGTTGCTTCTCGTTTTGCCGCTCCGCATGCTGTCATTGAGTTTACGGATGAAGGGAAGGCTGCATTCCTTGGCTACCAGACATTGCTCAATGTGCGTTCAAATGCGGCCGTCAAGGCCCTAGTCACCAAACCAACAAATTAATCTTTGAGCTAGTTGCACTTGGTTCTCCCTTTTCTGGCCGTGAAGGCCTTAGTCACCAAACAAACAAATCTTTCAGCTAGAAGCTAGAAGCCAGTGTTTGTCCCTTTTCTCTTGAATTACCTTGCGCTTCCCCGCACAGCTTGTAGGTGGGAAGCCATGATTTGGCCACGCGGCTAAGCATTGGTCCTTGGCATTTGGGAATTTTGTCTGCGCTCATGCGTCTTTTTGACCTTTTTGTTCACACTGAAGATCCTTTTGGAGAGGACAAGGTTCTGGCTTTGAAATCAAGTGGCATGTGTTTCCAAGCGGCTTTCACTTTTACCGCTTTATTAGTTATAAGATGTTAATTATAAAGTTATAAGTCCTTTATAATCACATTTCTGGCTTCCAATTTATACAAATTTACTAATGGTAACAAATTTTACCTGTACATCCTCTGTTTCAACTATAGCTAGTGCTGATTGGACACAATTGCCGTGCCTCCTTCGATGTTTTTTTCCCTGGTCAGGTGCAAGTCCACCGCAACCATGTATTGCGGGCTTGGAAGCTTCTGCAGATTCTGCACATTATGCGAGACTATTGGAGCAAGACTGAAGAGGATGGCGCCAAAGGAATCGTTCTACCTCCTGCTTCTGCTGATTTGCAGAGCCGTGTGCCGGAACACATCAAATGCCCACAGTCCCAGGGGCTTGACCATTTTCCAGCAACTCAAAGATTTGAACCCAAGCCTGAGATCCCGTCGGAAGACGAAGCCACACCCACACCCAAGGAGTGCCTCACCGGCAAGGCCTTTGACGCTGCTATGGCAAAGGGCTACAACGATGCTGGCCTTTCCGTCCAGCTGCCGGCCTCTTGGATGTCTGACAGGGACATCTTCCGCAGAACCGTGCTCAGAGGCAAGATGGAAGTCACGTATGGAGATTTGTCCCTCCGAAAAACTGAGACCCTGGATGATGGGAAGAAGAAAAAAGTGGCAGTGTCCAAGGACACATGGGAGCAAGTCGTCAAAGCTGCCTTGGCCCTTTACCCCATTGGAAAGCTTGAAGCTGCAGGAACCTCCAAGTCCAAGCTTGTCTTCTCTCAAGTTCCTACGCAGAATGCGAAGCGAGTGGCCTTCCACAACATGCTCGTGGATTCCTGCCAAGTCTCAGTGCGCCAGTGGTGCGACAGCTTACAAAAAGAAACTGATCGAGTTGCCAGTCGGAAACGGAAGCAGGGCGAAACAACAGAGAAGCCCGGGGACGAGGATTAGTTCCTTGCGAACTTCCGGTGTTTCCACACTAGCATGGGTGAAGACAGCTTGCAGAAGCCACTGCGCAGCTGCTGTGTCAAATACCTCAAAGACAGTTTAGAGCTGCATGCCAACCTTGGTTGCTGCGTTTCGCAAATGCAAAAAGCATCCAGCTGCATGTGGTTGCATTTGTGCCAGGAAGAATGTGTCATGTTTTTTGCAGGGACAGGCAGATCAAGAATCAAGATCAACATCAAATATATAATCTTGCAGTACTGGAGCAATATGAATCTGCCTTGCAACATTCAAATCAGGATGTATCATTTGGGCCTGTTTCCTTTACAGGGACACGCAAATCAACAATCAAGATCTGAATCAAACGTGCAGTCTTGCACCACCGTATGAATACAGTGTTTCGAGACACTCACAACATTCACAACCTCCACGCATAGACGTCCACAACATCCCCATTCCCTGCCTGCCCCCCGACAGACACCCACGCACGGCTCCCACGTCCCCCGTGTCCCCCACGTCCCCCGCGTCCCCGACGTGTCCCACGTCCCCTACGTCCCCTACGTCCCCTACGTCCCCTACGTCCCCTACGTCCCCTACGTCCCCTACGTCCCCGACGTCCCCGACGTCCCCTACGTCCCCTGCGTCCCCTGCGTCCCAAGGTCAACTACGTCCTCTACGTCCCCAACGTCCCCCACGTCCCCGCAACGTCCCTGACGTCCTCTACGTCCCCAACGTCCCCGACGTCCACGTCCCACGTCCCGGCGTACACAGCAGGCAATCCTCCAATTCTTCCATGGGGCCGGCGGATTTTGATATCTTCTTGAAACCCTAAAAGAAACCCAAAATGACTGTATGGTCAATTCTTCCATGGGGCCGGCGGATTTTGATATCTTCTTGAAACCCTAAAAGAAACCCAAAATGACTGTATGGTCAATTCTTACATGGGGCCGGCGGATTTTGATATCTTCTTGAAACCCTAAAAGAAACCCAAATGATTGTATGGTCAATTCTTCCATGGGGCCGGGCGGATTTTGATATCTTCTTGAAACCCTAAAAGAAACCCAAAATGACTGTATGGTCAATTCTTCCATGGGGCCGGCGGATTTTGATATCTTCTTGAAACCCTAAAAGAAACCCAAATGACTGTATGGTTAATTGTTCCATGGGGCCGGGGGGATTTTGATATCTTCTTGAAACCCTAAAAGAACCCCAAAATGACTGTATGGTCAATTCTTCCATGGGGCCGGGGGGATTTTGATATCTTCTTGAAACCCTAAAAGAAACCCAAATGACTGTATGGTTAATTGTTCCATGGGGCCGGGGGGATTTTGATATCTTCTTGAAACCCTATAAGAATTTATAAGAATCCCGAATGACCCTATGGATAATTCCATTTGATATGTATAAGCGACATGATCTGTTTTTATGATATGTAGAAGCAACATGTTTTGGTTAACACCCTAGCAACATAATTGAACATAAAATCCCTCCCGTTGTTTGACGTCGTACAGAACTCCCTGGTATTTACTATTCTAGGCTTGGGCAAACCTCGGGGTCTGTTTGTAAGCTTACCGTGGATACCATGTATGTACAATGAAATATGATAGTTCCAGATTTTTGTATAGTGATATTCCATTCCTATAGTATAGAGAGAGAGAGAGAGAGAAAACCCAAACAAAATAGATGTTAGTCCCAGTATGTCCCAGTAAACTCTACGAGCATAATATGCTAGATTGAACCTGTTCTATCTACTGTATCTTGCGAGTTGCTATTTTAAAAAAACCTAACGCCTAACATCCCAATTTCCGCTGTTTTTTTACCTCAGCGGGCATGGCTCCCCAGGCAGCACCGGAAATGCTGATGCTTCCTGCGGCGCAGCTTCGCCGTGTTTCGACACGGAGAGTCGTGAGGTACGACGAGTGCGAGCCAAGTTGGCGCAGAAATGTTGGTGAAAGCCATCATCGAAGTTTCCTACAATGGATCATCCCGTTATCTCAATATGTATATATACATATATATGTATATACATATCCCAGTATTTTCCCAAATGGTATTCCCTATCTATTCCCCGTTCATACAAAGTGGTGCCCCAGTGGTGTTTTTCACGTTGGTTTTTAGGTTATCCCCCATGAAGTAGTTCGATGTATCTACCAGAAAACCTAGTGAAATTGGAGTTATGTTTACCAGTTTCGCTAACGAACTGGGGTTCCATGTTGTATTTTAAGCGGTGATGTCCTCAAACATGGCTGGAAAAAAAACGATCTAAATGGACGATCGAATGGCAAAATCAACGAAGAAAATCAAAAATGATCTATTGCAGTGTTCGATTACGGGAGGGTATATGAGGATGAAAAAACTGGACCAATGTGGCAGACGAAAAATGTGATGCGATTCCTGTGAACATATGTATAGGCATGGGGATACACATATGCAACATGTGTGTAGTTCCCTTTGCATCTCTATATATATATATATACACTATTATATCATACTATATTTACACATATACCTATACATATACACAAGTATAAATATATATATATTCACCTGTTTGTATATGTAAATATTGAGAAACCTCTACAAACGGAATTCCAATGTTTCCTCGCTCAAACAATATTGGAAATCATTGCTGAAAACCCATCTTTACTCAGCTAGAAGTTCTCCTTTAACCTTCCCATGGGTGTATCATGAAGATATGGTGGGATATATTCATAAACAAGAGATATTGATATAATAATAAAGTGTCAGTATATCACCAGCAAAAGAAGAAAAATATAACCACCTGTTACAAATAAATACAAGTCTAAATCAAATCAGGAGATTACATTCCACTAGAGCCGGTCTCGGGCTGCTGGATGATATTCTTGATTGCACGTGAAACACCGCGAATCTTGTGAAGATGGAAAAACGACTTTTTCAATAATCGAAACAATGCAAAACACAGAATATGTGATCGAAGGAAGTTTAGAAGTCAAACTTCCGACAATACGGACAGATGGAGAAGCAGAGGTGGGAAGAGTCAGAGAAGAGAAAGTGAGAAGAAAGAAGATCAGAGAAGAGAAAGGCAGAAGAAAGAAGATCCAGATACACAAAAAGGTGGAAACTAACGAAACACTGTGTTTTTCCATTGTTCTGTGGCTCCGGAGGGTCGAAAAAGTGCACACCATTGCGGCGCGAAGAACATTTAGAAGTCAAAATGTACAAAACGCCTCAGCCTCGTCTAGATGTTCAAAAAGTGCACGTTGTTGCGGCGCGAAACACATGTCGAAGTCAAAATGCGCAAAGCACACTACGTTCGGAGCGTCGGTTTGTGTGGCAGGCGCAGTGGGGGTGGGAGGCTTGAAGGGGATCTACGAAGACGCATTTCGCGTGGCGGGCGCAAAACAAGAGACGTCTTCATCAGAGATGTTGGGAAGTCAGGGAGCTGATTTCCTGAGAGGGTTTGCATCCTGGAGCATCAGATCTTTAGGCTTGCTAAGATGATCTTTGCGCACCAGCCTATACTACACTACAGTACACTACACTACACTACAGCAAAAAATACTACAGCTACAACTACAACTACAACAGCAACAACAGCTACAACTACAGCTACAACTACCACAACACTACACTACAACTACAGCTACAGCTACAGCTGCAACTACAGCAGCACCAACACCTACAACTGCAACTACCACTGCCATAACCGCCACACTACAATTACAGCTACAACTACAGCTACAACTAGAACTAGAACTAGAACTAGAACAACAACAACAACACCAACACCAACACCAACAGCAGCAACAGACAGCCGTGGTACAATCTGCATTCTGAAATCTCCAAAAGGTGTCTGGCGTTGTGGCGCCGTATCGATTTTGATATCTTAGCTGTGAAAATCAGTGCTTTGGAATTTCCCAAACTATGTTTTTTTTGCACATCATCTGCTCGACACTCCCCCTTTTTTTCTTCCATGTTCTTAGCGGACTTGTTTGGCGGCTTTGCACAACTGTGCCAAGAAGGCACTTGGCTTACACGGTCCCAGCAGCTTTCGCCACATGAACTGTTAAACTAATTTCTTCACTTCAGGATGTTCTTTCACTTGCCTGTGGTAGCCAAGACATCTAGGAAAGCTACTTGGAATGATTTTTTTCAGGGACAGCCATCCATGGTCAGCAATCTGCGTGCCGGCTACATTTGAAATGTGCTGGCTTCTGCCTTTGCTAATCTTCTTCGTCCATTCTTTGTTTTGATGACACACTTTAGCATGGGGTATTTTCAAGGATTTGGCATGCGATTCACAGCTGCGATTTCCATCCGAAAAGATCTTCGTTTTGCATAGATTGAATGAAAAGACATGCAGCATAACATGGCATGTGACAAGTGTGGACGTGTACATTAACATCCCACCACCCCACCCACCCCACCCCAAGACAACATAAGTAACGTAGCAGGGCAGACACAAGTAAAGACCGCTAGCGTAGCATGTGACAAGTGTGGACGTGTACATGAACGTTAACATCCCACCCCGCCCACCCCAAGACTACATAAGTAACGTAGCTGTCACAAGTGTGGCAGTGTACATGAAAGCATGAAAAATGTCAACAAACACACAAAAGCACACGGCCAAGTAGGGGTCATGCTCCAACTACATCTACAGCTACACTACACCACACCACACCACAGTACATCCAGCAGTTGTGGGTGAGGTGACCACTGCAACCACTCCAAAAAGCACAACTCCAACCACCTTTCGGTCCATCAGTTCGCTCTGCCATTCATGCATCACAACACCTCGCCTCTCCTATACTTTCCTATCTTGGAAACTTCCGCTACCGCCTTGTGCAGTAATACTGGTAAAATGATAAAGATAATTTTGACAATAAATGCCATCAAATCAGCCGGTGTAGTGTGGTTCCTTTTGGGTGGGGGCTCTACATCTCCTTTCCAATGAACGACAAAAGGCCTAATACAAAGTCATCAAACTCATGAAATATGCTGCAAGCTTCCCAAGAGATGGGAGAAGTCAATCTTTTCGTCTGGGTTGAAGACAAAGTCAAGCTCGCCGTCACGACATCGACAGATGAGCTCCAGATCTGACATCAAAGGATCACCGTAGGCACGGATGTCAAGGTCGTTCGGATCCTTTGCTGCGGTGTATCCAAAGGTCAAGGGAAAGCCCAAACCTTTGAATTTCCCTACAAACTTGCAGGTAAATGTTGCTTAATGTTTCTGCAGGAATAGAAAATAGTAATTCTGGTTAGGATCGGATAGGCCAAAGTTTGGTGGAATTCGGAGGATTTCCAACTTTTTACAACAATGACTCAAGTGACATCGCAGTGAAGCCATTAAACTCTATGCATATATGGAGGGTTTCCTAAAATGAGGGTACCCTCAATCATCCATTTCACTTGGATTTTCCATTACAAACCATCCACTTCATGGTACCCCCACTAATGGAAACCCCCATATATACATGTGTATATATATATATGATTTTTTTTCCAATGCCATGCATGTACCACCTGCAGTACCTCTCATTGTTGAAAAATCTCTCCATTTCTTGTTTCAGAAGATGACCCTCATCTACTCCCTGGATTTTCCATTAGATGACCATGGTCCAACGAATCCTACTCCATGTGTGGGATACCCATCTGCGGGAAATAGCTATGGTCACCGACAGAATTTTGGAAATGGAAAAAAGGTTCGACATGGGGAAGCAAACAACTGCGGCGCGCCGGGGCCGTATTTTTCCATAATTCTGTTTTACTGATAAAAATGCACACCTCAAAAATCGGTAATACCTTGTATACCGAACCTTTTTGGAAGGGGCGTGACGTGCTGCAGTTAAATTTCCATATATATTTTGTCCATGTGAGGGTGCTTCTTGGCATATGACCATTTCCATAATTATTTGTTTCCTGAAAGGGGTGACAACTTTTCTATTGATGTTTCCATAATTCTTTTGGCCATGGCTACAGTGCATGATTGTGGCTACAGTAGCATCAGTGGGAGATCAAAACTAGGTAGTTTGGAGGATCAGGATCCGAAAAGTAAGATTTCGAAAATTAATTTTGCATCGTGGATTAGAGGCTTTTGTAGACATTTGTATACATTTGTTTCATCCTTTTTTTGAAGGATCAAGATCCGAAAACTGAATCTAGATTTAGTCCCAAGATCATGCAAATACGCTGTAAAGCAACTGGTTTGGAGGATCAGGGTCCGAAAGCTGAATCTAGATTTAGTCTCAAGATCATGCAAATAAACTGTAAACAAGGTGGTTTAGAGATGTTTGGAGGATCAGGATCCCAAAACTGAATCTGGATTTAGTCCCAAAATCATGCAAATTTGCTGTAAACCAGGTGGTTTGGAGGATAAGGGTCCCAAAACTGAATCCGGATTTTGTCGCAAAATCATGCAAATTCACCCGTTTTAATGAGTGTACTAGTTCCACGAGGGTGAAGGATTTGGTCCCTTATTGAAGATCTTCAATGAGTGTGCTAGTTCCACGGGGGTGAAGGATTTGGTCCCTTATTGAAGATCTTCAATGAGCGTAATAGTTCCACGGGGGTGAAGGATTTGGTCCCTTATTGAAGATCTTCAATGAACCTAATAGTTCCACGGGGGTGAAGGATTTGGTCCCTTATTGAAGATCTTCAATGAGCGTAATAGTTCCACGAGGGTGAAGGATTTGGTCCCTTATTGAAGAACTTCAATGAGCGTAATAGTTCCACGGGGGTGAAGGATTTGGTCCCTTATTGAAGATCTTCAATGAGCCTAATAGTTCCACGGGGGTGAAGGATTTGGTCCCTTATTGAAGATCTTTCAATGAGCCTTAATAGTTAGTCCACGGGGGTGAAGGATTTGCGTCCCTTATTGAAGTCAATGAGCCGTAATCTCCACATTGAAGATCTTCATGAGCCTAATAGTTCCACGGTGGGTGAAAGGATTTGGTCCTTATTGAAGATCTTCAATGAACCTAATAGTCCACGGGGTGAAGGATTGGTCCCTTATTGAAGATCTTAATGAGCCTAATAGTTCCACGAGGGTGAAGGATTTGGTCCCTTATTGAAGAACTTCAATGAGCGTAATAGTTCCACGGGGGTGAAGGATTTGGTCCCTTATTGAAGATCTTCAATGAGCGTAATAGTTCCACGAGGGTGAAGGATTTGGTCCCTTATTGAAGATCTTCAATGAGCGTAATAGTTCCACGGGGGTGAAGGATTTGGTCCCTTATTGAAGATCTTCAATGAGCCTAATAGTTCCACGGGGGTGAAGGATTTGGTCCCTTATTGAAGATCTTCAATGAGCGTAATAGTTCCACGGGGGTGAAGGATTTGGTCCCTTATTGAAGAACTTCAATGAGCGTAATAGTTCCACGGGGGTGAAGAATTTGGTCCCTTATTGAAGATCTTCAATGAGCGTAATAGTTCTACGGGGGTGACGGATTTGGTCCCTTATTGAAGATCTTCAATGAGCCTAATAGTTCCACGGGGGTGAAGGATTTGGTCCCTTATTGAAGATCTTCAATGGGCGTAATAGTTCCACGGGGGTGAAGGATTTGGTCCCTTATTGAAGATCTTCAATGAGCGTAATAGTTCCACGGGGGTGAAGGATTTGGTCCCTTATTGAAGATCTTCAATGAGCCTAATAGTTCCACGGGGGTGAAGGATTTGGTCCCTTATTGAAGATCTTCAATGAGCGTAATAGTTCCACGGGGGTGAAGGATTTGGTCCCTTATTGAAGATCTTCAATGAGCCTAATAGTTCCACAGGGGTGAAGGATTTGGTCCCTTATTGAAGATCTTCAATGAGCGTAATAGTTCCACGGGGGTGAAGGATTTGGTCCCTTATTGAAGATCTTCAATGAGCGTAATAGTTCCACGGGGGTGAAGGATTTGGTCCCTTATTGAAGATCTTCAATGAGCCTAATAGTTCCACGGGGGTGAAGGATTTGGTCCCTTATTGAAGATCTTCAATGAGCGTAATAGTTCCATGGGGGTGAAGGATTTGGTCCCTTATTGAAGAACTTCAATGAGCGTAATAGTTCCACGGGGGTGAAGAATTTGGTCCCTTATTGAAGATAAACAATGTAAGTTGGGACAGTTTAGAGTTTGGAACGGCGCCACCAGAGCCTTTCTCCAAGCATCGTTGCCAAAGGGCGACTCCAGAATCTCGGCCACTTCATCCAGCCCAAAAAAGCCCACCGTGGCCACGGCCGAGAAGACACAAGTCAGCCAGCCACAGTTGGGAGCTAAAACAAAAGGTAACATCACCAGGAACACCAAGGTGAGCCACTTCACGATCTAGACCGGGACAGATGGAGTTGTTTTGATTGATGGGGATTTCACCCAATAATATGAGGATATCATGGATATAAACAGAAAAGAATATGACTGAAAACGTGGTGAGATGGTTGGCATATTGACATAAACTTTGGACGTGGTTGGGATTGAAGACATTGACGATCATCCCAATGGAGGAAGGTTTGCCGTTCATTGTTCCATGAAGGGCTTAAGAAATCTGGATCATTGAGAATTAATCTCAGAATCTCAAGACCGAATAACTTTCAGCATGGAATGATACATGTATGATACATATATGCATACATACACACATGTATATATATATATACACATATGTACATATATACATACATACAAATATAAAAACAAATATAAATACAAATACATCTATATATATACAAAATCTATGCATAAATACATATATACATACATACATACATACATACCATACCATTACATTACATTACATTACATTACACTACATTACATTACATTACATTATAATACAATACAATACAATAGAATACAATACAATACAATGAAATACAATACAATACAATACAAGACAATACAATACAATACAATGCAATACAATACAATACAATACAATTACATACATACATATATTACATATACATATATAGAATTACATTTATACATATACATATATACATATCTATACATATGTATACACATATAGACACATATATGCACATGTATACACATGTATACATATTTATCTATATATATATGTATATATACATATATAACTGTATACATATATTCATACATATAGATGTATATATATACATATATATATATACATATATATATACATATATATATATATACATATATATATATACATATATATATATAAACAGTTTATATATATGCATATACGTATATATATATACATATACATAGTGAAATTTTACTATATACATATGAATATACTTATACATATATATATACATATATATATATATACATATTTACATATATATATACACATATTTACATATATATATACATACATACATATTTACATATATATATATATGTACATATATATATATACATATATATATACATCTATACACATTTATATACGTATAAACATGTTTTTACCGCGCAGACTGCAGAAGTCTGTGCACTGAACCTTAGCCCTTGAAACTGCAAAAAATATTATCAAAAAGTAGAGAGGTAATCAACAAAAAATACGTATATATATATACATATATTTACATATATACAAATATTCACACTTATACAAATACATATTTATGTATATATATTTACATATTTACATGTATACATATATACACATATACACATACACATATACACATATACATATACACATATACACATACACATATACACATATACGCATATACATACATATATTATATCCGCCGACCCCTGCCGCCAGCAGGGGGAGCGCGTCAGAGGAGGCCTTACTAGCAACAAGGGGCGAAAAGAGAAACTTCGCAGGCCCGGTCCTCAGGGCCCTGCTGTTTGGCTGTGGCGGAGGCGCCGTTTGAGGTCAGACAGCTAGTTTTCGTGCAGGTTGAGAAAGCAACGTTAGGCAGTGGGGGCCGTGGCCCGCAGGCCTGGAAGACAGCTAGTTTTATTGTAGGTTCAGAAAGCGACGTTAGGCAGTGGGGGCGCCACATGAAATGCAGTACCGCGGCATGTCAACGGCAGGGACAAATTCAGACCCTTAAAGCTCTAGACATCTCTCGACATCTCTAGAGTGTGGATTCTTGAACTAAACCTTGTTCACATTTACGAAGCTGTGAGTAGCCGAGGTGGAGCCTCTCGTCTTTCAACGCATCAATGTTTGCGGCAGTCCATTAGAAAGAGGCTTCAGTGCACAGGTGTTTGGTTCCACCCTGAAAGTTGGTGAGTTTGGGTTGTCATGTCTTTTCTGCAGATCTTTGGCTCTTCTTGGCTTTGGCAAGGGTCAGTACCGTACCGTATTCAAAACGTTACGAATCATCTCAATATCTGACGTCACAAAGTCAGAGAAGAAGGTCACGAATGGAAACGGATAAAATCAAACTCGACAAAGCAGTTCAGCCGTTTCTCTCGCTTCCTAGTTGCACTAAATGCACTAGTATTGGTTTTGATGTTATAATAACCATTCATTATATTCCCATTATTTTTGCTGGTTGGATTCCATATGGCCCACCGACACTGCGTCGCGATGCCACCATACATCCGCTATGCTCACTTCGAGGCCAGGTTCGGTGTATAGAGACAGACACCCAAGATATAGAAATATGTGTTCTGCTTTTGGGAGGGCCTAATTGATATGGATTTGCAAGCAAAAATGCTAGAAAATAGGGGAGGGAGAGAGAGAGAGAGAGAGAGAAATCTATAGATATCCGCCGACCCCTGCCGCCAGCAGGGAGAGCGCGTCAGAGGACGCCTTACTAGCAACAAGGGGCGAAAAGCGAAAATTCGCAGGCTCGGTCCTCAGGGCCCTGCTGTTTGGCTGTGGCAGAGGCGCCGTTTGTGAGCCTTGGCGACTGGAAGACAGCTCAGAGAGCTAGTTTTCTTGTCGGTTCAGAAACAACGTTAGGCAGTGGGGGCCGTGGCCCGCAGGCCCGGTCCGTCCTTCAGGGCCTTCCTGTTTCGGCTGCTTGGCCCGGAGCTTCTCTTGGTGCATCTCACTCCCCTCCGGTGTCCAGGGGTCGGCGGCAGAGGGCGTAGCCCTTTAATATATATACATTACATTACATTACATTACATTCCATTCCATTGCATTGCATTGCATTCCATTCCATTACATTACATTACATTACATTACATTACATTACATTACATACATAAATGATGCGTACGTATGTGTATGTATATATATATATACATATGTATATCAATATTGATATACAAAAATTATGTGCGTATACATGAGATGATATAAAATAGATATACGGATATACGCATTAGTTGTGGTTCACTAAGATTCCCAAATCGTTGTGGGGCTTGGTCGCTGGAGGATTTCCAGGCAGCGGTCAGGAAACAGTGGCGTGACTTTCAAAGCTAGGATTGATATTTGGAACTTGTTTATGTGTTTCCACACGTCAACAAAAAAAAGATGGAAAGGTGAATTTGGTAGATAAAATAACTTTAGCTCGGTAGTGAAACATAGACCCAGGTCAAAACAAAATCCGCCAGCGATGTTTGGCCATTTGACCTGGAAAAGCAGCTGGTTGAAGAAGTTTAAAGAACATCAGACTCATTGGGGTCAGACCCACTCCATCCATCCAGAAAATCATAGAGAATGTCAACCCTGGATTCACACACAAGCACTGCTTGATTGCTTAGGACGGTCATCCCCAACGAAAATGTATTTGCACAAAACAAATGCACAAGCAAACAACCTCAGCTTTGATTTTTAACATTCATCCAGAATTGATATTCCCCAGTTTTGCCCCCCCGCACCTGCGTGTAGGGAAATGGAAATTGAGTCTTGTCAATCTTATCCATGTTCCAAAAACAGGCACTCACTTGAGTGAGCTGATTCAGCACCCCATTCATGATTGGAGGTTCCAGCGCTTGATGGTCTAAGATTTGCCTCAAGGACAACGAGATCCAGAAGAGGATGATAGTCGGCCTGGTATGGCGGTGAGCAGATTTGGACCCCGCAGTGCCCTTCCCTTCGCCTGGATACAGCACTGTCCATTCATGGTCTCCAGCCAGGGCTGCCACGTCGTGACGCAAGTTGTCCATCTGACTGGCTGCGTTGGTCTGGTTGGTTCCCGTGCGCTGGAAGTATTCCAGGACGACCAAATAGTACCTAGGTTGAGCCATCAATCAAACAAAAATAGGATGTTGGTAGACCCTACAATAAGCCATAGTCTTTGGGGGTGCTGGTTGGATCAGGGGTCATTGGCTCGGAATCTAGATTCCGGTGTCACTAATCAAGCGGGATCAACATCAAAATAGTATGGAACAGAAAAAAACTTTAAATTCACACAGCAGCTACAACACCAGCAGCCTTACAATTCTCTTCGCGTTTTTCTCCACCTCCTTGTGCTTTTCCCAGTTCACCATGCCGCAGACCGAGATGGAAATGCTGCGGAGCAGGTGGCACATGTTGGTTAAATCCGACAAGGCTTCCCAGAATTGGTTGTTGGCAGCTTGCGTCTTCAAGACCAACAAAAAAGATACCAAAATGGCCAGTGCCTTAGTCCCCTCTTCTGCCACCTTGGCGAAAGAGGTCATGTTGTTCTCCTCCCCTGTGTCGGTCTCCAGGTTTTCCCGTTCCCAATCCGCCAGCCAAATGGCCAGAACCGAAAGGCCTTGGATCAAAATTAGCTGCGGTAAGAGCAGTGGAACGATCGAGCCACGAAACTTGAAGAGGATGAAGGGTGTGATGGTCAAAAAACTCCAGACACTCCCCTCAGAACCAGATGGATATGGTACCACCATTGCGGAGACACAGCTCTAAAGCTGGAAATGCGACTGCTGTGCTCTTTGTCGGGCCCCCAAGGTTTGTAAGAGTGGCAGGGATGATAGCCTATAGAGCCCTGGTTGCCCCGACTGAAACTGGACACCTTCGCTTCATGCTGACGTGCATGTCTTGTCGTGTTTCAAGTTTTGACCTTAAATTACTCCAAATCTGCCTCGGGATCTAGAAATTTCTCTGCGGGAAACCTAACAGTTTGCCATGTACCTCAAGCAGAACTCTGGTCCTTTCTTGCGAGTCTCACCTTATTTTTCTGCTCGGGTAGAAAGTTCATGGAGCCAATGCAGCAAGGGCACAAAAAAAACACTGGTAACATACCTGCAATATCACGGAAACCAAAAGATGCACTGAATGGACCCCGTAGTGATGAAATCACGACGCATCAATGGGTAATCCCCGAGTCCACTGGTTGGGCCCAAAAAAAATGAGGACTGAGGTGGCAAATGTCATGCAAATGTCATGCAAATGTCATGGTGTTATGGTGTCGGGACTTCATCTTTTCCTCCAGTCAAGTTGGTGACTCATATTGGGTAGCTGAGGATGTTGGGGGGACGGTATATTTCAATATATTTCAGAATTTTCAGATCATTTCCATCTGGTTCCCCAGCAAAGTCCACTTCAAGATCTCCCCCCCTAGGTGAAGCCTGGGAAGGTGAAGCCATCTGGAGTGGATCTTAAAAGCCCAGCTGCTTGAGCCAAAAAAAAAGCGGAGTTTCTCACAATTGCTAGCAACTAAGGAGTGGGAACAAAGGGGGGGAAGAACTGCTGTATCCTAAATGGATGATACAAGTCACTCGGGTTTAATATGGTTTAACTATTTTCGTTGGGATTTATGACCCTCTTTATAGATAGAAGTAATTACATGGTCAGGGAACATATCCAGCAGCAGATGTACATGCCTCTTTGCTTCTGGTCCCACCCAAATCCTACACTGCACTAAAAGCCCAGGCCACAAAGTAATCCAGTCGCCAACCACCCAAGCCCAACCCGCCAGAGTTCACCCTTCAGCGGAAATCGAATTCCAAACGGGCAAGCCGCTAGCCTCTCGAAATCATGGAAAACTGCCAAAACAACACCATAAAATCGGCTTAGAACCTGGGAATCTGTTGGATTTGTTTATAAACAACAAGCACTGTGCCCCCGCCACGTGCTTCTTTTCCCCTTCCTGTGTTCCATGGTCCACCGGTCGCACAAAGCTACCCGGGTACCTGCAGCCGGCAGCCATGGTTGAGATAGGATAGCTTTACCTTCGACAAATTCTGGGAAGGGTAGGTTTATCTATCTGAAAGGAAACTATGGCTCTTATACAGTGGTGCCCCAGTTCGTTAGCTACGCTGGCTTATACACAGTTTGATTAGGGTTTAGAGTGGGTCTATAGATTTTTGTAGTGATTGTAAATTATGAATCTATTTGGGTGGGTTTATAGACCAACAGCCATAACTAGGCACCGATATATGGCGCACCGAGCAGCGCACCACCTGTCAACATTCGATGGCTTTCTGAGCCCCTGTTGAAAGTTGGACCTTTGGATACGTGGTAAACCCATCTAAAGTAATCCTCCAAAAAGAATAGAAAATAATATCCCACTGAAATAGTGATAAAATACTCATAGATAATTATTCCATACTATTCCATCATTTTGTGGTGGCTATTTATAATCGCAAAAAGGCCAACAAAATTGAGGCTACAGTACATCCAGAATATCATTCTATATCCAACAGAATCCCAAAGATCTGCAGAAAAGCCCCACATGCTCAGTAACATGTGATTCTCTGATTGTAGTATTAATGCTAACCCGTGGGCTATCCAATGGAGGGGGTACCAATATTATAGCCAACTATCGCTTTTTAGGGGTAACCCCGATGTTTAATCAATCAGGGTTTAGGGATTGCCATTATACAAATCCCATCCCCCTATATAATAGGGCCGAAAAAAAGAATAGATCCAATGCATTTCACATGATTTCATCTGGATTTTGTGGGGTATTTGATATTATAGGGGGAAGCGATCACTGTATATATACTCAGTCACTGTATGTACCTAGCGTCCCCCAAGCTTTCTACCCATAATGTACCCCTGCCTCACGCTTCGAAGCCCCACATGGCAGGACCGGTAGTGCCAAACATTCCTAGGCGCCAGGTTCAGAAGTTGGCCGGGCCAAAAAAAAATGAGAAGGGAAGCCTCAAAAAAACAAAAAAACAAGGATTAAAAACAAATCCTTTCACCATGGTTTGGGCTTGTCTGAAAATACGGTACCCATGGCGGCCCCAAAATTTCATCGTAAATGATCTTTCCCCCACTAAAATAACAATTTTCAGGCATTCCCCAGTTTCAAACAGACCTATTTGATCATGATTGAGGTGATCGATTCACCCTGGGTGGGATGGTTTTGATCATCTAGCCATGCTATGGCATCCCTACCAAAAAAGTGGAGGTGTGGGTCAAAAAATGTTAGTTGCAAGATCTGAAAGTTAGGAAAGGTCCCAGATCCAAAGTTACATTTTCCCAAGTTGAGTCAAACAATGTAGGTTACAATTTCTGATGTGTGTATTGAAAAACTAGGGGGAGGTCACAAAATGTAACTTACAATAAGGCGTGCCTTTGTTGAAGTTGGCCGTGGCCCTCCCAATTTTCGCTAGGTTACATTTTTTGACCCCCTCCCTTCAAAACATGCAATTAGGAACAATTAGGCGGTATAGGGATGCGATGGCGACCCAAAATAGGTTACACATGGTCCGTCCCAAAATGGGTGTCCCATGATTTTGAGCTTACCCACTACCAGGTCACTATATACCCATTGCCCATCGTGAATACTTAGCATGGCTATGCTTGGCTCGTATGTTTTGAAGACTCATGCAGATCGTTCACTGTCCAGCTTTTCGCTCAATCCTATCTGCAAAATCAGCAAATAAAGCTAGAACCTTGGGCAATCAACGTGGCACATAGAAAATCACAAGATGTCAAAAAGAGGATACCCTCTCGTCATCTCCAGCAATGGGTGAACCATTTACAAAGCGTGGATATTTGCAGTTCAGCCCTTCCCAACTTCTGCGAGGAACCGTTTTGGAAGAGCATACCGGTGATCGCCACCTTGGTCGATTTCCACAGGACTCAATCGATTCTTGCCTGTTGCTTGGCCCGAAAAGAATGCTGCATGGTTTACCAGGATCCAAAAAAGTGATCAGTTTCCATCAGTTTCCAATGAAACCTCCAAACGGTTCAAAATTTTGACCCATCTCCGAAGGGTTTCGTCTCTTCAGCCAGGTGATTCGACCGTTTCTTGAGCCTCGCACCATGGCAAGGCGGCCGTTGGCCAGTTCGGAGTTCAGTTTCCTGGCTATGCGCTGAGTGCCTCGTTGGAAAACCCTAATAGCAGGAAAAAAAGTCCTCCTGTTTCTGGTTGCAAAGCTACCAGCGAAAATCAGGTTTAAACCCAAAAAACTTGGTTGAAAATTAGATAGTTAATCACTGCTGCACAAACACTGCTTGTTGCTGGGAACCCCGCAGGCCACGTGGGGGTAGGGGGAACCATCTGGCTGGGGGGGGTGTGGTGATCCCTGCTCATATATATATATATATATATAGACATTGTGATTGGTTAAGTCATGGTTAAGAAAAAACATAAACTGATAGGAATGCATGGTTTAAAAATGTTGAGGACATCATGTTGCCATGTTTTCCCCCGAAAATTGCCATACCTTGGCGAAAGTTTTACCCCGCGCCAACCAAGCACGCCTCTTGCGTCCCTCCACGTCGCTCATGGGGCCACTGGCGTTGGGCACACCCAGGATGCCGGCATTCCTAGGCGATGGTGGTTTTTGCTGGGCGTGAAACTATAAATTAGCACGGTTTTTAATGTGGTTCTACTATATTCTATTCATGACATGTATAGACTTTTAGATTTGTGATGGAAAATCGGTTTGCACTGATTAAAAACCCATTTGTGTGTCTCAAAAATATTGTTCGTCTGATGCTGTGAATCATTGCGGACGGCTGTAATAATCCGAGTTCTTTCGGTTCATTTTGGGAAGATATATTGTTTGTAGAGGAGGTTCCACAAATGTCCTACATCAAAACAGTTTTATTCATTTTGAGGAATTTGTGGCGGCTTTCCAGAAGCTTACACGCCACAGAGGTTGCTGACGGGCGGAGAAATAGACGGAGACAGACCAATGATGTCCTTTTGGGGAAAAACAAAGAAGTCGGCTTGGGCATTTGGTACGTCATTTAGCATCATTTACGATCATTCACCATCATTTAACATTGACAAATTCAACTTGAAAAAAAACTAAAAATCATCCACTTGCCACAAAAAACCGACCCACTTCCGACCAACTTCACAATATCCGACCAACTTCCGACCAACTTTGACGAAATCCGAGCAACTTTGACGACATCCGACCAACTCCTGACCAACTTTCACCAAATCCGACGAAATCCGACCAACTTCCGACTTCCGACCAACTTTCACCAAATCCGACCAACTTCCGACAAACTTTGACGAAATCCGACCAACTTCCGACCAACTTCACGAAATCCGACCAACTAAATCCGACCAACAACTTCCGACCATTTTTCACCAAATCCAACCTTCCGCCCAACGCTGACGATATCCGACCAACTTCCAACCAACTTTCACCAAATCCGACCAGCTTCCGACCAAATTGGTCGGATTCCCTCAAGTTGGTCGGGTTTCCCACGTTGGTTGGCTTTCCCACGTCTTCTTCTTCTTCTTCTTCTTCTTCTTCTTCTGCTTCTCTCTCCGCTTTCCACCTAGAGTGCACATCAAACTCCCTTCGGGCCACCTCTCTATGGCCGGCGGGCTTGCCGAAGGCAATCAAATATGCGATGGTTTGTCTAAAAACTGGCCCTAAATCCACTGGTTCATCATCATGATCCACCCTGTCAAAATTGCCGCTTTATGTGGGTATGGGTCAAAATTTCGTACCCCAATGGGATGGTTATAGAATACTAACAATAGAGATTCCAATTTGTAGTCCCCTGAATCTCAAATTTTGACCCATACCCATGTGGGTATCCCCGTATTCTCAGACACACCCAGATCAACTTCCAATTTTCACGAGAGATGGTGCATGTTCCCTTTGCTACCAAGCGTCTCGTAGTCACCAGGGTCTCGGGAGTCATCGGCCCTGTCACTGACGGGGGAAGAAAAAGGAGCGGACCAGCAGGTTCAATGGATTGGTTTTAGGGAAAATCTCCTTGAAAAGACGTGTTTTTTCCATGCTTTTTACCTTTGAATGTGCGATTCAAGGGGAATAATTCCTCCAAAAATTCCTTTCAACCAATTCTGGGAAAGGTTGAATCTGAATCCCGAGTTGGCTATGGGTGCAAAAATTTCATGTGGGACCATTGATGAACTAATTAGTCTATGACTTGACCATTCCCATTGGCAGGTCACGTTACCAAAGGGCACGAGACACCATGACATTGTACTTCCAGCAGCATCCACTGTCCATGGTTACGCTTTTCTACAAGATGGTCTAGGTGTTCTACATACTCGACCGACTGTATCTTAAAATATCTTGACAAATACCTTTAGATATTATTCACCAATTCACTTCTACATATATATATATATATGTGTGTATATACTGTAAGAATCTATATACACATCCAAAATTCCACAGCAGTCGCCTTCAAAACCCCCACCTGTAGAGCCCGAAGTCCACCATGCCGCAGAAGATCAGGATCTGGATCCAACCCGTCAAAGGCACCTGCTTTGTCAATGGATGGTACTTGGGGCTGCGGGCCAGGGGGTTATATATATGGGTATGCCGCTCCGGTAATCAAACATAGCGATTGAAAATCACCCATAAAATGGAAGTTTTAATGGGAAAATCATCTATAAACGGGGATGTCCAATTCCCATGTTTGATTACGGAGAGTAGCCAGAATAATAACCTTCATAAGTTAGAATATATGTCCTACAACTATGGAAAAATATGACCGCTTATCATTATCATTGGAACTGCACCCCGAAGTATGGTCCCGTAGAACTGCAATTTTTGATCACATGAAATGTTGGATCACATTTAATCGGTATACGGAAAACAAGATAAGATGATCAGCGTGGATGCAATTCATTTTTCCCTAGATTGCCAGACCTATTTTCACTGCAGGTAAAATAATCTATTCAGCTTTTCGTGCCATTTTTCCTGGAGGGTATCCAAGTCTTGTTTGACGGTTTTAAGTAGCTGGAACGCCTGCAAAGCAACCCAAAATGTGTTGTTTTATTGCTGGTGAAATCACATGTTTTTTGCGAACTTGAATCGAAACACGTAGCAGTGTACAGATTGTCTGAGAATGCTCCAAGCAAGGACTTTGCAGCAATTGGGAACATGAAAAGGTGGTAGACGTTGAAATCATTGTGCCCAAATCTCAATTTTCATTGCTGCTGAAATCCTCAGTCTTGTTACTTTAACGCCCATTTTTCTTGTTTCAACCACGACTTTCTTGCTGCTTAAATCTCACGAAATATCCACAAAGTGGGAACTCTAAACAATTGTTGGGAGCTTCATTCCAAGCCTTTAAACAGATTCACTTTGAAACCAAAATGTCCAACAACTCCCACAAGGTGGTACCCCACTGTCAGGCCATTTATAACCCCCAGTAACGATTTCGATCATCTCCCATCAACCCATTGGAGTTATGGTTACGTTGTTTCCAACTTAAGGGTCACCACTCCCTTCGCACCACCTCATCGGAACTGAAAATCCCTACGAAAATCCCCATTTCCTATCATGCCCCTACGATTTCCCCATGAAAACCCTATGAAAATCTGCAAAAATCACGGCCGTTGGTTTCTCCATGGAAAATTCGGACGCCTTCGAAAAGGCCGCCAGGCCGTTGGGCACATCGCTGAACTTCAGCTCCTTGGCGGGCCTCACGGTGCGGTGTGAGAAAAAGATAGAAAAAGTATGGTTGAGATAGAAAATGATAGAAAATGTATAGATAAATTTAGTAACCTCAAAAATCCAACAAAATGCCGAAAAGTTGCTGGGATATAGGGATATCACCAATTTTTGCATCGTTGTTGAGATCTACCTAACCCTGCTTCATCCTGTTTCATGACCATGTATGAACTTGTTTCTTCACCTTCATCGCCGGAATCGGAACCGATGAATCAGCACAAGTCGTTTCCCAGTTCATGGGACAAGCCCATGAATCGGGGACTTAAGACCTCCAGACCCAATATACCATAAACCTCCCCAATAGAGGTTTATGAAATTGGTTATACCCCTTTCTGACGGGGATGATGTAAAATGTATGACCCCCAGTCATGGTTGGTTTTCATGGGATGGTGACTATGGCAGCCAGGGTGAATCCCCTAGTGTCGCATGATACCCTGAGCTTCAGGCGACAGGTAACCGGGGAAGCGAAAATACTCGGGCGTGATGACTCGGTAGCCGGGCCGCCAGTGGCATTGTGGGAGATTGGTCCATAACGCCAGCGCAAAACATCGTTAAACCATGGAATATGGCATAAAACCGTATATATAAAATATAAAACCCACCATTTTACCATCAGGGGATTTGGTCGTTCATTTGGTCGTTTTGATGACGTGTCAAATCACTGATTTCTGCCATCATTGTTGGTTGTATCAATTGCATCCCCAGGTTTGGGGGGAAGTTCCCTATTCCTGTTGGTTAAGACCATCCATGTTTCATCCACCAAAATCATCCAAAATCAGTTTGTCTGAAATTTAAGGAAAAACCGAAAAACCTAAAATCAAGCAAAATCCATGGTCAAAAAAAACACCGGGATAGGACCACCCAAAGTGCCGATACAACGACTCTCCTCAAACGTAGCTAGCTGGAAAATCCCGCATATATATATATATTTAGTTCCATGATTTTCCATGATTTTTCCAGCTATGAAATTCCATGTGTAGATGATAAAAAAATACATAAATTCCATATTTGCTTGGGGGATTTCCCGCCGCGTCAAGAATTCGGACACCGTTTCGGGTTTCAGCACCGTTCGTCCCAGCGGCATCCTATCGTGGCGAACATCGCCACACGGCCATTCTTCAGCTCAGCCTCGCGACGACGGCGGAAGGTCTTCAGATCACCGTCCTCGCGGAGTCAGGTCGAGTCGGACACGGCCAGGGCGGGAAGAAGCATGACTATACCCCAAAACCAGTGTTCTTTTAATTATATGCAGATTTCTCTGGGTCACAATCATCACATGCACATGGTCGATTGGACACTCCGACTCAAGCCCCCATTAGTATCTCAGGAAAAGAGAGGTTGTAGTGAAAAAAAAACATTCTAGACCTTGAAATTTTGGACCTCTAAGCAAACCATTCCAGACCCTCTTGTACCTGAGGGTATCACAGATGTACGTAGCTATCTACATGCTGAGGAAAAACCAGGAACGGGGACAAGATTAATATCCTTAGTATAGGCCTGAGGACCAAAACGTAGAAAAATAAATCCGACAATGACAGATAGGATCCTTGGTTGCATTGGTACGTGTTTGTGGAACGCGATTGGTTTCACTGAGCATATGGCGCAACAAGAAACTTACAGATGGTAAGTTGGTAAGATATGACGTTAAATCTATTTCAGTCCCGTGGTTATCTGCGGCATATTGTAAAACATGTCACATGCATGAGACGCTTCTAACACATTGTGGGTAAGTAACAAGAAACATCATCAAGTAATCCCATCCCCTGGTTGACAATTATATCTATTCATTGGGGCGGGTCCTGGGGTGTAGAAAAAAAATGGTGGATGGGATGAAGTTCCCAGCACTCATATCATTTGCCACCTTCACTCTGTGACATGCCCTCAGTCGTCTCCTTGGACATGCCCATAGGATCCCAGTAGCCCACTGGGGCCTGCGTGTCTGCTGCGAGACTTCTGACAAAAGAAATGTGCATTTAACCTGATTTATCCAACAGTGGGGATGAAACCATCCAATCAGGGGGGAGTGTCCGTTACACGTATATACATAGATATAGATGTAGATGAGATAGATATAGATAGACAAGACAAGATATTTGTTCAATCCGTATCTATATATATATATATGTATTATGTAGTAAACCAAAAATATACCATCCCCAATGTGACCATGAATGGGTGGTAGAAACAATCCCCAGTTGGGAGGTTTGATGCTGGGTTTATCACACTGTACACATGCATATGCATATGCATATCCATATGTATAGATATATATATATATATGTAGAGAGAGAGAGAGAGTGTATATATATATATGTCACCTGACACATCACAGGATGACTTTGAAGCCCCCCCATGAGTGTCTATGAATGATCTGACCGACTTCTAAGGTCAATCCATGGCCAATCCTGCTGAAAAGTAACTCCCAATAGCTGGTTAGCCAATCAAAATAGCACAAGGATTAGTTGTATATCGACCCCAAAGTCCTGCAAAACTCACAGATTCGTGTTGCATCCTGATATCCCGGATATCCCCGCAATGCAGATGCTTTTTACAAGGGGCCCATGGAGCAGACAGCGAAGCTGACCTGTTGGTGAATTCCCGGGTCTATGGAGCATATAACTATAGTTTAGCTATATAGTTAATGGGGTTTCATATAACTATAGTTATAGCTACATAGTTAATTGGTTTATACAACTATAGTTAATGGGGTTTATAAACCAGCAAACATAACGGGCCCATTTCTGCCCTACCTGCACCCCGAGCTCATTCTCAAAGGCGCGCAAGGGAGAATCGGTGTACTGCGCCCAGTCACCCCAGGCGCTTCCGGTAAGGCCGTCCTGGCGGCAAAGGGCAGCGATAGGCATCCCATGCATGACGGGGATATTACCATCCATGATGGATATGCCTTGTAAGATTCTTCATCCAATTTTGGCCTTAAATGTGTTAGGATCAATCAATCAACCAACCAACCAATCAGTCAATTAATTAATCAATTAATCAATCAATCGTAAAGAGAAAAAATGGAGAAACAACGCCCAAAAACATGGAAACATTCATGCACAATGTCAGGGCTTATTAAGGGCTTATCAACTACCAATCACCACTAAAAAGGGCTTATTCACCATCTATGTAATGGAGTTATGCGATGGTGATAGAGTAAGGATATGATGGGCAATGATGGGGTAATGTTAACTGAGGTTGGGGAACCCCAGCTGTTTATTAATGGGTGGTACCTTTCAATAGCACAGTAATTTATAACAGTCAGAGTTTACTCTATTACATGTATATATATATAATCCAGGGTTAACATTGTCCCCGTAACATCTATGATGGATATCCCTTGTAAGATTCTTCATCCAATCTTGATGGTACATGCATTATAATTTAGTATAATCAATCGTTGAAGGGATGTTGGGACAAATGTAATGGGGGGTGGGATGTTTGTCAGGATTGCATACTGCGAAAATCACCCAGGTCGGCCTATTACTATCCTTCAAGGAAAAAACATACGATAAGATTCAGTAACGCCAAAACAAAAGCATACATTCAGGGAAGCAACAAATCAACAGATGAAACCGCGCCAAATGCTTATGAACAATGGAGGGACAAGTTCTACACTAGCGATGACGCATGCATTTCTTCAACCTCTCATCCAGGAACCTCTCGGATCATAATGAAAATTGCTCAAGGCATCAGCGAACCAAAATTCCAGGGCCAAGAATCATAATTCTTGTGAAAAAATATGCTGATATTACAATTCTCAGCTGTAAATCATCCCCATCTTTGGGGGAAAAAAGTACGGATATCACAACTGTCAGCCTGAAAGAACATGCCGATGATAGCCATCATGGCCTGCACACAGCGCCACCAATTGCAATTCACATCCCAAAGTTCCAACTGTATCAAGCAACCATTTCTGGGAAGTGCGGTCAACCCGTGGGAAATGTCACAAGCGCCAAAATCCCTCAAATGGACAAAGTTTGTCTGTCATCGGATGCTGCACGTTCTGGTCATCAAAAGATTCCTGCCAAACACACACCATGATTCCGCAGGTTTTCCAACCCAAAAAAGATGTTACCTTCGCTGCCTCACGTACCTAGTCAGCATTCCTTAACCAATGAATAGCCATCCACTAGTCACTATTTGTGGGTATGATCCTATAGTCAATTTAAACATGTATCCATTAGTCAATTCAATGACGGAGTCACACATCCAAAAACTGAAGTGACATGACGTCAAGTCACCAGGCGGCCATTGGCCAGCTCCGAGTTCAGCTTGCGGTTGCGGCCCTCTCCGGGCACCATGGTGCTTCCATTAGGAACACCCAGAACACCTGCCACTTCTGATTTCAGTGGAACAGTGGTGGCACCTGCATCGGAACAATGGCATAAAGATTGAAAGTTGATGAACATATGAAAATGATTGACAAAAAAATCATGTTTTAGAGCTAATATAAGATGCGATGAGATGAGGCTGAAACTTCAGCAATCATGAAATCCTCTCTAGTTAGTAAAGGATCATATAATCTTCGAAGGAAACGCTTAGAGCACCTGTAATCCGCCAAGACATCCAGCTCCCAAGCCAGCCGGGCCCGCCTGCGTTCTTGAAGTCCCCCGGGGACCTGGTGGGGTCATAGGTGTACACACCTTTCTCAATGAGTCCCAGGAAGAGGAACCACTGAGTCCATCCAGCAGCTGGCACCTCAGTCCCAAGGCCAGGGAGCTCTGGGTTGACTAATCTCATCAGAATGGGCACACCATGGTGGTTTTAATATTATAGGGCATGAAAAAGATGTAAAAGTATGTAAACAAAGAATATGAATAGGTATCTAATAATACTTACCAAATACCACCAACATGTGGGTCCCCAAAATGAATAGATCCATATTAACCAGAATTTTGAGAACATTATTTAATAGTAAGGGGAGTGTTATTCAGTTTACCACATTACATGGATTGGATATCACTTGATACATCCTAGTTGTCTTTTCTAAAATGAACCTGTTGCAATGGGATCCAGCTGGTTCACAAAAGGGGGTTCTACAAAAAAATGGGGTGGAACCTCTTTGTTAAGCTAGGTCACTTAACAACCCAATTTCCGAATCCAACAATTGGTATTTTGGGCACTGCTCAGGAGGGTTTGGGGTGCATTTCCCATATCTTCCAACACAGGACGAACAGGAAAGTGGGAGGTACCTGGAAATTCACCAATCAACATATTTCCACTGATGTCCACTGTATCCCTATCTCCACGGGGGAATCCCCTCTGGCAATGGAACCAGTAGTTCCGCACAAGGCGGTGGCGGAAGTTTCAAAGATAGGAAACTATAGGAGAGCATGGATGGCAGAGCGAAGCGAGCCCACTGATGGATCGAAAGGTGATTGAGACTCTGAGTCTCTCTCTCTCTCTCTAGCTCTCTCTCTATCTAATTCCAACTCTATGTCACCTTCCCTCTGTGTCTCTCTATCTCTCCCTCTGTCTATCTATCTGTCTATCTCTAGTGTCGTGTAGTGTAGTTGCAGTTGTGTTTGTACTAGTTGTATTGTTGTGTAGTTGTAGTGGCAGTTGTAGTTGCAACTGTTGTAGTTGTAGTTGTTGTAGTTGTTGTAGTTGTTGTAGTTGCTGTAGCTGTAATAGTTGTATATAATAGTTGTATATAATAGTTGTGGTAGCTGCAGTAGCTGTAGTTGTTGTTGTAGTTGTTGTAGCTGTTGTAGCTGTTGTAGCTTTAGTTGTAGTGTAGGTGTCCTGTGGTGTAGTGTAGTGTGATGTGGTGCAGCGTCGTGTAGTTTAGTTGCAGTTACAGTTGCAGTCGTAGTTGACGTGTAGCTGCAGTCTAGTCCAGATCCTCTTGAAACGTCCCACGCCTAATATGAAACGTGTGTGCTGTCAGTACATCTATACAAGCGGCGGTGTCGTAGTGCAGAACACGTACGCGGTGGATCCTTCCGAGTCCTTTCTTTCTGGGTGAATGTCCCTGTCAAAAACCGTCGGTTTAAAAAAATAAAAATAAGCTTGAGGGCCTCAGCACTGGGGGGTTATACAATACAATACAATACATTACAATGCATGAGACTACAATACATGACATTACATTACAGTACATTTCATTACATTGCAAATTGCAATACATTACAAAACATTACATTACATTACATACAAAAAGACAAACATACATTACATACGTTACATACAAAAAACATACATACATTATACATTACATACACTACATACATTACATTACATTCTATCCCATTCCATTGCATTACATTTCAGATGGACGGACGGACAGATATACGTACATACATATGCCATGAAAAATATCAAAAACGAAAATCTCTGCCAAAAAAAAAACAGTCAATCCCCATGTGAACACCATGAAAATATACGAACAAAATCACCATTTTTCATACAGGGCTTAACCCACCAGATCTCCCCAGCCTTGCTGATGGCTGCAAGGCCATTGGGAATGTCTGCGAACTTCACACCCTCCGAGGGGGAGCAAAATCCTGGCGATCCGCAGGTAACATGGTTCTGTAAAGGGTTTTAAACCGCCATGTATGTAGCCGAATATATCGGTACATATATATATAGATATATATATATATAATATTCCCTATGATTCTGGCGCTTGGTCGACTATGAGGTTGCTGCAAATCATTAGGTAAATAATGATATATATCACCAACAAAAGCGGTGATTGATGATATAACTTGGCTGGATATCTGATCAAATAGCAGCACCCACATTGTGAGTAAATGTAATAGATTGTAATAGATAAGTGTCGCAAGTACGTGGTAACCACAATTCAAAGTGGACTGGCAGGATCTATCCTGCTTCTCACCAGGTGTTGTTACCTGCCTATTTAAGTATATACTGTAGAATGATCCCCCATGTCAGAAGATGTAAGAATGATGATTCTACCCAGTGCGGGAGTAGAGGTAAAGCAGCTAAACAACTAATTAAACATGTTCGCCGCGACCCCTAGGTTTGTCCCCGGCCAATCCCGCATATCCTTTGACATGCTCAAATCCTTTGACTTTCCAAAACAGCAAACACCAAAACCCTAAAACCCTAAACCCTAAATCCTGAAAACTTAAAGTCAAAATCACTGCGTATAGCCAGTGTTTCATTCATCCTCTGGTGATAAGTATAACATATTGTTTGAATGTGTTATTTGAGTGTGGCCGAACCGGGGGGTTGCGGGGAACATGTTTGCAGATATCTTGCTATACTGGATGACCCAAGTACACTGACATACCCTGACCCACGAGTCCAAACTCAGTTGACTATTGATTTGATGTAAGAGCATAAAATATTTTGAACATGTGAAGAGATCACACTTTCTGCCATTGCTGATTGTTCGCCGAGGGCAAAAACCTCCTCAAAATGGACTTTCTCTGGTCAGATCTCAACCAAACATCCAGCAATGTGAAAACGGTCAACAAACCCAATGCCGCGGATGCTGCGACGCCACGACGCCTGGAAAGCGAAAGTACTCCGGGACAATGTATCCCATGGTCGCCAGCATGGCAACACGACCTGCGCAGTCAATGTAGCTAGCCAATCAAGCACGTGGATACTTAGCAAAGAAACTGTGCATAAATGATGATAAATCTACCTCTGCAATATTTTAAAAAGAACATGCATGGAGAAGTGAAAAGGTGAAAACATCTCAGGATCGTTACCCAAAGATAAACCGCATTGAAACATGGCAGCAATGTACCCACAACATTGGTCCTTTGTAGCATTCATCCCGAAAAATTGTTGGGGGAGCCATCGCAACAGCTTGAAAATAGTCTGGTGATCATAAGTCTCCGATTCCTGGCGTATCCCATGAAAACATATGGGTTACTGTAGCTCATAATTCCCTAGAAATTCCCAAACCAATTGAGGTAACTGGAATAAGCCAGTGAGTGTAGCACCCATGACCCCAAACTGATTGGATTTATTTTTTTACAGAAACTATTCATAATTTAAGTATACTTTGTATAGCCTTTTCCAGTCACTTTGACCCCAGTTCCATGGATCCAGGACAGTTATCCGATTACATTCCCAATATATATATATATATTCCAAATTCCAGGGATTTCCCAATATATTAGTTAACCAGTACTTTCATCATATTTTCCATTTGCATTTATTTTGCGCATGCTTTAAGGTGATATCTTACGATAACCCATCCCCCCCATGTCGAGACGACGCTGGACGCCCAGGGCCCAGGGACCGTTCTTCAACTCCGTGGCCCGACGACGCTTGAAGGCCTCCATGTCGCCGTCCTGGGGATTCAACAGCCACTAAGCATGGTATACAAACCTATATTATATATATATTTATATATTTATATATTTATATATTTATATTTATATATATATATTTATTTATTCATTTAGTTATTTGTTTATTTTATTTATTTATTTATTTATTTATATATTTATATATATATATATTATACCTATATATATGTGTATATATATATATGTGTGTATATTTGTATATATATATGTGTATGGTATGGTATGGTAATGTAATGCAATGCAATGTACTGTAATGTAAATGTAAGGCACAAAAGGAGAAATAACCATGTGTATGTTTGTATGTATGTCTGTATGTCTCTCTGTATGTATCTATGTATGTATATATCTATGTATGTATATATCTATGTATGTATCTATGTATGTATCTGTCTATCTATCTATCTATCTATCTATGTGTATCTATGTATCTATGTATGTATGTATCTATGTATGTATGTATCTATGTATGTATGTATCTATGTATGTCTGTATGTATGTATGTCTGTATGTATGTATGCATCTATGTCTGTATGTATGTATCTATGTATGTATGTATGTATGTATGTCTGTATGTATGTATGTATGTATGTATGTATGCATCTATGTCTGTATGTATCTATCTATGTATGTATCTATGTATGTATCTATGTATGTATCTGTGTATGTATCTATGTTTGTATCTATGTCTGTATCTATGTCTGTATCTATGTCTGTATCGATGTACGTATCTATGTATGTATCTATGTATGTATCTATGTCTGTATCTGTGTCTGTATCTATGTACGTATCTATGTATGTATCTATGTATGTATCTATGTATGTATGTATCGATGTATGTATGCATCGATGTATGTATGCATCTATGTATGTATCTAGCTATCTAGCTATCTAGCTATCTAGCTATCTAGCTATCTAGCTATCTAGCTATCTATCTATCTATCTATCTATCTATCTATCTACGTATCTACGTATCTACGTATCTACGTATCTATGTATCTATGTATCTATGTATCTATGTATCTATGTATGTATGTATGTCTGTACGTATGTATCTATCTATCTATCTATCTATGTATGTATGTATGTATCTATGTATCTATGTATCTATGTATCTATGTATGCATGCATGCATGCATGCATGCATGTGTTATATATGTATATATTCATACAATTGATGTACATGTATCATTATATAATGTTATTTATTTAATACGTACTGGATGCTGGTGGATGGTGCTGAACTTCTGTGTGTTTCACAAGAAGGAATAGTTAAAAGAACTATCTTGCCAACGTTTTAGGAAGTTGAAGATAGTCAGGTCTGGGTTGCTAAAGCAAGATACCCAGGAAATCCGTGCAGGTAGGTAGTCACAGGATGTCAGTGTAATGATGACCAAAGAAAGTAGGCATCAAGTCCAATGCTACTTAACAAAAGGATACTACGCTCTGGCAATGAAACATGGCAAAGTTCACCATTTCTAGATTCCCATTTAAAATCATTTATATAATTAAACTATAAATTATATATAATATATATAATATTTAAGTGCCCTTTTATATCTTTTATGCGGTATTCCCACCTAGTCATGTTTGATTACTGGAGCCTCATCAAATCATGGGCATGGTGATTTCCCAGCCCAAGTGTTCAAGCTGTTTGGACCCACCAAATCGGGAAGACCACCTTGGTCATGCCAAAGGGGTCGAAGAACCCAATGGGTGCCTGGCGCTAAGGAAATCAATCCAAAGGGGAGATCTCAAGTGACAATGGGAAATCGTTAGTTTCAATAGATTGATCATGTTGAATCATCGAATATGTTCAAACAAGTCCATCAATTTCATCATGTTAGAGTGAGAGTACAAGACTCATTTGAAACCCTAAAAATAAAACGATTGTCAGGATCCGGAACACTCTTGCATAAACTGAACCAGACAGAACGGCCTGAACACCCAACTCATTCTCGAAGGCACGCAAAGGAGATGCGGTGTAGTTGGCCCAGTCACCCCAGGCGCTTCCAGTCAAGCCGTCCTGTGATGTGATTGACTCTTGACAAGTTGCAAACACCGGTGGCATGCAGTGCTTCTAATGGAAAAGGCCAAGCTACTTAGTTCGCACGAGTTCACGCGATAGGTCACATCCATCAACAGTCCAAATCAAAATTAAAAGCAAACTAGTTGGGTGGGGTATGGTATGCCTCCGATATTATAGCCATTTCCTTGCCTCACAAGTGTCAAACATCACTGCCAATCCGAAGTAACTCTTTGAAACAGCAAAGCAAACAAGTTTGATGGCCTGAAAGAACATACCGATGATGGCCATCATCGCCAGTCTTCCGTTAGCAAGTTCGGCAGAGAGCTTCTTGGTCTTCTCAGCAGGGTCGGAAGAAGTCAACACCTTGAATCCAAAGTCGCCTGCAGCAGCAGGAGTTCCAGCAGACTGGTCCTGGGAAACCTCGCAGAAGGCCATGTATGCCAGGATTTGGCCCCATCCTCCAAGGTTTCAATATTGGGCCTCTACATAAAGTCACATAGATCATCAAAACAACATGTTATAAAATGTTATATACGTATGTTTAGGGATACTGAGTTGCATATAATTCTATCATATAATTACGTCTATACTGTATCCACAAACATATCCACCAAGTTTAATCGATTATATATGATTATATATTTGGTTTCGATTTTCAGAGCCAGTTTGAAACCCTGTCCTGCGGCTGGGACCTTTGAGATGGCAGCCAAACCGTTAGGCACATCGGCGAACTTCAAACCGGCGGATGGAGATAAGTAGCCTGGAAATTTCCCTGTGATCTCCGGTGTAATATATCCCATCGTAGCCAACATTGAGATTCTTCCATGCTTAAGTTCTGTCTGGCGACGTCGCTTGAAGTTCTCCACGCTTCCGTCGGCCGTAAAACCGGCTGGATCCCAGAAACCAACAGGCGCCTGAACACCCAACTCGTTCTCGAATGCAAGCCATGCTGATCCCTGCTTGATGGCAAAGTCTCCGAATGCACTTCCGGTCAAACCATCCTGCACGTTCAAAAGAGGCCGACAAGCAAAGCAACATTCCTGTGATCCCTTGTGTGTCTTCAAGGCACTGCGCTTAGAAGATGCTTATGTTTGTAGTATTCTATAATTAGAGTCAGAGGTAAAGTGTAAAATTCATGCACTATCTGATTTCACATCAAACTGAAACAAGTTGTTTCCACTTGATATTTGCAACATTTTGATACATTTTGCAACCCTCTATAGCAGGCTCTGTCGAACCCACTTCCTGGAAGAACATGCCCATGATAGCCACCATGGCCAAACGGCCGTTGGCAAGCTCCGATGCGAGCTTGCGCTCCTTGACCACTGGGTCATCGGATGTGATCAGTTTCCATCCGAAGTCACCCACTGCACCAGGAGTTCCAGGAGCCTGGCTCTTGGACGTTTCGCAGAATGCCATCCATCCCAAGATCTGAGCCCATCCTTCCACAGGGACTTTGGAAATAGCCGCCAAACCATTTGGGACGTCTTCGAACTTAAGGCCAGCCGAAGGAGAAAGGAATCCCGGCCATTTGCCGGTGATTTCTGGTGTCATGTAACCCATGGTAGCAAGCATCGCAATGCGACCATGCTTGATTTCAGTCTGACGACGGCGCTTGTAGGCATCAACATCACCGTCAGCTGTGAATCCAACTGGATCCCAAAATCCGAAGGGAGGCTGGGCACCCATCTCGTTCTCGAAGGCACGCAAAGGAGATGCGGTGTAGTTGGCCCAGTCACCCCAGGCGCTTCCAGTCAAGCCGTCCTGTGATGTGATTGACTCTTGACAAGTTGCAAACACCGGTGGCATGCAGTGCTTCTAATGGAAAAGGCCAAGCTACTTAGTTCGCACGAGTTCACGCGATAGGTCACATCCATCAACAGTCCAAATCAAAATTAAAAGCAAACTAGTTGGGTGGGGTATGGTATGCCTCCGATATTATAGCCATTTCCTTGCCTCACAAGTGTCAAACATCACTGCCAATCCAAAGTAACTCTTTGAAACAGCAAAGCAAACAAGTTTGATGGCCTGAAAGAACATACCAATGATGGCCATCATCGCCAGTCTTCCGTTAGCAAGTTCGGCAGAGAGCTTCTTGGTCTTCTCAGCAGGGTCGGAAGAAGTCAACACCTTGAATCCAAAGTCGCCTGCAGCAGCAGGAGTTCCAGCAGACTGGTCCTGGGAAACCTCGCAGAAGGCCATGTATGCCAGGATTTGGCCCCATCCTCCAAGGTTTCAATATTGGGCCTCTAAATAAAGTCACATAGATCATCAAAACAACATGTTATAAAATGTTATATACGTATGTTTAGGGATACTGAGTTGCATATAATTCTATCATATAATTACGTCTATACTGTATCCACAAACATATCCACCAAGTTTAATCGATTATATATGATTATATATTCGGTTTCGATTTTCAGAGCCAGTTTGAAACCCTGTCCTGCGGCTGGGACCTTTGAGATGGCAGCCAAACCGTTAGGCACATCGGCGAACTTCAAACCGGCGGATGGAGATAAGTAGCCTGGAAATTTCCCTGTGATCTCCGGTGTAATATATCCCATCGTAGCCAACATTGAGATTCTTCCATGCTTAAGTTCTGTCTGGCGACGTCGCTTGAAGTTCTCCACACTTCCGTCGGCCGTAAAACCGGCTGGATCCCAGAAACCAACAGGCGCCTGAACACCCAACTCGTTCTCGAATGCAAGCCATGCTGATCCCTGCTTGATGGCAAAGTCTCCGAATGCACTTCCGGTCAAACCATCCTGCCGTTCAAGAGAGACCGACAAGCAAAGCAACATTCCTGTGATCCCTTGTGTGTCTTCAAGGCACTGCGCTTAGAAGATGCTTATGTTTGTAGTATTCTATAATTAGAGTCAGAGGTAAAGTGTAAAATTCATGCACTATCTGATTTCACATCAAACTGAAACAAGTTGTTTCCACTTGATATTTGCAACATGTTGATACATTTTGCAACCCTCCATAGCAGGCTCTGTCGAACCCACTTCCTGGAAGAACATGCCCATGATAGCCACCATGGCCAAACGGCCGTTGGCAAGCTCCGATGCGAGCTTGCGCTCCTTGACCACTGGGTCATCGGATGTGATCAGTTTCCATCCGAAGTCACCCACTGCACCAGGAGTTCCGGGAGCCTGGCTCTTGGATGTTTCGCAGAATGCCATCCATCCCAAGATCTGAGCCCATCCTTCCACAGGGACTTTGGAAATAGCCGCCAAACCATTTGGGACGTCTTCGAACTTAAGGCCAGCCGAAGGAGAAAGGAATCCCGGCCATTTGCCGGTGATTTCTGGTGTCATGTAACCCATGGTAGCAAGCATCGCAATGCGACCATGCTTGATTTCAGTCTGACGACGGCGCTTGTAGGCATCAACATCACCGTCAGCTGTGAATCCAACTGGATCCCAAAATCCGAAGGGAGGCTGGGCACCCATCTCGTTCTCGAAGGCACGCAAAGGAGATGCGGTGTAGTTGGCCCAGTCACCCCAGGCGCTTCCAGTCAAGCCATCCTTCGACAAAGCTGCACCACAAAGAGCCAGAGGCTTAAAGTTGCTGTGCATGTGTAGGATGTACGACATGCTCTTCAATACATCTGGTATCTAGGAATAATATATGTATTATATAAATAATGATAGATTATGAAAGATGATGATAGATGTATATAGATGATATAGATGTAAATATAGTTCGACGCATTTAACTTGACTTCGGCACTTCTGCAAATCTCCTGAAAGAACATGCCGATGATCGCCATCATGGCCAGTCTGCCGTTGGCCAGCTCGGCCGACAGCTTCTTGGTTTCCTCCTCGGGATCAGAAGAAGTCAAGACCTTGAACCCATAGTCACCAGGAGTGCCGCTCTTGTAGTCATCGAAGCCACCGCTGAACTCGACAAAGCCAAAGTACGCAGCGATCTGAGCCCATCCTGCCACTGGCACCTTCGAGATTGCCGCAAGCCCATTAGGGATGTCAGCGAACTTGAGGCCAGCAGATGGAGAAAGGAATCCAGGCCTTGGTGGTTCAAGAAGTCTTCAAACAAGTTGACGAAGAATGTTTTGACTCAATGATTGTCGAAAAGTATGTTGCAGATCCTTTCTTGTATCTGAAATTCTAAGTTTCGAACAGCATCATTGATCATAATGAAATTTTCTTGATGAATCTATGTAAATGAATTTGTTGTTGTTACTGATGTTGAGAATGATGGTGATGGTGATGACGATGACGATGACGATGACGAGGAGGAGGAGCAGGAGGAGGAGGAGGATGATGATGATGATGATGATGCTGATGATGGTGATGACGATGACGATGACAATGACGAGGAGGAGGAGGATGAGGAGGATGATGATGATGATGATGATGATGCTGATGGTGATGGTGATGGTGATGACGATGACGATGACAATGACAATGACGAGGAGGAGGAGGAGGATGGTGATGATGATGATGATGATGATGTTAAAGTATTGACACATGACTGTTGTTTAAACATGTTGAAACTAACTGCACGATTCTCAATCTGACTTTCAACAAACAACATCTGTATGATCGAAATCGTTTCCTGTTGCCACAGGCGTAAGTTCCGAACAGTTTGCCAGTGACCTCTGGAGTGATGTATCCTTGGAATAAAAAACTGCAGCAACTGACAACTGACTCGAACAACAACAAATTGACATTGATGATATGAAATTGACGCCCAAAATGGCACAAACACAGTGATCAAACAGTTCAAACATATCAAACATCTAATGAAATCTCACTGCGAGAAACCCATGGTGGCCATCATGGAGATGCGTCCGTGTTTCAATTCCACGGATCGGCGGCGCTTGAAGACAGCCACATCACCGTCCGAAGTGAACCCAACGGGGTCCCAGAAGCCGACCGGCGCCTGAACGCCCAACTCGTTCTCGAAAGCAGTCAAAGTCACCTGCAATGTCTGGTCAAAAGTCGAGTGGTTAACTCAGTTAACTCAGGTCTGGTCAAACATGGCTCACGACGGTGAGAAAGTCCGTTTCAGTTTTTGTTGCCTTGCGATCTGTTGGTCAGAGGGGGGCAATGACATTCCTTTCCTTTGTGTTTTTTGTACCGTGTCGGTAAGCATGTACATACGAAATGAAATGGAATGAAATGTCATGCGATGTAATGTAATGCAACGTGTCATACCATATCTGTAGTGTAATGTCATATGATCTAATGTAGTGTAGTGTAATGTGCGTCTATATTTATTGATCGATAGATCGATCGATCAATGTATCTATCCATCTTATCGATCTATCAACCTGTCTATCTTATCTATGTTCTCTATCTTAACTATCTTATATATCTTATCTAGCTGATCTATCTTGTCTATCGTATCTAATCTTGTCGTATCTCATCTGATCCTATCCTATCCATCGCTCTGTTTATGTATCTATCTAAATGGTAAGCGGCTCACAGAACGCCCCCTGTTTTTCCAACCGTGGCGAGTTCATTTTGCGTCTGTTTTCTCAAGGATTTGTGTCTGGCTCCTCTTTTGACTCTGTTGAATCCTGCGACAAACTACTTCTTTTTTTCAATTTCTTTGTCTCAGACTATCAAGTCTTTGTTTCACATGCGTTTCAGGACTTGAAGAAGTGAAGAGCGTCGCATCAAGAGCGTGTTGGAAGGTACTTGAAGAAGTCAAGAGCGTAGCATCAAGAGTGTGTTGGAAGGTACTTGAAGAAATGAAGAGCGTAGCATCAAGAGCCTGTTGGAAGGTACTTGAAGAAGTGAAGAGCGTCGCATCAAGAGCGTGTTGGAAGGTACTTGAAGAAGTCAAGAGCGTCGCATCAAGAGCGTGTTGGAAGGTACTTGAAGAAGTCAAGAGCGTAGCATCAAGAGCGTGTTGGAAGGTACTTGAAGAAGTGAAGAGCGTAGCAGCAAGAGCGTGTTTGAAGGTACTTGAAGAAGTGAAGAGCGTAGCATCAAGAGCATGTTGGAAGGTACTTGAAGAAATGAAGAGCGTAGCAGCAAGAGCGTGTTTGAAGGTACTTGAAGAAGTCAAGAGCGTAGCATCAAGAGCGTGTTGGAAGGTACTTGAAGAAGTGAAGAGCGTAGCAGCAAGAGCGTGTTTGAAGCAGTGTGAACAATACGTTATTACCCACCCCACCCCACCCCACCTCACAGGCACGAAAACACACGAAAGCTGGCGGCGTTCTACAAGCCGCCAGCCATCTACATACCTTCAGTAGGTGCCTCCCGGTCTCAGTGTCTCTCTGTCTGTCCGTCTGTCGGTCTATCTGTCTATCTATCTTCTATCTAATCTAGTCTAATCTAATGATTTATCTAGTTTATCTTGTTTATCTCATATATATATATAGTATCGTTCGAGTCTATCCTGTCAATCCCGTCAGCCGTACTATCCTATATACCTTATCTATCTACCATATCTATCGTAGTTATATCATCTATATCATCTATCTTATCTATAGTTACTATCGTATCTATCGTATCTGTCTATCCATCTATTCATCTATTCATCCATCCACGCATTCGTCTGCCCTGCCATCCATCGATCTATTTATCCATCGATTCTTCATCTGTCTAACTATCTGTCTACCTATCTATCTCCCTGTCTGTCTTTCTATTTATGCACGTATCTATGCATCAATGCGTCTATGCATCATTTTTTATATTCATGTACCTCTGTATGTTTATTATATCTTTCCTGTAGACATATGTATGTATTATGTATGTATCTGTATATGTGTGTGTATATATATTATACATATATGTACATGTGTGCCTGTTATTTTGCTTGATGATTTACATATTACTAATTACATATATAAACAGTATATGGTATATGTGTGTATGTGTGCGTACATATGTGTTTGTATATTTTACATGTATACGGCTATGTATATTAATTCCTGTATTTGCTTGCTTTCTAAATGGCATGTTGGCACGGTTGTCCGTTTGTATTCATCATGATGTGCTCCTGTGAGGAATAAGCTTAAGGCATGGATGAAACGTGATATACCATGGTTTATAGCTTTAAAACCCATATTGTACCCATCATAAGGTTTGATAAGACAGACTTCGGATTTCAGTTTCCATCTAAAACAACATCGTTGAAACAGGCCCGTGCAGTGCCAATGGGGACCAAAGGCCGTGTCCCACCTTCCAGTGATACCACTCCAGCAGAGCTGAAAGCGTGACATTCCAATTTTTACAGCTGATCAAGGCTATTCCTTCGTTTGTTTGATAAAATTTACAGCTTCAACCAATCAAGCCAAGGTTTTCCCGGTGTTTATCCGTTTTTTAGTGTTCCACTATTTCCTATATCTGGTTGAAGCCTTGATGTTTGTAGGTAAAATCGGTAAAAATCCCATGGCTTCCAACCCCAAGCGACGCGGCACCTGATGCTTGGACGCAGTCACTGCCTTCCGGGCTTTGTGAAAAAGAATGGGGTATACAATGCCATCAATAATTGAATCATATGGTATGCAAAATGTATATATAATGTATATATAGTCCACTATTATATATATATAATCATCAATGAGCTTCGCCGCGACAATTTGTCACAAAAGGCCGTAGCAAAAAAAAAATATAATCAATAACTGGTATACGTCAATACCATCAATCCAAATGAACAAACATCGATACCATTCAATACCATGAATAATTGAATATATGATTGGCACATTCCAATCGTCAATATGATATATGTCATCTCAATCATTACAACCTAGAATCAGCATCTAATCACCAATAGTTGGGATTTATGGAGGTTGATACAGTGAAACAATTGGCTAGATACCCAAAAGCATGGCGATCTTTACAAGAAATAAGGATCAGTGGATTTTGGGGTATCGTACATCTGGAAAAAGCCAGAATGACTCAGTCTGGTGAGAACAGCCAAGAAACCTTTCGAACAAAACTCAGTAAAGAAACGCATCAACTTTGGAGGTCCCCACTGGCAACTGAATCTCTGTAATCCAAAATCTAAATGTCACATGTCTTTCCACAATGTTCACAGGTTTAATGCTTCCAATCCCCCGTACTGTATCTGCCATGTTGTTGGTCATGCACAAACAAAATTGCTTGCAGTACTCTAATGATTCATGGGTTATACCCCCATTTGTTTTAGTATCCATGCTGAATTTTTGCCCCTACAAAACCACACTTCCTGCTGTTTTTTGATCAACTCGCGACTCTTTTTTAGGTGATGTCGCGTTCCGTCGCATCCCTTGAAAACAGATTTGCGTTCCTTGTACATACCCCAGTGTCTGGACATATTCCCGTGTTGATTTCCAAAAAAAATGCCCTTGATCCATATCCAATTTTTGACAGCTACATCATCATTCTTGTCTAGATGATATCAGCAACCTGGTTCGAGTTCTCTCCTCATCTTTTTCTAGGTCATAGACACGTTTGTTTGCTGCGTGTGTCCCCTTCTTTGGCTAGTTGCACTCACATCACAACATCCCTCACCATTTCTCATCTGTAGAGCATCACCCACTAAGTGTTGCTACTCGAATCCCACTTTATGTTGGTGGAATCATAATTTTTTGTGTATGAAATCCCTGTGTGCTTGTGTGTTTGCTGTTTTTTTTTATAATGGTTACATTCACCATTTTTCATCCGTTTTCATCCAACACTTTTGCTGCTAAAAAACTGGTTAATCCCCAGGTTTCTGGAGAAATCCGTAGAAAAACCCCACCTTGCGCCCCTGCGCCGCCATCACGCATGCCGCCGCGGTGGCGGTGAGTTGAAAGCCGGTCTTGGAAGTACTGGGAGCCTTCAGCGAAAGGATCAACGCATCGGAATTGATATTTTTGATGTTTTTTTTCTGGGGAAAAACATGGAATTCCCCAAGAAAAATGTGGATTCAACCTCAAAAGCTAGAAAAACGGCGATTCGACCTGAAAAACATGTGATTTAAACCTGTGAAATGTCTAAAAGAATTGGGATTCGGCCGCACAAGCCTATGAGAACTGGGATTTGATCTGCAAGATGAGTTGAATTGCAATAAATGGAAAACGAATGGATTTTACCGACAAAACAATTATCTAACCCAAGAAGTCTATCTAGCTGACAGGGATGTAGTCAACAATAGCATGTGGACTTGATCGGCAAAAAGTGGATTCACCAAAAAAAAATCCAGGAGTGGTTGGCACACCAACACATGGGTTGAAATGGACAAAAAAACAAACGAATTGGGTTCAACACAACATGGGCACACCAATCAACATTCTCTTAAAAACCAGGACTTTGGCAACCAGTCACTGTTCCTTGGAACTGTTGGAACTGGGCCTTATGGACTCAGCCCTTCAACATGGGCATCCCCAGTTGAGTTTCCCATCTGGCTTCGTTTGGGGATGGATCAATGTGGTACCAAGGGAGCCACAAAACTGGTGACCTTCACGGCAGGAAACCGGGTTTCGCCAAAATGGGCACACTTTATCGCCACAAAAATGGCATAATGGTCCCTGCCAAAGTGGCGATAAAAAAGTGGGGTAAATTCTCATTTTTGGACATACCCAGATCACAGTCTAGGTTTCTTATATATATATACATACATATATTGTATTTCCCATTATGGCCCAAACAAATGGATGGTTTAATCTTCAATGTTGTAGAAAGGGCAAATCTCAATCTATCCCATAAGGTTCTGTTTATATGTGTGAGTTAGGGAACATGTGTTGTTAAATTAAAGGAAACAACACGGAAACAACACATGTAAATATGCACATAATACATATATTTACATATGTCCACATATACACGTATCCCATTAGTCCCATTATCTACAATCATGATAAATATACGTATATATATATACATATAATGTCATTATATATCATTTTACATAATTTTACATCATTATATATAATTATATATAATTATATATCATTATATATCATTATATATCATTATATATCATTATATATCATTTTACGTCATTATATATCATTATAGATCATTATACATCATTTCAAATCATTATAGATCATTATAGATCATTATACATCATTATAGATCATTATAGATCATTATATAGATCATTATAGATCATTATACATTATTATAGATCGTTATAGAACATTATAGATCAGTATAAATCATCATATATCATTATATATCATTATACATCAGTATAGATCATTATATATCATTAATCGTCATTATAGATCATTATACATCATTATACATCATTATAGATCATTATATATCATTATACATCATGATAGATCATTATAGATCATCATAGATCATTATAGATCATCATAGATCATTATATATCATTATAGATCATTATAGATCATTATATAGCATTATAGATCATGATACATCATTATATATCATTATAGATCATCATAGATCATTATAGATTATTATAGATCATTATAGATCATTATAGATCATTATAGATCATTTTATAGCATTATAGATCATGATACATCATTATATATCATTATAGATCATTATATATCATTATAGATCATTATAGATCATTATAGATCATTATAGGTCATTATATATCATTATAGATCGTTATAGATCATTATAGATCATGATAGATCATTATATATCATTATACATTATTATAGATCATTATAGATCATTATAGATCATTATAGATCATTTTATATATATATATCATTATATATATATATCATTATATATCATCATAAATGTAAAGAAATATATATATATATATCATTATATATCATCATAAATGTAAAGAAATATATATATATATACTTATTCCGCTTTATATCAACAGAAACATCTACGATACAGGCAGACCCCATTGGCTCGAGGCCTCCGCAGCTGCTCGGTTGGATGAACGCACTGTGGCCTTAGGGGCCAGGTTTCATCAGTTTAACCCTCAACAAACAAGGAATTCAATAAGGGTTTAATTGATCTTCTTGGGATTCTGGAGTTTTCATGGAAATCAATGGGATTTCAATGGATTTCAATTGGTTTCAATGGGTTCTAATAGATTTTAATGTGTTTCAATAGATATTAATGGGAATATGATCAGATAATCAAAAGTGCTGCCCTGGAAATCCCCGATCTAAATGGGGAATTGTCGATTGCAGTGTTAGATTACCGGACATTTTTCCACGAATTACCAGAGGGTACAGATTCATCAGATGGAGTTGAGGGCAACTGCGTGCCCAGCCATGGAGTTGGTGCCCTCCATGGATCAAAAAACGCTATAGCCGCTATGGCCTCCGGGTGCCCAACGTTTTCCGTCCAGAATAAGTTTGGCAGCTCAGGTTGACGGAACAACCTCTCTAGAAACCAATGCCAACAAAACCAACAAAACCAACCAATCAGTGCCTTCTCTCATTCGTTGTAGTTCGCTAGGCAAGAATATGTCTGATTCTCAGGTGTATGTATCTGTGTTTATCTTGTTTCATGGGAATATGCTCATAAATCCCAATTTAAAATGATACGGGATATCATTGTCTGTATCTCCATACATACATACGAATAAAATATGTATTTTCAGATAGATCCAAATGTACATATCTATAATTTATGTAGATATATTTTTACATGTGTAATTACATGTGTATATAGTATATAGTTAGCGTATATACTTGATACAATCATTAACCACCATATTGAGACATGTTTGCAGGATTGTTAAACCCTATCAAACCCATATATCATACCGTACCCTCCCCTCGTTCTGCTTCACCGGGTCACGCGCAGATTGCCGCTGGATCCGGCAGATGTGACGAAGGTGGCAGTGCCAAAGAGGGCTGCTGCGCCTGGTGTAAAATCTGGAATCTAACTATGGAAGAGTGGGATTGAATCACAAAAAAAATGTGTTTTGATAAATGGATTTTGAAAAAATGTATTTAAACAATAGGAATTGTATATGATCAATGATCATGGAAAACTTGTATCTAAACTCTAAGCATCAAGCAGTTTGAATTTAACAATTTAACCATGAAAAGTTGGTGTTTAACGACCAAAGATTTGGGGGTTGCGTTATGGGAGATTGGACTACTGGAAAGTTGCTCTTTGCATTGAACTATCACACTTGGAGGGTGTGTGATTTGAATCCATCCAGACCATGGCTACGTTACTTTCGATTGGTCAATGTTGGGACACCATAATCCCTTCCCTCTAAATTCAATCCCAGCCTAAAATTCTTAGCTTAGATAATGGATATGTTCATTTTGGGGTCGCATATTGTGGATATTCAATAGGGTGATGGGATCGGCTGTGTCCAAGTGTCAACTGGGGTTTCTCAGTTGTGGCTCCCCGCGATTGGTTTCCTTCTCGCAATCCGCTGTTTTGATTCATGAGGTCTTCAATTTTGGAACGAATACATCTTCTTGAAATTGATTGCGATCTTTTCAGGTCAATGTCTTGACAGTGGGAGTAGCACAGTCGAAGCTTTTAACACTGTGCATGTCTCCATTTTTAGGCATCCCCCAAGAATGGAAACACCTGTGAATTGCGACCAGTCTCAAAACAACCACACTCAGACCTGAAGGATCCTGCGCCACTTCCAATTGTGAACCTATGTCAGTAACATGTTCTATGATGAAACAACCACCTGAACTACGGAAAACACGATATGGCATCCCCAGTCAGCAAGAGGTTAAAATTCTCATTTCAAACATGTTTTTGCTGATTTGGAATCTGATTTTTTTCCCCTGAGGAAATATCAATATGGTTTCCAACAACTCCCACCTGCAGCTGCTGCCATGGTCTGCTTCTTAGAGGCCATTACCTTGGTGACAAAAAAACGATTCATCTGGAAAATTGAAGATTGTGTGTTTGAACTAACCATACGCTTTTTGAATTTCTGAGGGCATTCTATCTTTTGAGGAATACTCACGCTCCTTCATCTCAACATGCTCTGCTGTTGGTTTTTGGATTCACCAACCCATTGTACCTTTTGATAATTTGAGATAGATGTGGAGAATCGCCCACATATAGATGATTTACCTGTTCAAAGTGGTTATTTTCCATCGTTGTGTGAAATTACCAAATGCTACCCCAAATCAAATGAAATTGCATCTTGGATCATCTTGGTATATAGTCTGAGGTTTTGTACAACAAACCCATCTGAATTTGCAAAGGGTAAATGTCAATTGTGCACTGCCCGAAAAAAAATCCAATGACCATTTCGGGGATCTTATAGGTCTTACATAACGAGATCAGGGGCCCATATAAATATATTCTGAAATTTGGCCGAGGCGCTGGAAATTTTAAGGAAGGCTACAAAAAATCTCTTGGCCAAAAATGGAGCACTTATTTTGCTCTCACAGCCAAGGCAACGGGGCGATGCGGCTATCGCTGGAGCCAAAGGGTTCCAGAAACATGTTTATAATTGCCAAAAGAAGAAGGGAAACACCAACGATTGTGATTTTTGACCTGAAAATCGGGGACAAACATGTTTTCGAAATTCACGCAATAAAATCGAATACACTTAAATGGTTGAGTGCGCCACCTACTAGATGGAGTTTGATGGCAAGTCAAAGCCCATTGTGTTTTTTCAATCGTTGGACAGTTCAACGCATTGAAAAATGTTTGTTTTAGTCAATAACAATTGTTTCGGGAACACCGCTAAATTCACCAAAACAATGCAACCAGCACAACACAAAAAGTTGATTGTTTTACGAAACTTTTGAACAAAAATCAAGTTGGACGAACCACGATGAGTTGTTACAAAATGGCAGGTCCATGGAACACACGTACGTCTAATGAATAACCCTCAGGAACAATGTGGTTTCACAAGTTCACAGTTTGGTTTCCGTTTATTCACGTGCCAATATGTTAAGTGATACCGAACCTGCGACAAATTTAAGAAACGACATGGCGGCTGTTGCGTGCATTTTCCCTTTTTGGGCATGGCGCGGAAAAGGTCAGAAGTAAGGCTACAACAAATAGAATAACCAGCGGGTCCAGAATACTGTGTGAGCCAAATGTAACCAAAGAAAACATTTTTCAAAAAAAACGGTTTTTAAACCCTGCCCTGACCAAATCCGGGGTAAACACCATCACATGCACAAAAAGGGGGTAAGTTCAACAAATCGGTGGAACATAGGGCATGGTGGAGAGAAAAAATCTCAATCGGACCAAGGAGAAAATTCTGGATTCTAACTATGAACACTAACACAAATGTACAAGTACATGACGGGTTCACAGTTTGAATATTCTCAATGCGATGCAATGGTACCGGCGCGGTCTCTTCCCACTTGCTCCCCTGTGTCACGCATGTGAATGTCCATGAAAAATCGATGCAATCTCACATGAACGCCCAGAGTTTCCAGCTCCGTTTGTCTCGGTGAATGTTTTGGTGTTCGGGCCATGCATGGGAGTGAGCATGAACACAAATGTTTCAGACTCATCCTCAGGGCTGTGGAGTCTGGGTTCACTGCATTGTTTCCACCACCACTGCACATGCAACAACGTCCAGCACTGAAACACTAGGTGGCATTACGTTCATTGGGAGTAGCTGAGTAGCCGCCCTTCCATTGCATGGAAAGAAAAATACATGTTAAAGGGGAGTTGCCACTATTCCCCTGGAGTGGTCCAATCGTTGTGGACACTGTTCGCAAAAGACCTTCACTGATATACAATCCAGAGGAGTATGTTTGCGTATTGGGGTGGCACTCTCATGTCCTCCAGCCATCAAGTTCAGAAACAAGCAGATTTTCTCTTGTCTTGGCACAGGCTGACACATGTTGATGACATCCACAGTTTGATCAAAGCATTTTGAAAATCAACGCCATCCATCTATGCCTCACCGCGAATGCTGTCGTGCAACTCGTTTTTGCAAAGAGACAGCTGGAGCACACTCGCCTTTTTAGTTTTGAACCGCAGGGCCTCAATGTTAAGCATCATTGTTTTATTGCAACACGTTCACTCCTCACACCTGCACACTACGCACAAACAAACCTCGCTATAAAAACGGGGTAAATATATATGTATATATAACAAACTTAATCGTATATATACATATATACGCAAAACGCCAAAAACAACTCTCCAAATAAAAAGGAACTTCACAACATGTCTGGACAAGTTCAAAACGTGGCTGACCACAACGGAGATCTTTTTCCAAGCGGGGAATTCTATCGCTTTCGATATGGCATAGGTCTTGCCCCACGCCGGTGGGGGTGCGGAGGGGGGGTCAAACCATCGCGCGTGGGGCAGGACGGTCCCACCCACCCACCCTTAAAACAAAATGGCCACCATTGTGGCCTCTTGTTGTGCAACCTCAGTGTCTCCTGGGTCAATCCAACCTGTGAAATTGAATCACCCGGGGCAACCTCATCGCCCACAGTAGTCTGGCTGGTGCTGTCCTCGTGGCGTCAGAGTCACACGCCCATGAGTAAGGCTCACCCTTCTCTCCATCTCAGGACACTGAGAGATAATGTGGCCTTTCTGTCCACAATGACCACACTTCAGACCTCTCGGATTCTTCCAGCTGAATCCACTGAAGGACCTTACAAAGGCGGGTCCTTTGTCTTCCTCAGCTTTCGGGTTTCTTGTATCGATCTGCAACTCCTCTCTCTTGTTTGACTGAGGGTTGTACATCCTTCGGACGACCCTTCTCTGACCTGGCAATCTCGACCCTGTCACAACCTCAGACGTAGGTGTTGGCCTCGATTCCTCTTCTCTCCTCTGTGCAGCGAAGTACTCGAGTGCCTCCTTCTGCCTGTTCTTCCAAGCCTGACGCTTGGCCTTACGACGACCAGCCTCGCGTCGTCTCTTCAGCAAACCAGTGGTCTGCCTCGAGCAGGCATGGCTTTCTTCTTGGGTCTCGGCGGCTGAGCTTTCTTTGGAGTGACCTCCACGACGTCCTCAGCTTCGACAACTGCAGCCTCTGCTGCACCAGGTACCGCCTCAGTAGCGGCAGGGGGAGCTGCAGCCTCTGCTGCCTTCGGCACTGCCACAACACCTTCAGCAGCTGACAACACTGCCTCTGCAGATGTCACCACAACAGTCGCAGCTTTGGCTTCACCACCAACGATGGTAACCGCATCATCAGACTCTGGTGCCACACCGACACCTTCAGCTGTTGGATGCCCAAGGAGCGCATGGCTGTCCGGCGCTCTGGGCTCTTCTCGTTCTGCAGGGATACGTCCAGCCATAGCGGAACCGATTCCCTCGCCTTGAAACCTTTCGCAAACAGCTACAAGTGCATTGATCATTTGAGTGCATGAACGTGGAAATGACGGCAATTCACAAGTTGTTGAATTTGCAGGTTCTTCACAAATCAACTCTCCACAAAACATGCAGTTTCTGGTTGAAAACGCACACAAAATACCTGAAAAACTGTTGTCGCAGATTTCAAAATCGAGCAAACAGTCCAAAAGAATACCTTCAAACGACGAAAAACCAAGTACCTCCATGTACTGCAACGCTTTGATCGTCGGCAAACATTTGGTAAAATGGTCAGCGACGTTTCCAGTTCCTCGAACATGCCCAATTTGCAAAATCTCTTTTGCCAAAAGTTCCCTCAACCAGTTCACTTTGATGTCGATATGTCTTGACCTACGCTGGAGGTCGGAACCTTCCAAAAGCATCTTCCCACTCAGGGAGTCGGTCCACAAGAGGATTGGACAGACAACATCCAAACCGTCGTCCTCGGATGAAGACGGTGGATATACCTGAATGCGACGCAGGACAAAACTCAGACTTCTCAGCAAACCAATGGCTTCTTGGACAGCTGCCTGAACGGCAACGAGCTCTGCCTCGCATGAACTCAAAGTCACAGATGCCTGATGTCGAGAGAAACACTTCAAGACAACACGTCGGAAAACAATAACACATCCAGTGATGCTTCTCCTCTGAGTAGCTTGCATAGGGGCAAATCCAGCATCACTATAAACTTCCAGACCGATGTCCTTCTCAGAAAGGTCCTCAAGTCCAGGTGAGGGAAATTTCTGGGACATCTTCAGGTGCAACAACATAAATCGAAGCACAGCTCGCAGAGCTTTCTCATGGCCTGGCTTTGGACAAGATTGTCCAGTCGACAGCATTGCAATCAGGATCAAGATATCCTGTCGGGTCTGTGCCAGCCATGACAAACGTCCAAGAACTCTCCTGAACTTGGAGCGCGCCTCAGCGCTGATAGGCTCTTCTTGCAGTGTCTGCTCCAAAAATGGACGAAGATCAGGAAATGCAGTGGAACCTTTGGAGATTCCATACTCCTCGAACGCACCGTTCAGGTAATCCTGGTCGACAAACAACTGCAAACCTGAGCTTCCCTTCTCTCTGAGGATGGTACGGCCTAGAAACTTCAATGAACCACCAGACATGGTCACTCGGCCAGTCTCTCGGATCTTGACCTGCTTCTCAAGAGCTTCAAACAGAACACGATACGCAGCCTCGCTGGGCGTGGCAACCAACAGGTCATCAACATAACAGATGACAAGGATGGGGGCACCCGTACCATCCCACCGTACAAGCATGGCTCCACAAGTCCAGATCGGATGCCAACGCTTTTGACAATCCCATCAAAGAACAGAACCCAAGTCAAACTTGCGATACGAAGTCCATTCAAACCCTTGTAAGCCTCAAGGAAAACCGGTTCATTGTCAAGTGTGCTGATTGATGATGGAAGCCGGACACAAACCTTCACAGTGAGCGGTGAATTCATGAACGCCTGACTGACGTCAATCGCATAAAGGTTGAAACCTTTTCCACCAGTCCACATACCCGTTGCCGCTCCCAACAGAAGTCGTAGCGACTCAATCGAGGGTGTGGGGGAAG